CCTTGGCCCCCAAATCCTTCGAAGCGTAGCTGCTGCAGTAGGCCAGCATACATCTCTGCACTCTGCCGGGCGTGTGCTAAAACTTTTGTGACCTTGCATGCTACTCTTCTCGCCAATTACAAGGCGTACCAACGGGTGAAGGGGAGTGAGGCTCCGCCGTTGGTGCTCCTGAGCGCGATGCGGTGGGATCGGTTGATCGATTCACGATGATTTTGGATGTATCGCCTTTCTCACCCTAGGCCTAGCCCGAGGAAAGATCCGAGCCGTGGTGCTTGTTCTAGACCCACAACGAGTTGTCTTCTACAGTATGTCCCGAAGCCATTGCGGCGTGTAAGTTGTTGGTCTTGTAGAGCTTCATAAAGTGTCGTTCTATAACTCCCTCTCCTGGATGCTCTTTGATTACGGAACCCGAAAACGGAGGAAGAACCGGTTTTCGACGCACGGTCATTACGTGTTATTCTGTCGAAAAGTGCCTCAATCCCCGTAGCTTCGTTTCGTCGGCTGCAGATTTGAGTTTTGCCATAACCCCGACGCAATCGTCGGCCGACATAAATGGCCGAAGGTCCACCCCCTTGTCGACTCCATATAAGAGATTTTGACCCAAACCGCCAGCACACTGGCGTACCTCGTAAGCACAATGGGAATCCTGAGAAACGGAACAAAGGACTGTGATCGTCGGGGAACCGGATACACAACACGTGCATTGCATACTCACCGTTGTACTGACCGGGTACCCTGCCTGTCTCGGCTAAATTGACACTTTTTTTTTTTGGCATCTCTTCCTTGATTGAGGCCATGAAAGCCGCCTCCGCTTTCTGCATGATTTTGGCCCTTGTTAGGCAGCGTTAGATGCATCTCTTAGCGGTAGCGACGCCGCTATCATGCTCCTCTCCGATAGCAAGCTTTGCCAAAGTCGACACTAAGGTTTTTGGATTCCGAGGCCGTTCGGCATCTTGTGATTCTTAACAGCGGCTTATCAATGCGGCAGATTTCTCCTCTCTCTGCTGTCTTTTGCTCCTTGTCTCTCTTGTCTTTTTGAAACCCCCCCTTTTTTGGTTGGAGCGGCTCTGCTGGTGCTTCGCATCCTTGCTTGTTTCCACAGGAACTTAGCCCAAAGAGAAGTGGTGGATGCATGAAATGATAGACATCACATCCTTTTTATCTGTCTTGCCCGCCAGCTGACCAGAAGAATGGAGATGATTTCGTTTACACAAAACCGCCCTCCGTCCAATGGGCTCCCGGCAGAAGCCCGTGCCCATGCCACAAAGATTCCAGACCCTGGGCGGCAGGTTGGTTCACCACTCCGGCACTCTATGCCGAAACTGTGCTTAGCTGTCTGAAACCCTTCTTGTCCCTTTTTTTCAATGAGATCTCCCGGTGAGGCGATCAGTGGCCCATACATACATGTAGGAGCGGCGGAACCAGTTCGTTCGTTTCCCCACAAGGAACCACAAACGCTGCGATGCTGCATCGTCACCCATCTATCACTCAACCGAGGCGCCAAAAAAAAAAAAAAAAACTGTGCCCTGATATCACCTGCTTCACAGGCCACCATTCCGTAAACAAAAGATGCGGCCTACTCGGGCCTTTCCGGCCGGAGGGCCAAAATATGCATGTAATAAGGAACCGTCTCGTACTGGCCGCCTTTTCTGCCGCCCTAAGCAGCACACACATTGGCTCTGCGGCATAAGTGAAAGGAAGTGTATCCCGAAACAGAAAATGAAAAAAGGCCAGGCTTGCCCACAGCAGCTTGTTTCCCTTCCCCCCCTCTCATTCCCTCCCTTCACCGGGTCTCTCTTGTGACTACAGTGAGAGCAAAAGTCGGAGAGGGTGGCGTATCTGGGCGATTACGGGTGCGTTTCTCACACATATGTATGTGGCCTTTTCCCGCGGCAGGCCAAGACGTCTGTCCCATTCGTTCGCTCTGCGTGTCGCATATGCACGGCAATTGCAGCATGGTGTGTGTATGGGCGAATGTAACGTCAATGTCGCGGAAAATCGAAGGGCCCCCCCAGTTTGGTATTTATACGCACATGAACCGCACACTACGTCGCGACGCCATTAAAGCAAGGACATCCGGGGGAAGATAAAAAGCAGCAGCACGACGACACACATTTCACGCCTAGAGAAAGAGGGCAAAAACACAAAAAAGGAACGGCGGCCCCCGAGCTGGCCGCGGAAACAGTACCATCATGATGCGGATTGCAGTCGCCGGCGGAAGAGGCTTCGGGTTCCTGCTGGCGACGGAACTGGCACAGGCGGCGAATGCCTACAACGTCGTCGTTCTATCAAGATCTGTTGGGTTTTCCGCGCCATACGTTCCCGTCAGGCTCAGAGGATTTTTCGTGTTAACCCTGCGGCGCAGGCAAGACCCGAATTCGATCAATTTGACGTCCAAGTTCACGTCGTGGACTATCACGACCACGGCAGCCTTGGCTATGCGCTCCAGGGGGTCGACCTGGTCATATCAACAATCTCGGGCGCCGAGCAGCTCAACCTCATCGATGCTTCCGGGCGCGGGCGCGTCCGCATGTTTGTGCCCTCGGAGTTCGAAGGGTCGCTCAGCCGCCGACAGTCACGCAACGGCAACGGCAACGATCCCCTGGATCGCGGGTCATCACAGGCACTGGCCTTGCTGAAGCAGTGGTTCGAATCATCACGAATGAAATACACCGTCTTCTCGTGCGGCCTCTTCATGGAGCGGTTTCACCCCTACGGGCTCGCCAATACGTTCAACATCGGCCACGGCTCTGGCGTTGGCGGCGCTGGCGAATTCCTCGTCAACTTTAGCACGGCCACGGCCGAGTACGCAGAGCGAGACTCTAAGGGCCATTCAGTACGTGTCTGCCTGACATCGGTGTACGACGTGGTGCGATACGTCGTGGCAGCCGTCGACCTGGGACCCTCACATTGGCCCCAGGAGTTTACTATGTGCGGGGACCGGATGACAGTCCGAGACCTCATCAACGCTTGCAGCACCGCCTCCAATGGTTAGTTTGCCTTTTGCCCCCTTTGCCCTTTTGCTTGCCCACCCAATTCCATCCTCAGACTTACTTCCTGGGATACCCTCGCCAGGAAGCTGGCAGGTGACACAAAACACAAGAGAGCTAACGTAGATGTCGTCAGCGGTGTTTACGCGGCACGTACGGCAGTACGCGGAGCTGGAGACGTACCTCAGCTACTCTGCCCAGCTGTGCGACTATGACAAGGTGGCATACTATCAGAGGCTCGTTGCGACGGCCAACGGGCGATACGATTTTTCGCAGGCGACGCTGAATGAAGCCGTCAACGGGAGCAGCAGCGTCAACGTACAGCCAGTCACATTCGGCGCCTGGTTAGCAAGCATATGGACTCAAGCATTTTAACAGAAAGCCACGGCACGGAGTTTGAATCTTGTTCTTTTTTTTTTCCCTTCTTCTTTTCTTCTTCTTCTGCTTCCCCTTTTTTATCTTTTTTCTTTTTTTACTCTTATCTTCCTCTTGTTTTTTTTCTGGGCACTAACAAACATGTCACGGACTGGAGCGGGCGTTGCGTCGGGCTTGCTGCCTTTGGGCAGCCCCTGAGGGAAAAAGCAAACAAAATAGTCCATGGGATAAACTGGGAATGAATTGGACCAACGAGCTGGGAGCGATTAAAGAAAACATAACTTAGCTATCAATGCCTGCATCTTGGAGCACTTGCTCGCAGTGGCCTGTAACAGATAGATACAAAAGGCTCACTTGACTTCACCTCTGCCGTGGCACGAAAGAGTACCTGATGTGTACAGGCAGTATTGCTACATTTTACATGGGGAATGGATTGGAAATAGCACTGGACGATACCCAAAGGCCAATTTCCGCAGCGGTCGGCCGAGCACGCCCAGGCCGTGTCTGGCTCATTTCCCATGCTTCCGGTGATTCGTCTGCTCTCGTCCCGACTGTCTCAGAACCGGCAGCCACTTCGTAAACACTCGATTCTTGCTGCGTGTTGGCAGTCAGCCATTGGGTCACGACGAGTCCGCGCAAAAAGCCACAGAGGGCGAAAAAGCGACACCGTCTCACACATGTCTCGAGCGGGAATCTGAGTTGTGATGGCTCTTTGACGAGAGGTTGGATTTGAGGAGACCAAAAAAAACAAAGAAACAGGCGAGCTGAAAAAAAGGGCTGGGCATGAAATAAACGGGTTAGTACGGAAATCGCATGGAGGAATCAAAGGATGTCGCTTGCGTGTACCTTGCGGCGTGGCTGGATTTAACCCACGCACCACACGGGACGGCAATCAGGTACCCGAATAATACATGTGCTTGATTTATGTATATGTATGTCAGCTCGCCCTTTTTTTGCGTCTATTGTATACGAGTACCTATTTTTCGCTTCTGCCTACCATTGAAGGTACGAAAGCATATCGGGCTGAAACCCCCACAACGGGAAGACGGGACGATACGAGGCAGTGAGGCAATTCAGCGGCCGGTAGCTGTCGGGATGTTTTTCCCGGGGAATTTCGCGGTGGCTGACACTTGGCGTCTCGGGAATGATTTGACGGATGGATGCCTAAGAAATGATCCGACTGATCAGGTACGGCTTATCGGCTGTTAATGACGCAGTGTAAACAAGATGCACATGTATCCCAAGAACATGCTCGCCAGATGGAGAGGGTTTAGATGGATAGAGGGCACAAGTACTGGAGAATACATTGCCAGCGGTGGTTCATATGGGGAGTAACTACATGTATCTTACGCTTGAGCGACTGCTTTTGAGTAGCTATGTATTATAGATGGAGGAAGCACCTTTCTTATATCTGGGGTTTCAAGCATTTGCTATCTAAATACTATTACTACCTACTTCTTAAATGTATTACATATAGTTAAAAGATTTTCACCTAATACCTCCCTCTGCGTGGTGTACCTTGCCATCTAGGACACGGAATAATGCACAGCAACTCTTTTGATACGTCATCTTCTGGCGTTGAATAGATCTAACGTATGGTTGTGCAAGATGAATATGTATCCTCGGACTCAACCGCTATGCCTCTGTCTCAGGGTCAAACTCATCGCCAAACTCAGTCACAATCCACAAACAGAAAGCTTCCCAGTCCACCCTCCACTGCTTAAGTCTATCCGCTTTTACACCGCTTCCGAGGCTCGCCTCTTGAATCCCCTTAACCCACTGCTCCTGGTCTTGGTCCTCAAACGTTGACCACCGAACGCTATTTTCGGCCAAGCTGCCAAGCCCAGCCAAGCCCAAGTTGTCCCAGCCTTGAAGAGCCTGCCAAAAGTCGTGGGACATGCCCGCCGTGTTTTGGCCCAGCATTGCCGGGTCATCGTTGCAGAGACTGCACGGGACTCCGCGGGCAAGGAGGGCCGGCAGTGGGTGGGCGGTAATAGATCCGCAAAGCCGGAGGACTTCGTTGGAGATGGGGCATGATTCGATAAGGATACGCTTGTCCTTGACCATATCAATGAGAAGAGGGTGCTTATATAGACTGAATCCATGGCCTATGCGGCGAGTGCCTAACAATATGGCATCAAATAGGTTGTTGTCTGTGCTGGAGCCATCACCGAGCGTTTCACCTGCGTGGAAGTAAAACGGCAGATTGACGCCCTCCTGCGCACACTGCTTTCGGAACCAGAACAGTTCGGGTAGTAGGTTTACCAGCGGCTTACCGAGATCCTCGGGTCCGACGACGTCGTATCCTGCTATGAGGTTAGGAAACTCCATCTTAGTCGTGATGCAGTGATCCATGTTCTCAATTATGCGCCGAGTCCCAAAGCTCCGGAGAGTCGTCCAGATGAGCGTGAGGCCCCAGAAACCCTTGCCTTCTTCGGAGGCTTTAAACTTGGCAACTTCCTCTAGAATGACCTTGCACATGTGGCTGTAGTCCGTCTCCGGTTCCTCCCTACGGTCACGGCAATAGTCGAGTGGCCATGTGAATCTGTATGTAGTGTAAGTCTGGTATTACTCTTGAGAATTTCATAGGTATAGAGTATTCATACCGAAGTTCGGCCCAGTTGACCCCGTCAGCCTTGAGAAGCCCCATCAAGCGCCGCAAAAAGGCGCGGAACATGGGCTCGTAGTGTATCATGGTCGCAACAACGACGAAGCACTTGGCAAACTTGTCCCATATGGCGTCGATGCCGTGGTGCTGCTCGTGGCTGTCGATAAGTGAGAGCGTACACCGGCTCTTGAGCCACTTCAAGAACCCCGGCCGGCCACCCTCGGGGAACTCGTCAGCCACCTTGGTGAGCAGCAGAAACGAACCCGGCTCGTAGCTCTCATCCCATATCGACCCGTCTACCCTTTCCTTGGCCCTGAATCTAAAACGCACAACTGAGTTCTCTCTGGACTCATCCGTTGTGAGAGGCACGTCGCTAGACATGTGCATGCCGGGGGTCTTGAGAAGCTCGCCGAGAATAAAGTCAAAGTCCACCATCGCGTCCATGTGTGCATGCAGCAGAGATCCCTTGGGCATACGGCGCACAATCTTCCACAGGTTGGTCTTCTCCATGCGGTCCTTGGCCATCATGAACATCATGCCCGGGAAGATGCTCTGCTTGGTCTCCTGGGCCAGCTGCTCCTCGACGCTGGGCGTCCAGACGGTGGCCTGCTCATGGGCACGGATGCGGTCGACGATGGCGCAGGCGCGTCTGGCGATTGGCGACAGGGATTTGCGAAAGGACGCATCTGACCTCGTCTCCTTCTCCTTGCCGATGAGGCTCTCACGGCCCGTCAGATACTGCTTCACGAAGGGATCCGACGTGGTGGGAATGTCTTGGGAGAGCGCCTCCCACAGGTCATCAGGCATGGGCATTTTGGGCGAGTTGCTGGCACGGTATCTGGCGTCCGTTCAATCACATGCGCTTTGCGAGGAGAGTAGGATTAAGAATCAACGAGGAAACAAGACAAGGATGGGGAGACAAGGATAGTCCGAGGATAGACGAGAAGCGGTCTGCCGTATGGAGTCCGGGCTTGCCTTGTGAAATCTCGGCCGGCTCCGAGACGGGGCTCCGGGGGGAAAGCTGTAGCAAAGGATTTGATCTGAGCAGTGAGTGAGTCACGACCGAGCCGTCAGTGGAACTTTTGGCAGCCTCGTGGTTGATTTAGATTGCGCTGGTCAGAATGACACCGATTGCCGTGAAAACGCGTCAAAAATCCGGACGGTATGCAAGTGGGATTTCACGCGGCTAGACTCGCATGTGGCATGAGTGGAGGCTAAATTGCATGTAATTTGGAGAGACAGCCCTATTGCAAGATTTTGCTCTGTACATAATCTCTGGTGCCATGGTCATGCGAAGAAACTTGAAATTAGACGTCTCTTCTTTGGACAAGGAAGCAAAATTGAATGTCTCACTCGACCCAGCCTGTCATCTTACCAGTGACCCATCCACAAACAGTGTTGATAATACTATTACTCCGTACTTGTGCTCCGATTAATACATGGCATGCATACGAGTGCTCCGTCCTGTGAAAAAGTTCACGAAAAATTACCCCAATCTCAAGTAGGCAGGATGCATCTTGCCTGGCTACTTATTAGTCAATTCTTAAGCTTACCTACTACTTCACCATGCAAAGGCCAATCACGTAAAAACTGCAGTGCTATTTGTCAATTGAATCCAAATCGCTCCAAACGTGACCATCCCGTCAGATCACAGCCCAAACCCCTGCAAATCACAGCCAAACAAGCAACCATTCGCAGCCCCCGGACGACGCATCTTCCCCTCACAAACTGCCGTTCCCCATCACCAACAGTAGGTGAAACTCCCGTCTTGGCCAGTAATCGCACAGAGCAGCCTGTGATCGGGCATCTTGCGCCCGAAAGGGGGAATCCGCTACTGGCCAGAGCTAGACATGCTCTCGACGCTGATTCGCCACGCCGGTCACCAAGCTTCCGGGGGATATCACTGGCAGGGCGCTTACAGCCTTTTGTTTCAAAAATCAGGAAAAAGTATAATCGCTGGTGGAACTTGGGTCAAGTGCCATTCAATGTCTCGGAACGGGCAATGCGCTGTGATGGACGTGATGGTCACGTACATTGCGGATTCTTAGCTTCACTTGTCCAGCCAATGCGGCGAGATGAACAATGTTCATTGCACGGCGCACTTGTTGCCGGTGCGGATTAGCGGTAGAGGTTGAGGCTGAGATCCAAGTATAAATTGCCTCCTCTTCCTGCGTGTAAGTTACATGTAGTATACTTGTTACTGTTCAACAACACATTGGAGAAGATTCCACTCAGTCGAAGCACTACATTCTGGGATTTTAAACTCAACTACCAGTTAGAGTCATTATAAGTCCCAATCTAAAAGCAACTCTTCATTAGATACAACATTTAACAAACTATACAATGCTCTCCTCCAAGCTATTCTTCCTCCTCTTTTCCTCATTATCATCTGCCGCCGTTATTCCACGGGATAACAGCGTACCACCTAGCTACTGCTGCTTCACGCTCTCAGATCCGTCAACTGGTAAAACCGTCCAGCAGAGCACAGATTACGGTTTCCTCTACTTCGACGCAAGCCAGCCGTCAGGCTCGTATTGCATCAATCTCGCGGACACTACTCGGCCCATTCTGTGGGGTGATGGCTTCAACAACGCTTGCATCATTGCCTGGGATGGACACTTTCAGTGCCTTGATCCTACTCCTGGTGATGATAAGTGGGCGCTAGGTCATAATGGCAGCAGTAGCAGCACTCCTTTGTTGCTACATAATGGCTCTCCCACTTATCAAGCGTGCCCTAATACAAGCGGAGGCGAATTCATCTCGTCTGGAGCTACAGGAGTATCTGGATGTAGGAATATCCAGCTGGAGGCCACAGGTCTCAAGGGAACATGCACGGGCTTCACCAGTTAAACAGCCTCCACTTCAAACCATTTGATGCTGGCTGTCCAAAGTCAAGGCAAAGGACGGCGCATCTTCACCGAAAGTTTACCCTTCGTTTCACACGTTAGATTGCGCAGGAAACAGGGACTGGGTGTAGATGTCTTCTCTCAACTTCTTTCATGTAAATATTATGCAGCTACTGAGTGCCGGTCACTCCAAATATTTTGTTAGATAAATTATAAAGTACATAGTAACCGCCAAGAAATGCAATATTGTTCAAGTCCCTACCCCTCCCTACCAATCCTAAATCCTTAAAACAAAAGAAAATGATGATGACATGTGATCAAAATACAGCTATTTGTTACAATTTTGGAATTATTTCCCTATTCACAGCCTCCGCCTCCTCGACACCATAGACAATAGTCAGGTCCCTGCTCAGCTCCTCCGCCGTAGTCTTCCTGCTGCGCTTCTCCCTCGAAAATTTGTCCTGGACGAACCGGTGGAAGATTTCTTGCGCCGCTTCGTTTCCATCGGTGCTGGCATCAACGAAGAGCAACAAGGAAATGAGAATTTCGGCAATGTCCCACAGAATCTCCCGACCCTCGCCAACCAGGTCACCCTGTTTCTTCTCGTCAATGTATGTTCGCATAGCAGTCCACTTGGCTACGGGGTCCCAGTCAGGGGGTTTAGAGACGCTGGTTTCGTTCTTCAGGGCAGATGAAGTTTTGATAAAGTTCTCGAGAGCATCCAGCGATTGAGCACCTGTTTTGGGATGCTTGAGAGCGCGAATCATATCCGTGCACAAGACGTCGGTTGTGCCCTCCCAGATGGGTAAAACACAGCAGTCGCGGTAGAGTCGAGCCACGTTGAGATATTCCTGCTCTTCGTTGACGAGATAGCCCACGCCTCCAAGCGATTCCATGCACGAGTAAAGCAGTGGGACAGAAGCCTTGCACACGTAGGCCTTGGCAAGTGGCACAACGATACGAAGGAGTGGATCGATGAGCCGGTCTGCCGGCGTGAGAGCAGCAAGAGCCGAGGTTGGCGGCGTCGCCTCGTGTTCTGAAATGCCCAAAAGGTAACCGCAGAGGTTGCTGAGGAGCATCAATCCGTGATATTCGGCCGTCAGGTTCGCCAGAGTACGCATATGCAACGTGCTCTCGGTCAGCTTCATCCGGGCACCGCGCCCAGCCCCAACCTCTCGTCGACGCGCATACGCCCTAGCAATGCCCAATCCGCGACCAACATAACCGCACGCTGTAACGACGTTGTGAATCCTAGTGAGAGTCAAGATTGTGCTAATCTCTTGGATGCCCTTGCCCTCTTCACCAATCTTCCAGCCGCGCATATCTTCAAGCACGAGCTCGGCAGTCGGAAGCGACTGTGTGCCCAGCTTGTTCTTGAGCCGCTGGATCCAGACACCGTTGAGTCGAGATCCGTTCGCTTTGGGATGTCCAGTCATGGTTTTGGCAGTAGGGTCGTGTCGCCGCATGGGCGCGAAAAAGGTGCTCAGCCCGCCTTGGGAAGTACGGGCGAGCAGAATGGTCATGTTAGAGTCCGTTGCGGACGAGAACCATTTGAATCCATTGATGCTCCAGGGTCCGAGGGGTATCTTGCCTTCTCTCGATGCGAGCGCGCCTTCAGCTTCTTCGGGTTGGTAGGTGGCCACAGTCTCTGTCTGAGATACGTCGCTGCCTCCAGAACGTTCCGTCATCCACTGACCACTGGTCCAGGCAACGCTTGGGTCGCGAGAAATGAGACGGCGATAGGCATCTTCAAAGACCTTGCGCTCCGCTTCGCTGATGCGTCTAGACGCCAAGTGCCTCCTAAGTAGAGCAGCGGCGCCATCTTGCATGGCAGAGGGGCAGGTCACATTGGCGGACGAGGCCTCCCAGAGGTGCAGACGCAGAAACTGGAGAGGACGAGAAAATGCGCCATATGGCGTATCATAGCCAGTGGCAACGATGCTAACGAGTTCGCGTCAGCAATTTGTGACGATCTGAGGCCGCTTTGAATCGACTTACCCCCTAGAAAGACCAAACTTTTGGAGCTCGCGCCATCCCTCACCAGTCACCAATTCACCGTGCCATCTACCAAAGGCATCGCGGCCGCTGCCCTTGAGATAGGGCTTGTTGCGCTCGGCATCTGTGATCCAGGCAAACACCTCGTCGGAGAGGACATCCCTACCCAAGGCTGCGACTTCAGCCTCGACCTCTGTAATCACGCTAAAGGGGAGAAATACTGCGCAAGCAGCGTTAGCGATCTAATTGTCCTTGTGGCACGGCAAATGGCTACGCGTGGACTGCTGGGCTGGGCATCGACGACAGGGCCGTTGCCTTTGTTTACATGCACGTGGGACTCACGTTTGAAGCATCTTTGGAATGAAACATCGTCATAGAACTGGTTCGGCAAAATCGGTGGAGGCTGGAAGAAACCCTTGTTCGCCCCCGAATGCTCCATCAGGCTGCGGGTAGTGGTGCCAGCAGGCACAGATAGATACAGGCAATCAATCAATCAAATCTGGGGTTCGCGTCTGTCGCGCAAGAAATGGCGTTTGCAGAGAGACGAGATGCTGGACGGAGGAATTAACAGAGACAGGGGGGGCAGACAAGCAGCTGATATACGCAGCGGCCGCAGCTGAAGGCTCGTGTGTTTTGGCGCCAGAGATTTAAGATTGTCCCCAGCTTACTACACGGACATGGAGGTCACTCTTGTCAGACCCAAGTCTGTCGGTTTCATGGCTGTTCGTTCGTCGTGCCGCCTCTCCCTTGGCCGAAAATGGTGGTGTGGAGACCCAGGGTCAGCCGAGGCTTGAGCTGGAACAGCGATGCTGAACATCATTGGAACTTGGAAATGCAGCTGATGATGCAGCGGAATATTTCCGTTGTTTACAGGATGGTATCGTTTAGACGATGCTGATCTCACAGAAACGAGAATAGAGCTGCGGGGTGCTTTCAATAGTACGGAGAAGCGTGCTGCCCTGTAGTACAGCTTCAATAACTGCTGACCAGTTGATGCACAGCAAGATGATGCTGCAGAGAGAATGAAGACTTACAGCAGCAGACAGCATCACATAGAAGACGCTCATAATTTAAAGGCGCACGCTACGGTACTTATTCAAACTGAATCAAATATATAATCATGCGAAACAGAGATCACTCAATTGTGGCTCGATCAACGATAGATGAAAAAGAGTACCTACTCCATACTAAAGTCCGAGATTCAGCGGCTCCACGTATCAACGCTACCCTACATTTTTCAATCAAAATATTCCATCGAAACGCTGTATATTAGATATATGCTGAATTCAAGCACAAAAATCTCAATGGCAGAGTTAGAATCACTATTTCATCTCCAAATAATAGACAATATTGATTTCACTTTCCAAATCCAGGTGACTACCCAAAAAGGAGTGGCCCCTCCCACTTACCAGTTTATGCAGCTTCCGCGTCGGATCCGAATCTTCGGAACGCTTTAAATCAACCCGCCACCCTCCTCTCTCACATATAAATCATCTACTCACGACAATTCACGCCACAAATTTCACAATATGGCCATCAAGTGATTGACAAGATCATTGAAAATGCGCACATCACGAATATCAAAAGACACGGCCAAGCTCTTGAAGCGAGCCGCAGGTTCAGCCTCGCCACCACGCCGCACGACGCGATCATCGCTGGCACGCTTCGCCCTCAACGCAGCCTCTTCAAGCACGACGAGCACCTCACAGACGCCCGATATCGAAGACAGCATCGGCCCGCCGTCAAAGAAGCGAAGAAGTGGTTCCGATGCCTCACTTTCCAGTGAATTCACCAAGCCCGAGTCTGACGATGAGGACGACAAGTTCGACGCGATAGCTGCGGCCCCTTCGAAGAGTGCTCGCCGTGCACCCGCTCGCGCCCGCAAACCCGCGCGCAAAGTGGCCGATCCGGCAACGGGCGAAACTTCCATCTCGCCGCCGTCCGATTGGGAAGAGATGTACAATGTGGTCAGGAAGATGCGCGCGCCGGGTGGTGCCGCCTACGGTGCAGCCGTGGACACAATGGGCTGCGAGCGTCTGGCGGATAGGAACGCCTCACCAAAGGATCAGAGACTGCATTCGCTGATTGCGCTGATGTTGTCCAGCCAGACAAAGGATACGGTGACGGCTGTAGTGATGAGGAAACTACAGACCGAACTGCCGGCGTACAAACCGGGTGCTCCGGTGGGCTTGAATCTGGACAATTTGCTGGCAGTGGAACCCAATATGCTCAATGAGATGATTTGGGCGGTTGGCTTTCACAACAACAAGACCAAGTTTGTACATCCAAGATCATGTTTTCACGAATATACTACGTTGATGCTAACCATCCGGTCTCTTACGCAGGTACATCAAAAAGACCGCCGAGATCCTCCGCGACGAATGGAACGGCGACATCCCCGATACAGTGGAGGGCCTCACGTCTCTACCCGGCGTCGGGCCCAAGATGGCCTATCTCTGCCTATCGGTAGCCTGGAATCGCACTGAAGGTATCGGCGTCGATGTACACGTCCATCGCATCACCAACATGTGGGGGTGGAACAAGACTAAGAATCCCGAGGAGACGCGGCTGGCCCTGCAGTCATGGCTACCCCACGACCGCTGGCGTGAGATCAACAGCCTGCTGGTTGGATTGGGGCAGGCCGTATGTCTCCCCGTAGGCCGGCGCTGTGGTGAATGTGATTTGGGACTGCAGGGGCTCTGCAAAGCGGCCGAGAGGAAGAAGGTTCTCGAGGGGAGGAGGGTCAAGGAGGAAGCGATCAAGGAGGAGACGATTAAGATTGAAAGAATAGAGGACCAGGGAGCAACCGGCGGCGCAATTGTCAAGGTTGAAGCCATCGTCAAGGAGGAAGTCAAGGTCAAGCAGGAGCAGGAGGACTAGGCGACCGTCGTATTGGCGATAGACACATGGTCGCCGACTTCGCTCGCTGATCACAAAGTCCGTGGAGTTTGCGGTCAGCCACGTTGCAACCACATGTAAGCACATTATACTGGCCTTTTGGCCTTTTTGCAGCAATTTTTTGTAGATACAGTAGACGCATGTATATAGCACCAGAGCGATAGCCTAGACCATGTCTTACAAATGTGCATTTATACGATGATAATACGATGGTAGAAACTCTGTTTGGCTGATGACTCGGTTTCCGTTTTCATTTGCACACTGTTCTTTGCATGTGTGATATTTCATGTATGTACATAATGTCGCCTTATCTCACATAACATTGGCGGGCAGGGATCCGGATCACTTGATGCTCGATCCGTAATTATGAGTTACACGTAGCTTGTCGCCATTGTCGGATCGAGACGGTCGCTTTCGGAGGTCAGTCGGTGTTGGGTTCGACCAGCCGAAATCACCAGCCCCGCCGGCTATATGAAGCAAGTTGATTAGCATAGAGGCATGTCAAGGCCCCGACATTTGATGACGGGGACCCCCAGTCATGCCGAGCCGGAAAATGCGCCACCGGGTCCAAAAGCCTCACGAGACATGCCATTGCGTCGCCGGATCACGCAACGCAGCGCCTTTTCAACGATGCGAAAAACACATGCGAAATGGGATTTTTGTGTTTTTTTTTTATTGTATTTATTTCTTCATATTGCGAATAAGAATAAAGTGTAAAAGGTTAAAATCAACAACCAACGCAACATGGCTCCGAATGTTTCCCCGACAAATGTGAATCATACCCAATACTCCGTGCGATACAAAGGCCGCAGCTGTTCCGACCGAAACGAAAAAAAAAGAACAATAAATGGTAGAAATGTACAAAAAACTAGAGAGGTCACTGATAGTGCTCTCCTCTGTTGATTCCCTCTCTTTCTGTGGCAAAAAGAAGCAAAAGTCTTCTCTTGCCTGTGTCTGTGCACCCCCCGTTCGCTCCCCCCAAAAGAATATGTCGTTTCATGTAATCATGGTCCGTGAGTATGAATTGGGCCGCGGTGGCTAGCAACTCATGATGTGAAGGAGAATGGTAGTAAAGTAGATGGTGCGGTAATTAAACGGTCGGTTTGTGTTGGATGATGGCGATTCCGGGGGAGTTGCAAGGATATCGATTTAGACGCCTCGGATGACTTGCGTCCGCTCAGCCTCAAGCTGAGCAGCGTTACGTGCGTGAGACTGCTTCTTGCACTGCATGCCAAGCGTTAGCTGAGGAAAATAAAAAGACCTGGGGGTGAGATGAGGGGGAGGAAACAGTGATGAAACGTACGTCTTCCAGACCGCTGCACTTGTGGTCTTCCAACAAACGGTGCTTGCCGCAGAAATGGCCGTTGCAAAAGGTGCAGTCACCCACGATGCGCTGGGCGGGCTCTCGGCAGTCCTTGGCGGTGCAACGGAGCTTCTTAGCAGGCATGATGGGCAAAGTCGAAGAGTGAAAAGCGAGGATAAGGCAAAAGGATGGAGTGGACTGGTGGTCGACTGTTATGACGGTCTGTCGTGTGATGCTGTTACTCGCAAGGAGTGTTTTGTCGAGGACGCAGGGAAGTGACTGGGGGCCGGACGCCGTGGATTAAATACTCAAGGACACAAAGGGACGCAAGATGGACCGCTGACTGACGAAGCAAGGAAACCCGAGCCTTTTGAGTCAGCAACAGACAAGACGCTCGCGGTCGGCGGATCGCGCGAGCGAGGCTTTATATGAGTGAGTCCGGTCCTGGGGGCAGTGACAAGCGCAAGACAGCACCGGTGCCACCAGGGTGGAGAATGTCCCAGGCCCCCGGGGTGGTGTCAATCCGCCACCCACACCCCCTTCTAGTCTACGGGCCTCTTTTACGGAGTGGGAGTACAGTAAGGTAGAGGAGGACGAGAAGTCGGTAGAATCTCTTGAGGGGTGCGGGTAGCTGGGCGGGCGTTATCAGTTGCTTTTACTATGGGGTACTCATTCTTCGGCCTTCCATCTTCCATTTGCCGCCCTTTCGCTCCCATCTCTTTGTCTTCTCCGTTTTTTTTCTTCTTACAACGATCTCTGGAGTCGGGATGAATGGAATTGGTTCCTAAGTGTTTTGGGTAAAACAGAGACCGCCTCGGCTATATCAACTGATCAATTACACCTTGACTTACAGGCGGCGGCATGGGCGGTGGCGGCTCCATGATCCCGGCCGAAATTCCAGCCGGAGCAGCTGAACATAGCTCGTACTTGGGGGAGAGTTACATGGGGCCGCCGGTAATGCAATGTACTTTGTCCACGTGTTGTTGGAATTGACTGACACTGACACACATCGCTGGCCAGCGGGAAAGAGATACTGTACGGAGCCCAGAGATACGAAGCCATCTCGTCAGTCCATTTTCCAATCAAAGCCCGCACAAAGATTGCCCAGCGGCCACTTGATGGCTAGTCTAATGTGACCCCCGTACGGGTACGACTGGTACTGTACCTGTACCACCACCTTGCAGTCGCGACTATCACCTTTAGTACGGGCTCTGCTATGACCTGTGACCAGAACTTATTGTTTCTGGCCGCTGGTCTAAGAAGTGACTCCAGTCTTTTTTGCCGCCTCCGAAAGCGGCTGAAGACCTGTAAGCTAAGTATGGTAAGCGACTATGGAATTCAATCAAATGGATAGAATGTAGTCTACAAAGCATTGGTCCTAGGAGACAATGCCGCCAACATGGTGCAGCACGCACCTGATGAAGGCGCTTATTGCCATGCTTGCATGGTCCCAACATCGCAGGCATCCGTATATGTGCTTGCTTCTCTGTGGCATGGCATCAGTTGGGCACCTATGTCACATCCATCGCTTATGATCCCTTGCCGGATGCTAATGTAGAACCAGCGCAGCCCCAGCTAGCCAGCGAACACGTAGCGGTGGACCCCTGCTTTTGCAAATGCATCGATTCATCGTGGAGAATGGGGTACCATTGGGATTGTGCATGCTAGCACATGCACGAGCACATACAAATAAGTCGATACTTGCATGCCAGGCGTTGTCGTACAGGGGACGATGGCTCCGGACTTGGGACGCCGTCACACGCACCAACGCACGCAAACAGGGACAAATAAAGTGCGGAAGTCGTCCCCATCAAGCCTTTTTTTTTTTTTTTTACCCTGCATGCGCGCGAGGCTCCACGATCAAGGGAAAGAAGAAGGGATAAAAAGCCACTATGGTCGCGTGCGTGATACATCTTAACTAAGTATACATGTATGTTGCGGCAGATAACATGCAGTTGCACCGGTAGTCGGCAGCCCTCTCTCTCTCCCCATCCCATCTCATCGCCTCTCTGGTCTGCTGCGAGCAATCCCCGAAGGCCCTTTTAACCGCCCACGTATTTCGGTTGACTGAACTTCAAACCCCGTCTGAAGCTAGGCTGGCTGGCGATTCCCTAGTTTCATCAGGGCCGGCGGCTGCAATGGCGAGACGTAAGACATGACTTGCCATGCAGCAAGCGCCGACTCCCTGGGGGACAAGCAGCTGAAAAGTCGCCCGCTCACAAGGTCAGGGCGTGATGTGATCCCCCCAGCCCGCAAGTCGATAGGCTTGTCAGCTCTGAGATACGAACACAATCCCTCCCTACGAAGACTTCATTCAGGTCGTAACGGAATAAATCCTACCTAATAGACTACCCTTTGCACCCGATGTTAGGTAGGTGGTAAGGAATTCTCCGCATATGTGACGTACCCCGGCCTCTTTAGGCAGCTTAGTAGCTGACGACTACGGAGGACTACCTACTCGTACAAACCAGACCAGAAAGCCATGGGCCAAGCCAAGGAGCGGGCATTCTTTGATTAGAGCGCCATCAACCAGACGTCTCCGGCCAACCTCCTAATAAGCGTCTGCCTTTGACACTAATTTGATGAGCGTGAGCATGATTTTTAAGCAATCGTCTGAGCCTGTGCGAAATGGGCTCCGTACAGTACGGTTCGTCTATTCACAGACAGGCTGCTATTACCATCCATCGTTTGATTAGCATGTCGGAGGTATAAGTGCACCGTAATAATTAATGTTCGTATCCTTGGAGTAAGTGAGGCCTGTACATACGGAGTTCACGATGGACACCCCCAAATCGCATTCCGTCTTCTCACCACTTAAATCGCCGTTTTGGGGCGATCGCACCGGAATCTTCGCCGTCGGATCCGCACACACCCGAAACCATTCGCGCTCCTTGGTCTGCCCCCAATAGGAACTGCCGAGTGTCGCAAATGCCGGCATTCTTTTGCTAGAGCAGATTTTTTTCAATTCGGTATCTATTTCGTCATTCCCGGATTCCCCCGGGCTGGTTTAAACTTGATGTCACTTCGGGCTGAGCGATGAAGAACAGACTAGTTAGCTACCGGTTCAAAAGCTTTTGCGTCGCCATGATTGCGTCTGTGGTGAACTTTGGATTAGCTAATCCCTGTGCTAGTTTTTTCAGGCTGTTCTGTTCACAGTTTGGAAAGAAATCTGTGGCTGTGAGGCTTTGACGGAGTTGTCGCTTTGAATTGAGTAAATCAGATGAAGATTATTAAGCCAGCTTTGAAAAGTGTTACCCTGGATGAAGTAAATTCAATTATGTTGGGGGCTCTTTTCTCCCTATGCTTGTAAAAAGTTGCTTTTTATTTTGCGAAATGGTGGTCCTTTTTCATCCTTGTATCAATTGTTCTTGTACAACTGGTTCCCATCTCATTAATAAAGGCCGTCTCCATTCACACAACAATTTATTCTCACAGCAATACAAGCACTTCAATAAGACGGACAAGCAAGTACAAGTAAACTGGACGTGCTAAGTCATCAGTTCACAGGTTGACTTTCAGCTGTCATACACGTGAATTTCTCCACTTTTCAATTCTGGCAGCGCAAACCAGTTTGGCAGATGAACAGAATTTATTACCCTCGTGGTTGGACAACGTGTCAGAAGGGCTGATCGGTATGTAAATCGGGACTATGATTTACAATTTTTGGTAAAAAAAACATTCGACTGTGCAAAGAAGAGTAAAACAAACGTATTTTCAAGTTTACATACAGTTCGTGCTTCACTGGCTGAAGGCCTCTCTGCACGTTAGCGTCTCCACTCACGACATCCCAGACCAAAAAATTCGCAGCCACACGCAAAAAAAGATTTGTGCCGTGACCAGGAATCGAACCTGGATTTACAGTGTCTCGTAAGATCCACAAACTGTTGTACTAACCGTTATACGATCACGGCTTTGTTTTGATTGTTTTTCTTTAGATTTATTTCAGCCTATATGAGAAAGATTTCGAAGCACAAAGTGGGTCTTTAGCCTGCGACCATCACCAATGGGATTGTGCACAACGTCACAGCTCTGGAATAAGAGATTTGGCGGCAAAATGGCATATACAGAAAGTCAAATAGCGAATAATAATAACATTGCTATTATCATCACTGATGAACTAGCGAAACGAATTATACAGCAACGGCGTCTCTTGCTCTATTCTGCCATACACCAATATTCTCTGCACAACGCCCGCAGCACGCCAGTTTGATCCTGTGTTCTTTACGCAAGCCTCCATTTTACTGAGCAGTGTGGCTCATCATCTATTCGTATAAACATACCGCTGCCTCTGCTCCACTAGGCCATCAAGGTGCAAATGACATTGGAATAAATAGTAAAGAGCACGAATGCTACCTCTTGGTATTCTTATCAACTTCTCCGTCACTTCTCTAGGTATTTCTACTTCTGATTGTTGTATCTTTATTTTGTATTTTACATCTTTTCTCAAGTTTGACATTTGAGCAAGCTTATCCTACACTACAACGTCCGCGCGTCAACAACGGCACGGATGCAGTCTCCCTGCTTCATGATCTCAAATGCGCTGTTAATCTCACCAAGGTTTTTGCGGTGTGTGATAAACTCATCAACCTTGAGAGCTCCAGACAAGTAGTCGCTGACAAGCCCGGGCAGCTGGGTGCGTCCCTTGATACCACCGAAAGCGCAACCCTTCCAGACACGACCAGTGACAAGTTGGAACGCTGGTAAGAAGAAAAGGTATCGCATGTTAGTATGGGTCTGCTTATTAGATATTCAAGGTGGCCGGGGTAACTCACGACGTGTGGAAATCTCTTGGCCAGCAGCAGCAACGCCGATGACAATGCTCTCTCCCCAGCCCTTGTGGCAAGCTTCCAGAGCAGCACGCATCACGTTGACGTTACCAGTGCAGTCAAAGGTGTAATCACAGCCACCATCAGTCATCTCAATCAGCTTCTCGACAATGGTCTGTCCCTTGAGGTCGTTGGGGTTTACGAAATCCGTAGCGCCAAACTTCTTAGCCCACTCCTCCTTGGCCGGGTTAACGTCAACGACGATAATCTTTCCGGCCTTGTTGACGACAGCTCCCTGAACGACTGACAAACCAACGCATCCAGCTCCAAAGACGGCAATGTTGGAGCCCTCCTCAACTTTGGCGGTGACGCGGGCAGCGCCGTAGCCGGTGGTGATACCACAGCCAAGGAGACAAGTGCGGTCCATGGGGGCGTTGGGCTGGACAGCTACAACGGAGATGTCGGCGAGGACGGTGTACTGAGAGAAAGTCGACGTTCCCATGAAGTGGAGAATGTCCTTGCCCTTGCACTTGAATCGGCTGGTGCCATCGGGCATGACGCCCTGGCCCTGAGTGGCTCGGATCTTGCCGCAGAGGTTTGTCTTGCCAGACTTGCAGAACTTGCACTCCTTACACTCGGGAGTACTGTGTGTTTGGTTAGCCTCCGTCTTGAAGTATGTCGTTGGATAGCTGATAAGACGTACTAGAGAGCAACAACGTGGTCACCGGGCTTCACGTTGGTGACACCCTCGCCAACAGACTCGACAATACCAGCTCCCTCATGTCCCAGGATGACGGGGAAAGCGCCCTCAGGGTCCCTGCCAGAGAGGGTGTAGGCATCTACAGCTGTCAGTTTCTGTTGCCCCTTTGTGCGATTCAATTTGATCCGGGTAACTCACCTGTGTGGCAGACGCCGGTGTAGTAGATCTGCACGCGGACCTCGTGAGCCTTGGGAGGAGCAACTTCGACATCCTCAATGCTCAGCTCCTTGCCAGCCTCCCAGGCAACGGCAGCCTTGCAGGTGATGGTCTATTCACACTCACACCCCGTGGTCAGCTCAGCTCAGCTCAGTTCAGCAGCAAATTGTGGCGGGGCATATCATGGAGGGGCAGTTGCTCACCTTGCCAACAGTCGAAGCCATTGTGTTAGTTAGTCAGACGCTGAAATGCAGTTCTCGACGCGCTGAAGAATGCGAGAGAAAAAGCCCAAGCAAGTTTCAAGAATGGAGCTGCTATTTATTTGTTCACCAGTCGCAGCTCAGCCCAGCCAAGCTTGCCGGACCACCGAAGCGTCACGATTGCTATTCCGATGCTCTACCCCGCTGTCGAGTGGGGACGCAGAAAAGTGATGCTCGTTTCTGGCTTACCTCATGCACACAGCCAGACACTCCATGGCTGGGCATTGCCTTGACTTTACCCGATCAACGAATCGCGTCTTGTAACGAGCATGGATTTTCAAGAGCGTTGCTCACATTGTCGGCTCCTCAACCGGGTGTTATGTGACAATGACATACATCCAGATCCGCGTTCTCCGTGTTCATGACAGCGGTGTTACCCATCCCAGGAGGAGGCGGCTATAATTATTACCGAAGTTATCAGCGAAAACAGTTCAGTCATGCGGCGTTTGGAGGCAGATTTGATCCTGTGAACCAATTGTTTCACCTAATCCCGAAATATCTCCCCGTATATGACTCCTTGACTTACATTATGATTTATAAGCTCTGTGAGCCGAGATATTGTAAAAAAGTCGGGAGATGTTCCGAGAATTCGGTGTACACGCCGGAATAGTGTAGGAATCTTAATGAACAGATGCCTGTACTTCGTATTGGAGCTGACAACGTTTATTTCTTGTTTTCTTTTTGATTTTAAGGGATCATAAGCATTCCAACAGCTACAAATAGAACCGATGTTTCAGGTTTGTATATATCAGTCACTATTTCAATTACCCAGCCTCTGATTTTGGGAGCTCCCTCGCGTATCTCGCTTTGAATCAAAACATGTCCAAGCTCAGACCCCACACCGAGCTCTCACCTGAGCCTCTCAACCCGGTGAGGCCGGCTAAATATCGGACCGTCTCAACTTGGCGCGACAGCAGCTCTCAAAAAATATCCAAGACGCGTGCTGGACAAAATGAATTGAGAGGACAATTTCCATTCACAAACAGTCTCTCGAATTCATCGCCCACCTCACCATTTGACCCTGCATAGCACAATCTTTACATGTTGGACGAATACGGAAACCAACTCGCACGCATGAAACTGTAATCCCTCGACGCTCCTGATACCAACGTTCTGTGGGAGCAGCGAGGCAAACATCGCCATTCGCCATGGCGCACCGATTCATCATCGATTCCAGCCCTCTCAAAGAGGCGCCATCAACGCCAGATATTCGCGGTGCCAACAACTTCGGATTCCAGCGGTACGAAGACAGTCCGACGGGCGCTCCCATGGAAGCTCCTCCTTCAGCAGCTTCGGATCTCAGCAGCCCATCGCTCCAGTTTAACCCACCAAGACCTCCCAATTTTGGAGCCTCGAGCTCGGGCGGAGGAGGATTGTTTGGCCGAACGCGAACCTCCAATGCTCCTCTCGGCCGGGCCGTCGGAGGTAGAGCGCCTTCTGGGCTGAGCCGACAGCTTCGTACAAACGATGACAGCAAGGATCTTGATTTGGACGAGGATCCTGATAATGATAGCGAGCTCCCTCCTATGAGAGGAGGCTTGTTTCGGATGGCAGCTCCGCCGACAAGGCCATCGCAAAGAAAAGAAGAGCTCGACGATATGGAGGCCCAGGTGGAGCGTTATATCGATGAGGAAATGGAGGAGGAAGACGAGGCTCCATTGGACGAGGAACAGAGCCCAGATGACTCTGATATGGGCGACATTTTCTTGAACATGCGGCACGACGATCGCGCATATGGCCAACCTGTCATTGGCGACGATTCGGATTTGATGATGCTGCGGACCCCTGCGGCAACAGCTAGAGTGCGCAAAGAAGCGGAGAGCATATTTAGTCAATCAGCTCGCTTCAGGGCTGGAAGAAACCGGGACCCTCAGTTTGGCACCATTGCCAAGGATATCTATACCTACCAGGAGCCTGCTAGAATCACAGAGAAGCCTGATCTGATCCTGAAGACGGAGAACTTGGTATGCCAGCTATATAACGATGGTGTTGGCGCTCACGATGACCCGGAGAGGCTGGAAAACTCACTTGCCGACATCACCTACAAGCTGATACGAGTTTGGACGGACTACGTAGAGGAGCTCCCACCCCCAGAAGGCGAGGATCTGGCCACCATTGGCCCCGGAGAAGATGCGGATCCGTTTGAAAAAGCTGTCTACGTTGCTCATTTGATTCTTCGCATGCACCATACTCGTTTCGACACAAAACTCGAGGATGACAAGGCATCGCCTTTACCGGAGATCCTCTTTGACTGGATGCAGTCTAGCCATAACCTGTATCCTGACCAGATTCGAGAGATTTCCAGATACAAGCCCAGCCCTGCATGCCATAGCCTGTATTGGCAGACGCTGAGAAATGCGCTGCTACGGGGTGACGTGAACGGGGCAAAGCAACTTTTGAAGAATGCTGGCTGGGAGCATGTCCGCCGCGGTCCTTCAGGCGGCCAAACGTACATAGGCAAGGCCCTCGAGAACGTACGGAGGTTTACAGAGGCCACATGCGAGATGCTTGGCCAGTGCCCCGGAGCAAGAAACGACTGGGACATTCTAAACAGCAGCTGGACCTTGTTCCGAGTCCAGGCCCGAGGCTCCTTGGATAGACTCACGCTGTTTGCCGAAGGAAAAGATACCACCTTCCTCGATTCGCTGAATGACGAATTTGACACGTCCATGTCGACAATGGCTAAGAAAGCCTCGAGCCAGATTCCTTGGGACATTTACGAAAACTTGCAGACGGTATACGAGATTGTCTTGGGACAGACTGAAGCTATCTTGGAGACGGCGCAGGATTGGTGCGAGGCAACGATTGGTTTGTTTGGCTGGTGGGATGAGGGCGTCCAACGCCCCAAGCCCCTGCTGCAGTCACAGTTTGGTCTCTCGGCGATGTCGCCGGGCAGCTTCACAGACTCTGAGGACTATTTCGATCGGCTTGTGACAGTGTTCAACCTTGTCATCCAATCCGGTCTTAGCCCCAACACGATGAATCCCGTTGAAGTTGCTCTTGCATCTGCCTTTGAGGGTAATACCAACGCCGTCATCGGATGCCTGAGGACATGGTCTCTTCCTGTGGCTTGTTCAGTTGCTGAGATTGCTTCTCTGGGCGGGTGGCTTCCTCCGGCAGAGCCTGTGAAGCCGCTGCCAGCTGATACCCTGGACATGGATGACTTGATGCTCCTAGGAGTAGGACAGCCCACCAACGATGATGTGGAGGGTATCAAGGACACGAGCATTGTGATTTACGCGAGAGAGCTGGCGGGTATCGAGCATCTTTCACCACAGCTGGATGGTTGGGAGATGGCCATTCAAGTGCTGGGCCGGATGGACGTACCGGAAAAGGCAGAAGAGACGGTTGGTGAACTGTTGAGGGACCTCCTGGCAACACTGGACGAAACCTCTAGCACGACGGTGGATAAGATGTGGAGAATCCTGAGCGATCTGGGCATGATGAATTATGCCGAGGAGACTGCAGAGGTAAGCGATACACTCTTTTCCCTTCCCCTTCTCTTTCTTAACCTTGGAGCTATGGTAAGCTGACTGAAGCGATAGACGTTTGCAGAAATCTTGTCGAAAGAATCTCACCGATATGGCGAAGCGATTTGGTACTTTGCGCTTTCGCACCAGGCAGATCGAGTTCGTGAGGTTCTCAACCTTCTCATGTCCTATTCCCTTGTGCAGTCAACGGTTTACCCTGCAGAGAAGGACCTCGATGAAGATCTCAAGAGCATGCTTCGAAATAGATCAGAGGCGTTGGAGGAGCGGGCAAAGGTGGATTTAGAGGCCGCTCAGCTACTTGGCCGGATGCTTAGTGGCTACGCGACGCTGCGCAAATTTTACGAACTCCGAGACGAGATAGCAAAGGTTGAAGAGACTTCGCCATCTAGGGCTCTCACCCTAAGAAAGCAAGCTGCCTTTGCGTTGGTGGCTGTCATTTCTAGTTCAGGTGACAACATCCGCGGCGGGCTTTACGATGAGACCAGGGACGCAGTTGTCAGCGAGGACTTCTTGCTGGCTCTGCTGGGTGAAGCAACTGTTTTCATCAATCAGTCGCCCTCGGTCATCTCCCTCGAGCAGCTCGATATTATTCTCAAGGCCATCGAGGATATCCAGGCCGTCGGCTCTCGCGTGTACTCTACTTGCGAAGAGTTCTTCAACTTGGTGCTTGCATCAGGACAAGGTCTCAAGGGATCTACGCCGGCAGATTTGATGAAGTCGACGAGCTCGCTTGGCAACAGCACATACATGATGAGTGGCAGCTCTCTCCTGGTCAGCCACATGCAAAAATCCATCATGGGAGGCCAAGGTAAAGTGAATAGGGGATGGGATTGGAGGAAAGGCTGGCTAGCTAACACCAAGGGAGAAGACGTGATTCGAAAGCTGAGACTGGGATTGGCTAAGGATCTGGCAGGGCTATGGTTGGATGACGCTGACGGAGTTGCAATTTACTAGAACTAGAAACCGGGATGATGAGACAGAGGGCATGCATGAATGGACTTTTTTTTTTTTTGTATGATGGGATTTGGGCCGAGGTAACGAACGATACATGAAGCTGGTTCAGGTGTTGAGATACCTATATAATACTCGTACTGCAAAGAGATTTGAGGCATTACGTTGATTTAAGATGGCTTTTCATTGCATATGGTAGTCTGCGAGAGTCATGACTCAGACCTGGGAGATGCCGGAATGTCTTAATTTTTAGTGCCCATATTATCGATCTACGGAGCCGTGCGCCGGCCTGTGGCTCCGATGCCCCTCCAATCCGATGGCAACAATTGACAATCAGTTCCGATCCAGCCCAAAAAAATTCACCCTCCAGCATCACGAGAGCAGTGATTGATTGTGCAACATGGCACCAATTGAACTGGCAGGCCGTTCTGGAGGCGCCATGACGGTGAGTATCCGATGCTTTTATCTTTTCTTCTATTCATAAACAAGATCAAAAAAGTAAACTCAGGACTGACTTGACGATTGCCAGAGCCTCTTGCGACGAGCGGGATCCATCTCCGCAACCGGAGCGCACCGCGCATTGCGAATCTCGTCGAGCAGATTCTCAACCGCAACGTCCCTGCCGCCGACGTACGAGAAGCTCTTCACCAGATACACCGACGTGCGGCGCGTCCTGGGCAAGCAGCGCTTGACGCTGGCCGAGAAGATCCTCTACAGCCACCTGGACAATGTCGAGGAGTCGCTGCTCAACAACACCGACGGCGGGCGCAGCATTCGCGGGAAGGCGAACCTGCTGCTCAAGCCCGACCGGGTCAACATGCAAGATGCGTCGGCGCAGATGGCGCTGCTGCAGTTCATGTCGTGCAACCTCGAGAGGCCCGCGATCCCGGCCAGCATCCACTGCGACCACTTGATCGTGGGTTCCAAGGGCGCTGAAGACGATCTTTCGGCGGGTATTAGTGCTAATAAGGAGATTTTCGACTTTCTGGAGTCGGCGGCGCGCAAGTACGGCATGGACTTTTGGCCTCCTGGTGCGGGTATTATTCACCAGACGGTGTTGGAGAACTATGCGCTGCCGGGCCTCATGATGCTGGGCACGGACAGCCACAGCCCCAATGCCGGCGGTCTCTGCACGGTGACGATTGGTGTTGGTGGTGCTGATGCTGTTGAGGCGCTGGTTGGTGCGCCGTGGGAGCTCAAGGCCCCGAAGGTTCTGGGTGTCCAGCTCACGGGCAAGCTCAACGACTGGGTTGCGCCCAAGGATGTCATCTTGAAGCTGGCCGGCGAACTGACTGTTCGTGGTGGCACCGGCTCCATCATTGAGTACTTTGGCCCTGGTGTTGATACCCTGAGTGCCACTGGCATGGCCACCATCTGCAACATGGGCGCTGAAGTTGGCGCGACCACGTCCATCTTCCCTTACACTGAGGCTTCTGCACGATACCTCCAGTCCACCCGCAGAAGCCAGGCCGTTGAAAACATCAAGGCCCTGCAGAGCTTCCCCGGCAGCGGCACCTCCGAGGATGCCCGCTTCCAGTTCAAGGCAGATGAAGGCGCCGAGTACGACCAGCTCATCACCATCAACCTGTCTGAGCTCGAGCCTCACGTCAACGGCCCCTTCACTCCCGACCTGGCCACCCCCCTATCCAAGTTCAAGGATGTTGTCAAAGACCAGCAGTGGCCCGAGAAGCTGTCCGCCGGCCTCATCGGCAGCTGCACCAACAGCTCCTACGAGGACATGACCCGTGTCGAGAGTCTCCTCAAGGAGGCTGCAGACGCAGGTCTCAAGCCCGCCGCCGACTTCTACATCACGCCCGGCAGCGAGCAGATTCGCGCAACCCTGGAGCGCGACGGTACTCTCGAGACCTTTGAAGCTGCCGGCGGTGTCGTGCTGTCCAACGCTTGCGGTCCTTGCATCGGCCAGTGGCAGCGACAGGACGGCGTCACCAAGGGAACCTCCAACGCCATCCTCACGTCCTACAACCGCAACTTCCGTGGCCGAAACGACGGCAACCCGGAGACGATGAACTTCCTCGCCTCGCCCGAGATTGTCACCGCCATGGCCTTTGCCGGCTCAACCACCTTCAACCCCATGACCGACAGCATCAAGACCCCCTCCGGCAAGGACTTCAAGTTCTCCCCCCCCCACGGCCTCGAAGGACCCACGACCCCCTTCGAGTCCGGCGTCCCCTCTCTCGGCGTCCTCTCCCAGCAGCCCGACCCCAGCGTCCAGGTCGCCATCTCCCCGTCCTCGGACCGCCTCGCCTTCCTCGAGCCCTTCGCGCCCTTCCCCGAGTCCGACCTCTCCGGCCTCCGCGTCCTCGTCAAGGTCACCGGCAAGTGCACCACCGACACAATCTCCGCCGCGGGGCCCTGGCTCAAGTACAAGGGCCACCTCCCCAACATCAGCACAAACACCCTCAACACCGCCGTCAACGCCGAGACGGGCGAGGTCAACGCCGCCTACGACCTCGACGGCTCCAGGCACACCATCCCCGAGCTCGGCCAGCGCTGGAAGGACCGCGGCCAGGACTGGCTCGTCGTCGCCGAGCACAACTACGGCGAGGGGTCCGCCCGCGAGCACGCCGCCCTGCAGCCGCGCTACCTCGGTGCCAGGGTCGTCTTGACAAAGTCCTTTGCCCGCATCCACGAGACCAACCTCAAGAAGCAGGGCGTCGTGCCGCTGACTTTCGCTAACGAGGCTGATTATGACAAGATTTCCGCTGGCGACGAGGTCAGCACCGTTGGATTGTATGAGATGCTGCGCAACAAGGGCAAGGGGGATGTCCAGCTCAAGGTGAAGAAGGCGAGTGGCGAGGAGATTCTGATCCCGACCAAGCATGCTGTGAGCAAGGACCAGGCGGGCTTCATTTTGGCGGGCAGTGCTTTGAACCTGTTGTCTAAGGGTGTATAAAAGAAATAAAGAAGGAAACGAGTGTATTAAAGTTGGATTTATGTTGAATAAAATGTGGAAAGGGAGGGTATATAGCACGTAGCCTGCTAATTGATTTCAGTTACCAAAAAAGCAGCGTCGAATTTGATTTTACAAACAACCTCTTCTATATTGCGAGCACCCCCCAAAAGCTATGTACTGATATATGAATGCTGTCATTATTCTTCCTCTCGTTGAGCCCACGGCATTTCGCATATAAAGTGTTGAATCAATTCATCTCACGAAGACTGTGGTTCCATCAGCGCCCTCCTAAAAAAATCAGAAGGGTAAAATCATAACAAACGAAGAGAAAAAAGAAAAAAAAAAAAAGAAAGGAAAAGAAGTCTCCCATATGTACCCCATCCCATTATAACCTCGTACCTCCGAGACGCCAAACATGGACCCTTGCGACGGTGAAAATCTGCCTCTAAATCGAACCTGTCGTAAAGAATAAATAAATGCCCGAGCGGATATCTGGAGACAAGAGAAGAGAGAAAATAGAAACGATTAAGGAAGAAGAAGAAGAGAAAAAAAGAAGAAAAGAAAATAGAAAGGTGAAAGAAAAAGAAGAGAAACGGAACGCATTGTATGTAACGGCTCATCACTTCTGTCGGCTTCGCTGTAATGCCAACTTGGCATCTTCCATAATGCGCTCAGCCTGGCTCCATGCTTCCCGATGTGCATCCCTTGCTGCACGCTCCCGAAAAACCCTCTTTGCTTGATTTTCTCGATGCCACGCGCATGCCTTGACCCACGCCGGATTTTGCAGCACATCGTCTGGCAGCTCCTCTTCAGGAACATCTCCAAAGTCAATGATCCGATCATACGACCACGGTTGCGGGTCTACCCTTGTTGATTTTTGCGTTGCCGCATTCCGTTCATCTTCTGCCCTCTCTTTTGCTCGCAACCACCGTCGCCTTTCAATCACTTTGCCGAACCATGCTTTGCGTCCTCTGCGAGCCTGTATCGCGAGCGCCTTCTCCTTGTACCACTCCTGGGATCGGTTATATGGGTAATGAATCGCGGGATTAATTGCCAAGTATTGGCCTCGATCCTCAATCGAGGATTGCTGCACCGGAGTTTTTGGTCGAGGAGGAGCCTGTACAGAAACACCTGGTGGCAGACGCAACGTGGACTGGCGATAAATCATGGTATCAAAAGCCTCAGAATCAAAAACATGAGCTTTAGGCACCCTAGGCATCCTAGGCGTCCTGGGCGTTCTAGGCTCTTCTGCCGTTCTGGGCTCCACTGGCGTTATCACCTCTGCCATTATCGTCGCTGCTATATTCTGTGTCGCTACTGTGATAGTATCGTGCTCCACTGGGGCGTCTATTTCGAGCGCAGAGGGGGGTGTAGTAACCACGCTTTCTCGCTCATCATTCAATCCATTCGCCTGAGGCTCGGGCTGCTGCAACTGTTGAGATGTAGGCGTTGGATTTCGTTCGCCAACGTCGTCTTGGATGAAAACGGTATGATTTTCAAGCTGCTCGTTGGCTTTGGCGAGGGCTACTTCTATCATAGGCATCAACTTAGTTGGTGCTTGAGCCCTTTTTGAATTCCGTAACTGAGATGTAGCTTGTTCGTCACTAGCACTGGATCTGCGGCTTTGATTTTTGGACAAGCTGCTTGAAGGAACTGTTTGATAGTCTTCTCCTGGTTGGCTTGATAATCGCGATTCGTGTTCCCTCTCTGATGCTGGGGGTGTAAAGCTTCCCTCTGGTCTTTGTTTTGTAGAGGGGTCTCTACCTTTGGGTTGAACATCCGAGCTATCAGCCTTTCGTTTTTTAGGAGATATATGCAAAGGGAGATTTTCCTTGAAAGGTTGGGCAACGTGAATGGTAGATCCCTCGCGCTTGTGTGTCCTGCCTGATTCCGACTTTCTTCGGCTTGGCGCCGGGGCCACAGTAATCGTCGACGGGTCGTCCACCTTCGCATTTTCAACGCGGGTGGATGGCACAGTTGCAGGAGGAGGGTTTTTATGAGTGGCGCTAGGCAGGTTGGAAGGTAAAGTGGATGGTTGGGCATGAGTAAAATTCAAATTCGACGGCAATTCGACACCCGCACCAGCATATCCACCAACAGGATCAAGGTTACGCCGAGGAATGGTACTTGGTGGCACATGTCTGCTCTGCGAGAAGTCCTGATTAGGCTGTGGACGCGTATATGGCGAGCGCCTTTGATCAATGGACGTAAATTCAGGATTCAGAACAAAATAAGGCTCGCGAGGCCGAGGCGGCATGGTCTCCACCGTGATTGTCGAGGCGTTGACCTCTATGACCTCTGCTATTCCCCGTTTTTGCCGTTGCATCGGAGGATCTCCGAATCCGAATGGCGGGTGTTGTGGCATATGATTTGGTTCTTGGTGGTGTTGTGAATGATGTGTGAAAGAAGTTGGCATTGCTTTCTCAGTAAATGAGAAAGTGGAGTCGCTATGCCGCGCAGAATACGCGGACCCCTGAGAATTATTCAGCGGGGGACCAGCCGCGGTTCGTCCAGGAGGTCGACGAGTCTTCCTTGGCCTATGTACGGATCGAATCGCTTCGGAAGCAGGAGCCCTGGGAGCGAAATGGGGGGCATAGTGTTGAGAGCAGAGAGATTCTGCAAATGTGGGCTCTTCGCAACCCCAAACGGAGCAACTCCCCCTCAGCCTAAGCGCCTCATCGCGGTTCATATCTGAGGGCCTCACCAGTCATACAGGAATCCAGATGATGGTTCGCAAAGTATCATTGCACGCCAAGCACCGGAGAGGGATCTCGCTGAAGGATTGCGCCAAGATTACTTCCCGACGCAGGATGACGAGACTTTGCAGCGTGGTCATGCCAAGAGTCAAGTGCACAATCTGACAAACAACCCAGCGTGTTGCCCTTGTGTAAAACCATCCAGAGAAATAGTCCTTGACTTAAGGTAGGTGTACCAAACATCAAGGAATATAGAATCTGCTTCTTAGTCAGCGAGGCTCTATCGTCCATTCGGTCTGCACTGTAGAATTGAAAGTTTGGTTCGCTCTTCAATGTCAGATCTTTTCAGTTTATTTTTTGTGACTTCAGGCTAGGAACAGCAACGGTTATGGCCTCGAGTGTCTTCAAGAGGGAAACTGCTCGCATGAGCAGCCACTGTGCGTCGCGGCCTTTGGTCTCAGTCCGTGGGGCGAGATGAGAGAGAACAGAGACTCCGTGTGCGACGCGAGGGTTGATAATATGCAGCACTTGACGCCGTCCGACAAGGAACAGGGGATCGAATCCCATCCTGACGGCCTGGCGGGAGCTGCTGCTTGACGCGTTACCGTGAACGGGAAGCGTCTGTTCAGACCAAGAAGACACAGGGGGGCCACAACCAGGAGGTTCCATTCGGTCAGACCTTTTACCATTTCGGCATCATCCATTGCGGCGAGGAACCAGGCAGATGTAAGGAGAAAACACAAATGGAGGGCTTTTGCCCCGACAACTTACTTTGAGCCCACCAACGGGAGGTCAGCGTCGTGCTCATGGCACAGATATCTGAGAAAGTTGCGGAAGCGGATGGCCTCGGAGAATTCCGTCGATGCGAAGCTCGGCTTGACACTCGCGAGGCTGGCACTGGAAGAGCGCAGGTGCTTGGGCAAAGGCAACAGGATCGCCAAATTCCAGCTTCTCGCTCCCCCGCGGCTGCGCGCGTTGAGGAGAGAAAAAGATTGGGAGCAAGGCTGAGGAAAGGCGTCGATGGTTGGCTCGCGGCGGCTCGTTGGCCGTAGGGGCCCAAGCGCCCTATAACGGCCAGCGCCCTCTGAACTGAACCAAGCTGGGTACCAGGTACGGTACAGTCCGAGTACACACGAGTACCTGTACCGGGTCCGCGGAGGGCACTGCAGGAGTACATGTACATCATAGCGCGTGGTTGGCTTACCTAAGATTTCATCTCATGGCATGGCTTGGGGGTTCGTCGCTTCGTTAAGGGGTCTAATTGCATTTATTTTGTCTTGTGGCTGAATTCGTGGTGCAGTCAGTTGGACCCTTGGTTTCTGATTTCTGATGCCTCTGCAGCTGTCGACAGGTTTGACTCTGGGTCAGATTTTAGAAAACTGCGTCAGGGGTCTGATGGAAGCGATCCATTTGATCTACAGCGTTCCAAGCGTCTTCTGTACCACTACTTGCACTACCTCTGTTTGTTGCAGGTGGTTCTACAGTTAGCGTGCGGCGGCACGCCATGCCCTGAGAGCGGCCCAATTTAGCGGCCAGTCGCTTAAACGACGCCGTGCTACGGAGGGGCATGGATACATTAGGTAGCCGTGTTTGACACGTGCCAGATGTCTTCAATCTAGCTGCTAGGTAGATGCGCAATCAACGACAGCTCTCTTTATGCTGCCACCTCTCTGCATACCTCTCGACGGCCTCGCTCCGAACAGCTCGACATGGACTTTCTAAAGTCGGCCGTGGCTTCGGCCATGTCCCAGGGGCCCCCATTTCCCTATACTTTTGGCGACAAGGTCGACGTTGACGAATCAATCTGGACGCTGTACAATGGAACAAGGCGGGTAGGCTGGCCTGCTGGTTGCGGATGCTGCGTCGCCTGAACTAATCGTCGCGAGTAATAGGAGGATGGTTCCAACTGCAGCATATTCTCGTTCGATAGCACAGCAAAGAAGAGCCTGCTGCCTCTTGCAAAGAACGCGCTGAGAAAGCTCCGCACGTTGCGGCACCCGGGAGTCATCAAGGTGCTGGACACTGTCGAGGTATGCGATGCGACCACCACGAATGCACACTGAAGCTGACTGTCGAGCGACCAGACAGACACGTACATCTACATCGCTACCGAGCGCGTCACTCCTCTTCGATGGCACGTTCGAAGGAAGAGCTTGAGTCCCGAGACGATCAAATGGGGTCTATATACTGTCGCTGTAGGGATTATGTTGGAATCTCATCCGAAAACTCTGAATGCTGATTGTGCTGCAGCAAACACTCAAATTTATCAATGACGATGCAACCTCAAAACACGGCAGCCTGAGAGTCGGCTCAATATACACTACGGAAAGCGGAGAGTGGAAACTGGGAGGCTTCGAGGTTCTAAGTAACGTCAAGGAAAGCGAGTCTACTCTTGATGTAAGTTGCTTATTGCTCCAAGGCAAGATACAAAAAATAGCTAATCTTGTTTCCAGAGCTTCGGAAGCTTAGTTCCCGACTCTGGTCGGTATGCGCCGCCAGAGGTGGCTCAAGGAGGATGGGCCGCAACAAAGGCAAATCCTACCTACGCCGTAGATTCGTTCAATTTTGGAACTCTCATCTTTGAAGTCTTTAATGGCGACTTTCACGGTCCAGACCAAGCTGGCCAAACCAAAAACATACCCCCGTCCATGCAGACAAGCTATAAACGCCTCTGCAACGCCAACCCCAAAGCACGAATCAGTGCCGGCAATTTTCTAGACCTTGGACGACGATCGGGCGCATTTTTTGATACTCCGTTGATTCACCTAACGGACGGGATAGAGAATTTAGGGGTGAAGAACCCTGACGAGCGCGAGGAGTTTCTCAAGTAAGATATATCCCTTGTCTCATGTGTTTGGCTCTCACCTAACTCGCGACGCCAGCGACTTGGAAAAAGTAACGGATGATTTTCCCGAGGAATTTTTCAAAGCCAAAGTCCTTCCGGAGCTCGTCAAGTCGGTTGAATTTGGCGGTGGCGGCCCCAAGGCTCTCACTGTCGTGCTGAAAATAGCTGCCAAGTTACCCTCTGACGATTTTGAGTTAAAGATTACGCCCTTCATTATTCGGGCTTTTGCGAACCCTGATCGGGGCATTCGGGTGTGCCTCCTGGACAGCCTTCCCCTCATCATTGATCAATTATCACAGAGAGTCGTCAATGACAAGATCTTCCCCCAACTAGTAAGCTGCCTTTATTTCTTGCTGCGAGAATTGGTGTGCTAATAATAGCGTTAGGTTACTGGATTTACCGATGCGACGCCAGTTGTTCGAGAACAGACATTGAAATCTGTACTGGTTGTCATTGGAAAGCTATCAGACCGCACTATTAACGGCGACCTTTTGAAGCAGCTGGCAAAGACGGCAAACGATGAACAGCCTGGCATTCGCACAAACACCACCATCTGTCTCGGCAAAATTGCAAAAAACCTCGGCACGTCTTCAAGATCCAAAGTGCTGATAGCTGCTTTTACACGTTCCTTGCGCGACCCCTTTGTGCACGCGAGAAATGCGGCACTCATGGCACTCGCTGCAACAGCCGAATATTTTAATGAGGATGATAGCGCCAACCGCGTTTTACCAGTCATATGCCCGGCTTTGATTGACAAGGAAAAGGTAATCCGGGACCAAGCCTCAAAAACAATGGACATCTATTTGCAAAAAGTTCGCAAAGCAGCTGCTGCCATGCCTGAAACCGCTCTACCTCCACCCCAATCGGCCGATGCCGCTGCTGCTCAGGGGAGCACGATACAACCAGGCGCATCTTCCGGAAGCAGTTGGGCGGGCTGGGCCATTTCATCATTCACAAACAAGCTTACTGCTGTGGCTGGGGACATGCAAACTGCCAATAGCCCGAGCCCAGGTCCTGTTTCTCCATTACCTGAAACTGAGGTGAAGAAGCCGGCTACAGCATCCGCATCATCTCTTCACCGCCAAGCCGTGACATCTCCTCCCCCAGCATCAGGCCCATCGACACCTAGTGTCGCCAGTGCGATAGCTGGACAGTTTTTGCCCGACGACGATGATGACGCAGGTGACGCTTGGGGTGATATGGGAGATGATGACGCTTTTGAGACGCCTGCTGCAGCTGCCAATGCATCAACAACTGTGTCCGCGACGCCCTTTGGCGAAGATGAGCCCGATTTTGCAGGATGGCTAGCGGCGCAAGCGAAGAAGGGACCGAGCAAGCCATTGCCAAAGGGACTATCAAAGACTACCACGTCCAAGAAGCCTGTAACAAAGACAGTGGCGAAGCCCGTGGCAAAACCGGCAGCGAAGCCCGCAGCCGCTAAGAAGCTTGATCTGGCACCGAAAGAAGCAGACGACGACGATGATGGGTGGGGGGATGGTTGGTAGTTTGGCGAAGTTGGGGGATTGGCAGATTTTCCATTGTGATGTATAGCCAGGCAATTATTGTACTTTTCTGTTTGGGATGTGTGTGATAGCAATTGTCGTATGTGACAAACGAAGCCGGCGTTGGGATTAGAATTGGATTAAAAGATTATTTTCTATCAAATACTTGGATGTTATCGAGGTTCTATTCTCTTATACTTACAATATGTTCTGCTATATCTCGGCAGATATTCCGTACTGCTAGCCGACCGGGCCTTTAGCGCAAAGTGCTAGTGGTGGTTTGGCCTATCTAAGCTTATCGATTGTCCGAACCAGAAAAAAAAGAAATAAAATTTCCCACCACTTTGTCTTTCCCCACCACGCATCGAACCAACCGACCGACGATTCGCAGCTATACAACACGGCAAATCGTGAGCGGACGCCGGGAAATAGGGGAAAGGGAAGATACAGAACAAGATGGCGCAGGGCTCGATCAAAAAGTCCAACAAGGCCGCCGCGCCAAAGGCCGTCCACTCGAAGCGCCAGGCCTCCAAGGTCACCAAACCCAAGAAGAAGGTCAACGCCGACAAGATGCTTAAGAAATTCACATCAGGCATGGTAGCCAAGACGGAGGCGCTGCTGGGCGAGAGAGCGGGCCATCTCGAGCTGATTGGACCCGGAAAGAAAGGGAGCAAAAAGTTGTCGCAGAAGGGAGGATCAAAGAAGTTTGGCTAAGGAAGAGCTTGGAAATGGGGGAATGGGCGCTGGGTGGTAGAGGGATTGGGACAAGGCGACATATTCGGATTGCGAGCGATATTGATTTTTTACAACTATTCTTTTTCTTTTTTTTTACGATGACAAACATTTCTCGATATCAAATTCTCTTCCCTCGGCAACATCATTCAGAATCGTTGTCACCACTTTGAAATCCCGCTCGACATCGACCTTCCAGTTCGACACCGCTATCCTCACAGCCTTTTCGCCCTTCCAGCTGGTCCCGCTTACGTACAGCTGCCTCGTCGCGTTAATTTTCGCCACCAGTTCATCGTTTAGCTTCTTATCCTTCGCCCTGAACAGAATAATTATGAAAATTTCTTCAATATCGCCGCTCTCATCAGGCAGCAAATCATAATACGGCGCCTCTCGCAAGAAGACGGCTAGCTTGCGAGACAGCTGAGCCATGTTGTGGAACAGGTTAGCAAAGCCGGGACGTCCTTCGCTGAGGAGCACGGCGTAGGCGGGCAGGGCGCGGAAACGTCTCGAATTTTCGAGGCCTACGTTGAGAGGAGACGAGATGCTGGCAGCTGGGCCCGAGGAGAGATATGCGGCGTTTGGGTTGATGAATACGGATTCCAGGATGGATGAGGTACGGGTGAAGAACATGCCGCAGTCATACGGCTAAAGCTGTGAGCGGATTGCACATTGGAGAAGCAGAGAGATTTCACATACAACGTTGAGCATTTTGTGGCCGTCGATTGTGATGCTGTCGGCCAGGTCGATGCCTTTGACGCGATTGCGAAGCAGCCGGTATTCATCTCGATCATCCAGCGCACCACAGAAGATTCCAAACGCTATAAGGCAAGAATTAATGAAACGCGATCAAAATCTGATTTTCAGCATATATGGTTCAAACATACCTCCATCTGCATGGATCCAAGCATCATGACGATCTGCTAGTTGCCTCAACCTCTTCCACTCATCAACATCATCAAGCGCATAGCCTCCGGTGTTCACCTCTCCCATGCTAACGGCAATGATGCTTGCTGTTCCAGGGCGAGCCAGTTCTCTCTCTACTGCATCGAGATCCAGCTTCCACGGCTGGGCCGCGCTTCGAGGAAGCTCCTTTACGGATGCTCTCCCCAGGCCAACCACGCTTGCTGCTTTGGAGAGCGAGCTGTGCCCTCCGCTGGTGAGAATCTGAATTTCAGAGACTCCTGCTTTGACACAAGCACCCAACACACCGAGCTCGCCCACCGACGCGCCCTTCTTCTGAAGGATAGCTTCACGTCCGCACGCTAGCCCGAGGACGTTGCTGCCAGTGGCTCCTGTGGTGAATGTGCGGCCCTTCCACTCTGATTCTAGGCGCAGCAGGCCTATAAGCATCTGAAGAGCGGCGTTTTCGACGAATGTGGACACGGACTGCTCCGGGAGATGGACCTGCACGTTCTGGTCCATATGGGAGACGACATTGTCAGCCCATTCGGCTAGCGGAAGGACACCGCCAGTGACGAAGCCGAAATAGCGGCTCGACTGTGACTGGCCGCATAGCGCAGGTACAATATGTTCTGTAATATGCCGTGCGACATCGGCAGCAGGCTGGCCGGAAAGGAAACCTGGGTCGGAAGGATGGGGGAGGATGGCTGAGGCAGCGTGAATGAGTTCGAGAGGCGGGAGTGTCTGGCTCTTGGGGAGAGATGACGGGGGGGGATCTCGTTGCTGGAGACGGACGGCCTGAGCGTTAATGTCGAAGAGGTCAGACATGGTGACGATTGGGGGCGTGTAAGTGAGGAACTGTATGAGAGTTGAATGAGCGAGATGTTAATTGCCCCGCCGATATAGGCAAATTGGGCGTATAACTACTAAGCAATTGTAATAGAGAAGGCAAACTAGAAGACGGAATGGAAACAATAAAGAAGCATCAATGGCATTTTATATCATACATCTAGCTTAAACGATTGGTAAAAACAATGGTCATGATTCTCCACACGTGTGCTTTAGACCCGTAGGTTGGGGGATCGCAAAGTCTTTCTCTCGCGGTTTTGCTCGCAAAGTTGCATCCAGCACGATGGCCCAAAGCGGTATAAGGCGAGAACGTCAGCGTGCGCCTTCTAGCACCAAAAGCCTCAATCCAATGGCATTATCTCATTGATCTATTAGTCACAGACTTGTTCGTAGCAAATGTTGGCTGCATTTGCTGCTGTTTTTGTTAGTACCTGTATGTTTCTGTGTCTTACACGTGATTGCTGCCGGCCGTTAGAATTCGGCACCGGCTCGGGAATCACGCAGCGGCGGCCAAGATGCCGCATCTGCCGCTTCACCGTCAAGTCCGTTGAGGATTTGTTCTCGGCCCGGTGTGTGTCAACTTGGCAGCAACAGAACGGAGTAACAGTACCACATTTAGAATTCGCAGGGCGACAAAAAAAGAGAGAGAGAATAAAATCGGGACAAAACCCAGGTTTCGCATTCAGACAGACACCAAAGGCTGTGTATCCAAACTGTCTACTGTTTCACAAGACAAAAAAACGCCCAAGGAAAAAAGCAATTCCTCCACCTTGACACAATGAAATCATAAATAGATGGTTTATTCCTTTTTTACAGCTTCGCAGCCTCCTGGACGCTGCCGATCTTGTATTTGCCGCCGTACTTTTCCAGCACGCTCTCGTTGTGGTACTTCCAGAACGCCTTGGTCGCGTTCTTGCCCGCGAAACGCTTGAGGATCTTTGCGCCGCCGGGGTGCTCGTCGAGGAATTCTAGAAAGGAGGAAGGGGTTTCGCATTAGCTTTCTGACTTTCATTTCTGGTTTCTGCTTCTGACTTCAAGCGTCTGCTTCGATCGATCCAAGAAGAAAGGAGGGGAAGGCGCACTGGTGACGTCGTAGACATTGTTCTCGACAATGAGCCAGTAGCCCTTCTCGTCGTTGTTGTGCGAGCCGACCTCGGCGGTGGTGAAGGACTTATCGGCCATTTTTTTTTATTTTTTAAGGTTTGTATTGCTTGCTGGTGTATTTTCTTTGTGAGGCGCAGAAGAATTACGCTTGCGAATGCAGTTTCTTATTGACTCGAAAATGCGTAGAAACAGGAAGAGATGGAGCGGGTAAGAAAGTGGAATGACGGAAGAAGGGAAATCAGCATTCCCTAAGTATTAAGCTCGAGCTCGTAGAAAAAGGGACAATCACGGCAAAAAGTTACCTCGGCACGGCCTGTTGGAGAGGCGAAGAGGGTCCGCTATGCCAGCTTGGTTCAGTGCCCAGTCCGGGGGATTACAGCGGGGGATTACAGGGGGATTATGGGGGGTTGTAATGGTCTACGGGTGGTCTGACGAATCAGGAGACGCGGATTGCAAAGGTCTCGTGAGCCGCCTTGGTGGTGGTGACGCTCTAATGTACAGACAACGAGTTAAGATAGTCAAAACTCAAGAATAATCGTATTAGTGATACATTGTATTGATTCGGGTCTATTACATCAACATCTACTTGTACATTCTATTGTACATGGCACTAGAGCTCAATCACCACCGGCCGTCTCTTCCGCAACGCTTCTCTGAATCGGTCCGCAAACGCAGATGTCGCTCTACAGTCGCTATTCATCCTCTTCTTCATCGCTTCCGGCAGCCACTCCTCAATCTTGGCAATCCTATGCTCGTTCTGTTCAGATAGACCACATATTAGCTCAGCTGCTCACTGTAACTTTATAAGAAAACCAAATCACACGTGAAATAACATACTGAAGGATGCGTGCTAAGCATCTCGGGAACCTCGTGTCCGCCCAGCCGCTGAATCGTCTCCATCCTCTGCCAAAACCCAACTGCCTGGCGCGGATCGTAGCAAGCCTCGGCCATCATCATCAGCCCAATGTAGTCTGCCTCACTCTCCTGCTTGCGGCCCATGGGGAGGTAGAACATCAGGTCCTGCAGATAGTAGCCCCCAATGACATTCCACAGGCCAAACAGAGCGAGGCCTGGCAGAGCACCAGCGAGGAAGAAGAGACTGCCGGCCGTGAGATTGCCGACCCAGGCAGCGGAGAGGCGCTCTGCGGCGTGGGAAGCCGTGTTGTGTGCGATTTCGTGGCCTAGCACCGCGGCGAGAGCGTCCTCGCTGCGGCACACGTTGAGGATGCCGCTGTGGACAAAGACCTTGCCGCCGGGGATCACAAAGGCGTTCGCAGTCCCTGGAGAGTGTAAGTATTAGCCTCACGAAACACTAGGATATGGGCATGAAGTATAAGAGGAAATCCTTACGGCTGTCTGCTATCACCCGAACCTCCCACTGCAAGTCGTCCATGCCACTGACGGGAATCAGCCGCTTCATGACTCTCTGCACTATCATCGTCCGCGGATCCCAGTCGGACAAGAAATGCCCGCCCTGTTCTTCTACCTGCCGCACAATCGCATCGGCCGCCCTCGAATATGCCTGCGCCACCAGCGCATCCGACAGGAAGTTGAAGCGCCTGCGTCCCGTCACCGGCACCGTCTGCGAGTTGTACAGGTAAAACGTCACCGCGGCCACGACCGAGACAACGACCAGGGCGCGCGACTTGCGGCCGGTGCCGGCGCTGGTGAACTTGCCCGCCAGAGCATTGGGCACGAGCGGCTTTGCGTTGCGCAGGCGCTCGTGGGCATCGTCGTGAATCGATCGGCTGGACAAACTCCCGAAGCTCGTCCTCGTCTTCAGCCCGGAGCCAGACCGACAGACGGCAGCATCTCGTCGAGCAATTGGCCGCAGCACCGCGACTCTGCGAGGGGCCGGAGCCGATAAGCGCACGAGGCCGCTTCCCCGGAGCAAATGGCGGGGGATCATCTCGCGCGAGGGGGAAAAGGATTGCGGGCCGAGGTTTCTGTCTTTTTGTCTTTTTCGTTTTGTCGATTCCCCGGCGTGCTCGCGCTGCTCTGCTTTCCCCCCAGCCGGTGCCTCTTTGCGGAAAAGCGGCGTCGCCGGGGGTTTGTTGGTTAGTCGTACAAAGACGAGATGAAGAGGAAGAAGTTTGATAGTGGGATGTTTTCCATAGAGCGGCTGCAACTACGTCAGTTCCGATAACAGGCACCTGTTGATGGCGTGTTAGTGCAGCCAGCGTAAAGGCACACGGCCCACAGATCAGCCATCCTCTCTGTGAATAACTCTCCGATGCTCTCGCCATACTCCTGTCGATTATCATAATTCACATGCTTGATTTTATCCCTGGCCAAGGAATTTACAAAAAAAAGCAGAGGGAATCGAGAAATGACCAGCATACAGATCATGTACAGAAACAGACAATCCGCACATGCCCACCACACTAAACTCATCTGGAACAGTGGTCGTATTCTCCTCATATAGGTAGACACATGCCACAGGTTTACATGGAGTTTGCAGTCCCTATTTTCCCCTTTTCTTCCTTTCTTTCTTCTTTCTTTCTTTCTGGGCAATCCGCTTGCTTGCGTTCCATCCTCTTGTTCATCTTGCTACCGCTCACAAATCACCAGCTAAGCGGAGACTTAACAAGGGCTTATGTAGGATTGGGCCGTGTCCGGGAATTACCTGTTAGGTACTAAGGCATGTAAGAGATGATGCAATCACAAAGCAAAGCCTTTAGATGGTATTCTATCAACGAGGTAGTAAGGCATCAACATCATTGCCTCACAAATTACATGTAATCCATAGCTCTAAGCCTCTCTCATCCTTCAACTTTCCATCATCTTCAATCCCTTTATCCACACTGGAGCCCACAAGCCTTGCCAATTCCAACTAAACCCTCATCCCCCGCTTCCAAACTACCGGCGACTTTATAACCAACAAATCTTCACCATGAGTGCCTCACAGCAGCACGACGAGGACTCCAAAACCCTCTCCTCAATCGTCCCAGCTTTCACCCCGTCCGAATCTTCCGAATCCGCTGCCGTCAAGTCAATCATCAGCTCCCTCTCTCTCATCGAGCACGTCGAAGGAGGCTATTTCGCAGTCACAGACGTCAGCAACACCAAGATCCCTTCCCCATACCCGGCCACGCCCCTCTCACAGCGCACCATCGACCTCGTCAATGGCCTCCCCGAGGATTTCGACTACGCGCTCCGCCGCCTTTCGACGACAATCTTTTACTATCTGACGCCTAACCGGCCCCAAGGCTCATTCCACCGGAACCGAAGCCGCATCATTCATAGTCTCCACCGAGGCCGTGGCCGCTACGTTCTTATCCATCCAGATGGCCGTATTGAATCCTTCGTTGTTGGCCCCAACATTGAGCGCGGCGAGAAGCTCCAGTGGGTGGTGGAGGGTGGCGTGTTCAAAGCAAGTTTCCTCCTCCCTGACACTGATGGTCAGTCTGGCAGTGATGGCCTGCTCATTTCGGAGACTGTTGTGCCTGGTTTCGAGTACGCTGATCATGAGTTTCTGTCTCACGAACGGTTGGTCGAAGTTCTTCCAGAAGCCAAGGCCAAGGCGCTGGAGTGGCTTGTCAAGCACTGATACCATCTTTGACAATGTGGGAAATTCTGGTCTTGTGTCTAGGTTACATGTAGAATCAATTGACTTTCCAATTTTTGATATCATGAAAATTTCAAGACTTCAAACCACTCACGCCTTGCTCTAACGAGGTTGCTTTTCCATCCAGCATAAATTCAGTTTCAACATAATTTTCCCTCGTGACACAGCTGGCGTACGATTATCGGTAACAGAGGCAAATCTTGAAGCATATATCCCTGCCAAACTTATCTTGTAGTTTGGTTCTATTCCCAACGCCGAGCTATGTTGCTAATAGTGCCCTATAACATGTATTTTGAAAGAACGGAAAACAAAAGAACGGAAAGCAGGAAAAAGAGGGAGAGAGTTGAAGATGAGTTGAAAGAGAAGAAAAAGAGGAAAAAGAAGTATGAGAGAAACAAGAACGGGAAAAGAAGGGGGAAAGGAGAAGAAATGGCAGTGTTAGCCACGGAGTATTTTTCTTTTATCATCACTGTTCTCCTGGAAATGGCTTTCTCCCCCAAACCACAAAGATGGGCAAGTATGCGTGAATCGATGGATCCGACACATCTCGCCGGACTTCAACCAAAGATACCTACAGTCATCTCATTGTTAGCTACCTCTGCTTCTCCCCCTTGATACAAAATCGACCAAATCTTGGCAGAAACAAAGTTCTCTCACCTCAATCTCCTCAGGTGTCCGTCCATAGACGCGGTTGAAAGGGGCCAGCGAAAATGCACTCAGCCCCATCTGCATATTCATCTCCATCAACCTCCCAATCTCCTTGAGATCCTGGTCCTTGGCCCAGCCGTTCAGAGGAACTTTAAATTTCCGTTCATGGACGTCGACAAACCCAACGCGCTCATATATGCTTTTAAGCTTGCAACCTTCCGAATGGGGACGCTTAGCCTCTTCTCCAGCGTGAAGAAACTCCTGGAACCATAATGCCAATGCACTGTCCGGTTTGAGCGTACCATCGTCGCAGTGAGGTACAGAGTCGCACTCTTGAGATTCGAACCAGCCTCCTGGGGCAAGTGTTTCAAAGGCTTGTTGTGCAATCTGTGTTTCGTAGGATTCCCAACAGCCGCCTGTTGTTTTGGTATGAATGTAGTCAAAGGTTTCGCTGTAATTCCAAGGTTCGGAGCTATCAAGATTACACCAACCACCGGTAGTTAGTATTTGACGAGCAGTATTGCTATTCAATCACAAGCCACTTGTATTGAAATAAAAGCATGATGGAAGGAGAAGATGGAGGAGATACTCACGAATCTTCCACATAAAATTCCACATTCGTCGGAACGACCTCGGGTTGGATTGGTGATAGATCCGTAGCTGTAACTATAGCATTCGGGAAGCAATCGCCCATTGATATGGCCCAGTCCCCCGTGCCAGTAGCAATGTCGAGGATTCGCCTGGGAGGATGCTCATCCAGCGGAGCAAAGTAGAGCTTGTCACCCATCGCCCTGGTGAACGCACAATCCTGTAAAGCTAATCGCTCTTGTTCTACTTCGTCATTTGGGAAAGCGTACGCTATAGGCAAGTTAGGTTTAACGGTCAAGTGGCGTCATCATTGTCCAAAGTGAGTTTCATCTTACACCCTTCTTTATACGCATGATAGGTCCGGCCAAACTGCCGTGGGAAGTCCATGACGCTATCGGTTAATGATGATGAATCGAACCTATAAATCGTGGTTAACTTGGTGATGCCTGGGCGTTGCCTCAGCGAGAGGCTGCGATGAGGATTCGGGAAACGGATCGGGCGTCAACGTACATCCACGTGCTTTCGGCCTGAGGCTAACAAGATAAAGTGTTAATCATTATCATCTCATAGATTGAAAGAAAAATAGGGTATGAGTGAGAAGTCAGGAATGACGTGCATCTGGTTCAATGAAGCTATCATCTGATGAGCTAGGGGCAGAAACGCCAAAAGTGAATTGGTATCCCTGCAGCCCCGAGATAGCCTGGCCATCGTTATTTTCGGGCAGAGGCTGTGATTCGTCTTCCATTGTCAACCAGGTATTTAGGTAAACCTGAAAGTAAAATAAGATTGGAAATAAAAGGAGGAAGAATATCGGTGAGGAGTATGGTGTCAAATGGCTAGAGCTTCAAACTCATGGATGGGTAGCCGGAGATATAAATTGTATGGCAGAAATCGGCCCGTGGAAATCCTTTCGACAAACGAAGACGCCGTAATACTGTATATGACACTGAGACACTAATACCAGACAAGAGATGTAGCAAAGGCGGAGAGCTGAAGGTATTCGAGCAGCGGCGGAGCTAGTTGAAAGCATAAATCCGAGAAGAACAGCAACTGACGCAGGATGTCTACACCAGCAACTCGGACCCAAGCAGGTGGTAACGAATAGAAGATCTCAAGCCAGCCAGATCCGAGATGATGCGCGCAACGGAGCTCGAATGAGAAGACAAGCTTTGCTCTGTGCTAGTATAGTATAAACAGTGTCTTGAAAAACTGACAGGGGGGTCGGAGCCTGATCGATTTGCCTTTTCTTCTTTTCCTCTTTGGGGGCCGCTGTCCTCTTCCTGGGGCGTTTTCTGTGAATCTTGGCTTGACTAGATCGCCTGGATTTGCCTCTAGCTGAGAGGGCCAGCTAGTAGTATGCAGTTAGGACTGGAACGCAAGCGCCAGAAAGCTTCGGGTATCGTTGCTCTCAAGGGCGAAAACAAGAACAATAAAGAAAAAAAGCCGACGCCAGATTGTACAATCGGAAAAGCCAAGTTTTAGCCACAGGGAGAGAGGAGGTGAAGAGGGTAGACTCGACAGCACGGGCACGGGTTTCATGTGATCTGGTCAGACCGTTTGCCTTTCCAAGTCCCGGGGAGCTGGTTCTGCCAGGGAAAAGGACTCGAAACATGGGAGTGGTGGGACCAACGCTCAAGCCAGAGAAATCATGCAGAAAGGGATGTTGGCCGAATAGCACGGATCCTTTCACTCGGACTGGATTGTGAACAGAGCACAGGTTTACGGCAACACCCACAGAGCAGGTATTTGGACACACACACCACCTTGTATATGACCCAACCAACTACCGCTCGCTCCTCGCTCCTCGCCAAAAGACACCTTGCATTCCCACCCCATCTTATGTATGTAGGCGGGCGGATAAGGCCGAAAGAGCTTTTGGCAGCGTCGGATCAAGTCCCAGACGTCTGGGACCAGTGGGGGCTAGTTAGTTGTCTCTTTTATCCCGCCTACCCATGCCATGCGCCGGCATAAGAGAAAGCCTCGTCCTAGCAAGTGTTGTTCTCTTGGTCGCCTTTTTAGTCTGGCAGCAAAGCCGAAGAGAAAACAAGCCAAGCTGTGTGTCCCGTCCCGTCCCTCCTCCCCCGAAGCCTGCATAACCCTTGCCGAACAAGCCCAAGGATTCACAGCCAGGATTTTTTGCTGGGAGGGCGGCGCGTGTGCGTTTCCGGGTTGGGCAGATCGTAGATGGCGGGTTGCAAGACGCCACCTTCTTGGGCGAGTCCTCGTACAGTGTACAGGTATTCAATGACAAACGAGCTTGTGGCCTTGGTCCAATGAGCACCGACAGGGGCGTTTTTGTCGTGGCCACGCATGCATGCCCGCCCGTGTGTCGGTGCCGCCCTCGGCACACTTTGGGGGGAGAAAACAAAGGGAGATTTTGGATGAGAAAACAAGACTATCGGCGGTGAATGTGGGCGAAGGGCGGACAACGTGATGCCGTTGAATTTCTCTTGCTGTAAGCCTGTTATTGTCTCAGTAATTATCAAATTTCATGCATACATTGAACCGGATATTATTCTGGGTATGTGATAGTGCAAGTGGTCCCCGCGTCGATCACTTTATACATGCGACGGCGAGTAGAAATCCCCAGTATTCTGCTCTGTCCTCTGAGTTTTTACCATCGTCCTCGAATGCCCCATTACCGGTGCCTTGGGAGAAAATTGCTCCCTACATGTGTTGGGTGTCACAGACCCGGTTACTCGTACCATTGCATGATGGCGTCTCCAGCGAGAGCAGGGATGCGCCTTGCTCCATTTCTCGGCACATGAAAGGGCCCCCATCTATCTTCAGGCTGTAGTGGATTTGGATGCATTAACCCTGATGGAGGTCAGCTTCCAATTACGGCCAGCTATTAGTAGAACCTCCCGTTTTGTCTTACATGATGTGAGCAAAAGCGACCCCCCGCTTACCCATACTCTGTATATAATAATAGAGACAAGTAAGATAGACATGTAGGGCATTGAATCCAGCCAACACACTTAGGGATTCTCTTGCAAATCATCTCGGCCATATTAAGACCCCTGTCTGCCGCCCCAATCTGACATGTAACTTTTTTTTTGCGTGATACAAAAAACGGTCTGTTCCATCACTGCTGTACCTCCAATGGTAGCACTTTGCTACAATCCCTCATCCAACAACGTTCCAGGTTCTACATACACGCATAAACGAACTAGGACCAGCTGCATCAACTCCCTGGTCTTGAAGAGCAGGTGGCTGCAACTCGGTGAGCTAGCTCAGACGCCATCCAGACCCAGCCAGAGAGGCCTGAGCTTTTACCCTCTCTTACTGTAGCATATCCATCCTGCGTCTTGCGTCCTGCATGCCTGACCTACCGCGGAAAGGAAAATCATGCTAGCTTGCATGGATAGACGAGGACGACATCATATCACCTTAGTACTCGTAGACCATGTTGGGAAAGTGCTCACACAAGCCCTATTCGAAGCGTTTTCAGCGATAGATGTTACCTCATGTAGTATCGAGATCAGTATATGTAGTTATGACTATGCTCCGTACACACAACTGTCTTCAACCATACCTAGATGATGGAAACCAAACCGTCACAACTCCCATGATAGCACTTTTCAGCTAGTTAGGAGCCCTCCACCCCAGCCTCCTCTCTCTCACCGGTCACACAGGATCAGAGCAAGGGCCTCCCCCTCCGACCCAAGACCGCCCAATAGCTAAATTCCATTCAACATGTGATATATGACCAGACGGCACAGCGTGCATGAAGTGGTGTTAACTACGTGGTACAGCTGCCCGTAGGTAGCAAATAAGAACTTGGATATTGACGGAGATGCTTACACCACTATATCGTGTCCACACGACATGTGGATAAAGGCGTATCAGTTTGCTGTTGCGTATCTAATAACGCCAAAAAGTTCCTCGCACGAAGCAACTAGAGCTCCCATATGAATAACTCTCTCCCCTGCCGTCAACGCATGATATCACGGAAAAATAATACGAGTGATTCCCACAGGGACAGCCCCCACGCACCTCCTCTCCCTCGTTTACTAGGCCAATGCCTACTCCGCATCAAAATCACCGACTTTCAACTAGCCATATGCCAAGCCGGGGAGACTCGTGCCAACTAATCCATTATTTCCCCGCGAAGACATGCTCAAAATAGACTCAAAATTCATGCGTATATGTTTTACTTTACTCGTAGCACAAAGAAAAAGATGATCCTCCGCACCAAAACCTCATACTTGGAAAACAGATAATCGTATTAAACTACCAAAAGAAAGCAAAATCAAGGAAGCAGCAGCCATTTGCACTGCGCAAACGGAACAAGACCACATTTGCAAACGAGCCGCCCAACTTTCTTTTCTTAATAGTATATAATATAGCATTATCATCATCCATCATACCGACTTAAGCTATCCAAACCCTTCCTCCACCAGAGAGCGACCCTTCTATTCTATATTGTGCTTCCGCACTTTGACACATTTTTTTTTTTGGTTTTTTTGCTACTTCTCTTCTTGCTGCGTCCATCTGAAGGGGGGGTATAATCTAACTGGTCGTTTCAATGACCACACAAAAGGGAAAAGAAATATATATATACCTATATATCTGTAGGGGAAATCCCTGAGAGAAGGGGAAAGGGAAAATCGGGAGCACGTGGGGCTTCGTGAAAACGGGGGAAAAGCAAATAAAGGAGCGCAAAAAAACAACAACAACAATCCGTTCAAGATTCGTAATTCTCACTCATTTCTCATTCTTCATCTTCGTTTTAATAGTCGCTGTTTTGGCCGGGGCTCATGATGCCGCTGACAGGCGTGTTCTCGCCGTTGGAGTTGAACGTCTGGTCAATCCTAAAGATCCAATCCTGCTTGTCGCGCTCGCTGCGAGCCGCAAACAGCCATGTGTTGTCCGTCCCATAAATCGCAAACACGGCTGCTTGCATCCGCTCGCTAAGTCTCTGCAGCCCTGGTCCTCCGGCAGACGCCCCCCCGCCACTGGCAGCAGTCCAGATAGTCGAAATTACCCGTCCCGAAGCCGTCCGTCGGTGGCCGGGCGTAAACTCTGGCGAGTTGGAGGTTCGCGGCGGAGAGTCGTAGTCGTCGGGTCCGTGCAGTAGTCCGAGGACACCGGGCTGGCTGTCTATGCGTGAATTACGCAGACTTACAAGGCCCACTTCATCACCATCTGAGGCAGAGTACACGTGAAGATATGGCCTTCTCAGCTCGACAAATCTCTTGACCCATCGTGTAGACTCGTTGTTTGGAACCAATAAGTATCCACCTTTTAGCACCTTGGGATTCTTGGGCACGCGCACAATGGTGGTAATGAGACTGGGAGGTGCTGGCTCCGTGGTGACTCCATTTTCTGGGGGCTGCGTGTTTTCAGGGCTCAAGAGCTTCACAAAGGGGTCCGGATATTTCTTCCACAGCTTCAAGCATAGCTCCAACAAGTCAGTTTCCCGCGTGTTGTATTCAGACGGCGGGGGAGTAAGAGGCTCAGGGTTGTCTTCCTGTGGCAGCTGTTGGTCATCATCTTTCGCAGCGTCTTCGTCGGGAGTAGGCTCATCTGACGCCAGTTCCTCTTCATGGATTGATGGGGCCGGAGATGTTACAGGTGTGTCATTGAGTAAATCATCGTCATTTGGAATGATTGCTTGCATATCTGGCGATGCTTCACGTCCAGTCCCACGCTCTTCTCCCGCTGTCCCAGCGACCATGGGATCGATGCCATACTGAGCAAGCATGCTGCTTATGGCACCAAGTTCAGCGTTGCGCCGTCTCTTCTTCTTTGCATGGAGGAAATCGCTGACCAGAGACACGCCTCGGGGAGTCCAGCTATGGAGATTTTCCTCGCCCTTGACGTAGTCGTGCTGGCTGCTCATTCTCCACAGGTCACCTACTCTCTTGATCGGGGCAGGCTTCATGGTCAAGGTGAAGATTCCGGTCGAGGAGCGTACAAACCGCATGTTCTGGAACAGCGACGAGAACATGTTGCTCTGCCGGACAAAGGTGCGAGACATCACTTGCAGATTCACCTTTTGGGAGAACCTCATGGGCTCTGCGAGTTTCTCAGACGAAATATCCCAAGTGACAGTCATCTGCACGCGGAACTTTTCGGGCGTAACACGGTCAAGGAGAAGTGAATTGTGCAAGCTGGAGTCCCATTGGGCTTGCACCACGATGTTGCGCGTGCCGTTGGGATTCTCGCGGAAAACTGGATTTCCCGCAATCTTGAGGGAGATGTCCCGGTCGGTGACCATGTCGGGAGATTTGCCAGCTGTGTCGACGGTTCGAATCTTACCAACGCGGACGGCAGTAACATCTCCCCAGGGCAGAATATCTCCCGAGCTATGCGAAATGTCAATGCTGATACGCCTCTGCAATCCCTGGTGGAGTTGAAATGTTCCACTGTCAAGCTCGCTAGACTGCGTCACTTCGACGGCCGCATACTCTCCGTGCTCGTTGAGCTCCATAATTTGGATTCGAGAAAGCAAATCGTGCTTTTCCTGAGTGTAAAACTGTGACTCGTTGATGCGAGCTGCCTTTGCACCGTCTGCAGCGGGGCATGCATCTCTCATGTCGTCCCAGCTAAGGAGCTTATCAAGGTGCATTGTCGAAACCTTGGCAAAGATGGCTGCTCTCAGGGTAACCTCTGGAGTTGCAAACAAGGGTACGCTCATGCTATGAACACTCTCGAAACGAATTGGTCCTTCGTCAAAGTCCTTAATCATTTGCGTCGTCGTGATACCGTCCTCCTCCGAGATGCCGGGGATGAACAGCTGGGCGTGAACGTCCGTGCCCTCTCGCTCCGCGAAACCAACCATTTCGTGCATAACGATGTTGAACTTGATTGTGTTGGTAGGTGCACGGGCGTGGGACGGTTCCAGAGACAATTTAAGCATGCCAACCTCGTGAGAGGTATAGGGGGAAAGGACGTCGAGCGCAAAATCCTGAACACGGCTCTCAAAAACAGCTCTAAGGGGAATGTCCACCTCGCCAACTAGAGTGTAAGAGGGCATGTTTGTCTCCACAAACGGGTTATCTAGGCTCAGATGTTGGGCATACTCGGGCTGATCGAGGTACTGGTGCATCTGGCGCATCACACGCACCCGGTCATACAGCTTCTCAAGACTCCATAGGCGAACTACGTTATTCTTGTAGTCAATTACGCGGACACCGATGCAAGGCTTATAGGCCTCCTCCAGCGCCACATCATCTCCTTCACTTGTTAAGCCGTTGAGGACCATGTCGTAAGAAGAACACAGCACGTGTCCCTGATCGACCGTGGTGAACTGGAAAACAACGTTCTCGTCGAGCTCGTTGCTCATAATTTGCGCCTCTTTCAGGATGGATGCGTTCTGGAGCACAGTCTCGGCCATCTTGACAAAGTGGCGGCTACGCCATGCCTTGACCGTCCTCTTTGCAATCTCAATCTCAAAGTCAGACAGCCGAGGGCTTGCCTTTGGGCGCTTCAAGGGGTCCATCTTCTCGATCTTCTCCTCAAACTGCTTGCGCTGAAGGCTGAGTTGCTTCTCCATATCCTCTTTGAGTTCTCTAAGGGCGTGAGCCATGCGGGCTTTTTCTTGCCTGATCTCTTCGACTTCCATGTCAGAAGCCTCGGCACCCCTGAGTTGGCCCCGGAATTCCTCCTTTTGCCTCTCGAACTGAGAGTAGAGTTCTTCTCGAACCTCTCTAAACCGATCATCTTCTTGCCTCGGCGTCGAGGGCATCGTCAGGGCCGTATCGAGAGAGAAGTTGTCAATAGTGCCTGTCGACATGTACTTTTCCCTGATTGGATACGACGTAGCCGACTCTGAATCATCCCCGTCATCACGCCCATTCACACGCTCTGCTCTGGCCCTTTGGACCTCTTCAAACAATGAATTTAGCTCTTCATCCGTCAGACTGGCGAAGTTATGGTCAGTCCCGAGAATAGCACCAGCAGCCTCTCTTCGAGCGAGAGACCAATCAGAATCCTTGCCGTTTCGCCCGAAAAAGGCTGGCGAATCCGGCCGAGACAGCTCCCCACTCTCTGAGACTGAGACTGAGACCCTACTAAATGACCTTTCATGTCCAGGAGTTCGAGGAGTCTGGGGGGCCGGGGTGAGGGCTTGTAGCTGGCTGGCAGTGATAGATTGTCGCAGAAGGCTTTGTCTTGCGGCGCCCTCGCCCTCGGCTCTTTCTGCCCTGGCCTCCATGGGATGGTTGAATCGAAAGATGTGAAAGTCTCCGAGGATGACTCGGAAGCCCGAATGGAGCTGCTTTGGCTCGGTGATTCGCTTGCCGTTGACCATGACTGAAGCTCCTTCTCTAGGTATGACGGTAACGACTCCATCAGCATTCTCAAAAGTACAATGATCGTGCAATATTCTTGTGCCGTTTAGTCTGATATTGGCTTGATTTTCTGCGTTTGTGTCGACGTTGCCTACGGTGGTAGTACCGGGCTTGAGGTTATAGACCAGACACTCTGCTAGAAGGGGGTCGTCTGAAAGGTTGACAAGATGGGGCATCTTCTTTGGCGTGTGTAGACCAATGAATCCCTTTTCGATGCTGATGCCGAGTTCCTCCAGGGCAGCCTCACGCTCCTTGTGAATCTCCTCCGTCTTGGCCAACTTCTCCTCCCAGGTTTGGTTCAAGTCGGTAAGCAGCTTCTCGCTTTGGCTCAATTGCTCCGCAATCTCTGCCTTTGAAACCTTCTTGACCGTACCATCGGATGCCGTGATGCTTACAATCTGTTTCTCCAAGGGGGTGCTCTCGTCATAAATTTCGTCAGGGGGGAGGCCGGCACCACCTGCACCACCACCGCCACCACCTCCTCCTCCGCCAAGCTTGCTCCTCAAAAGATCCAGTTCCTCTTTGAGCTCTCTGATCATGCGAGCATTTGCATCCTCGTTGACAACAGCGTGGTTCTTGATTCGCTTCGCGGAATCGGCATATCGGAGCGTGCTTATTGTCTCATCATAATTGATGTCGGCAGGACTGATGGCTGCAATCATAGCCGTCATACTGTTTCCACCCAAGGAGTCCTTCAACAACCAGGTAAGTACACTGTCACGATACGGCACCTGAGAGGCACCCTTCTTTTTCTTGCCAGTGGACAAGTCTGCCAGCGCAGCAATGACACGACCAAGCGTGGAAAGCGATCTGTTGATTTCCGCGCCTTCCTTCAACCGTGCACCAGTGGCACCAGTCGAGTTGGCTCTCTCGGAACCAGCCAAATCGACCAGACTAATCTTGGCAACCTTTTCCAGCTCCATTTTCGTGTCCGCATCATACTTTTTCTGCGTCAACATGAGCGTGAAGACGGCATGACTTCGACTGGAGGTTTCGTTCATGTTGGTTGCAGCAACGGTTCTGGCCTTGTTTCCTTCGTCCATGAGGTTTTCGATTTCCTGGAAACTCGTCACAACAAGCTTGGCGAGATCCTCGACGTATGGACCAGTGGACGGGTGTTCTCGAACTTTCAAGTTGCCCTTTGTCGATGGGTTGAGCAGGTCGCGGACTCGCTCATTGTAGATTTCCAGGTATGATACTTCGACGGTGCATTTGTTCGATTTGTCTCCTTGTATCTTATCGATCCGCTGAAACATTTCTTGGCAAATCATGGGAATGATGCCGATTTCCTTGCCATAACCCATCATGGAGTATGACTTTCCAGAACCGGTTTGGCCATAGGCGAAAATACAGTTGTTGTAGCCCTCAAAGGCGTTGTCCAAGAGCGGTGCGCCCAAGTCCTCAAAGAGATTGTGCTGCCCCGCATAGTTGGGGGCGTCCTTGTTGAAAGACCAGTACGACCTGTCAAACGCAAAAGCCTTTGGAGCACTGTCTTTGGTCCCTTTAACCGAATGACCCTCTGGCGGCGTGATGACGGTCTGGTTCCCTTGCATATCCACGATACATTTTGATCCGCGGTCGATTTCTGTACCCAAGCTGTTAACCCTCGTCCCGTCTTTGCATGTTTGGCCGTAGACCGCCTGGGATGGACCGCTCGACGGCTGCGTAGTTTGTAAACCCACCTCTGCCATTGAACGGCCGCACTCTCACCACCACCTTGATGTTTCCTCCCCCGGCTGGCGCCATGACTGCTCGAACGGATGCGGGGACCTAGGCTGGTCCCCTCGGCGGCCGCGCGGTTTTGTTGGCAATGCGCCCGAGTCGGTGAGTTGAATCGTCCAAGCGATACTATGAGGAGAAGCTAGCGGAACAGCGCCCCCATGTGTTTGCAAGAAAGAAAGAGAAAAACAGCGGAAAACAAGGGCAGAGGAACAGGAAAAGGCGAGACGAGCGTCAAGGCTTCCTGTCCATGCTCAAGCTGTAGCTGTAGCTTCTTTGTCGCCTCTTCGTGGCGGCAGCGGGAGCCCCGATTTTCCCGAGGTCGAGCGTTCGCAAGCGGCGGTCGCAAGGCTCAAAGCTTACAAGACCGTTCTCAAGGTTGCGCCGACTCGATGGCGCAAGGCCGCTTTGCTTCGTTCCGTGGATGCGATGAGCCTTTGCGGTCGTTGGGCGGCCACCAGAGTCGTCTGTTGATCGGTACAAACAGCCTCTCACTCCAAGCAGCAGGAGAGTCGAAGGAAAGTGTCGCCAGGAGAAAAGAAACGCGGTCGCGCTGATGTTGAACCTCCTTGCGGCGGAGCGGCCCTCTTCTCTCTTCTCTTGATTGGAGCGGAGAGTGTCTGGGTGCATGGCACATGTACTCCTACGGCCAGGGGAGCGAGTTTGCGGTCTAAGCTTGTGAACGCAAGGTGGCCCCGCAGATTAGCCGCTGGTTTTTACTGCGAGCATTATCGCTGACTGATGGTGGGATTAGGGGACAGACACTGGAAGCTTCGCTCCCCCTCCATGGGGCACATTTAGGGGCTTCACTTTGATTGACTCCCCTGGATATCAACAACCATTTCTCTTTACATGTAAATATTGATTACGATCTAGACTCTAATAGTATGTTTTGACGGTCATACCAAAAAGGGCATACTGTACTTATATGCTTATGCACCCCACTGCCTCGTGGCGCGGCTTCTCCTCTATGCCGTCAACTCTCCTATGCCATTGTTTTGTTTCGAGTTTGCTGTCAACGTATCAGAGTCCATCCACGTCAATGCACTAAGAGCTAAACTGCCTGACGTATCAAGGCTTCCCCCATCCATCATCGTGAGTTTCCAAACAAAATGGAGCCCCCCCGTCAGGACCCTGCCATCTGTTCCTGCAGGCTCTTTTCGTATCTGCCAATATCCAACGGGCCCGTCGGCCACAGCAACAGGGCCTGGACATGCACAAGCGACTCACTGCCCTCGCCCTCGACAATGTACCCCACAACATTGACCCATTGCCCAACCTGTGTTACTCCTGACTGAATCGTCTCAAGGGCCAGTTCAATATTTACCCGCACAGTCTCGTTAGTGCCAGGCGGGTACATGTGCCCTAGGTTCAGGCATGCTGTTGCACTGTCGTATGAAATGACGCTGTCGCGGGCTTAAGCAGTGGAGGGGCCAAAGGGGGGAAGAGATTTCTGACATACCATCCCAAGAATCTCACTTTGTCACCGACAGGCACATCTTTGAGCTGAGAGAGCAGACGAAGTTGAGAAGGGACGGGCCCCCACGACATATCTCCGTGATACTCAAGAAGTTTTCATTTGGAAATGATTGTGGTAAGCAGTTGATATGTCGAAGCTTGAATCTAGTGGCTTGTCCAAGCTGAGTGGGCTTTCACTGAACCCCGCGCTAAGCATCTTCGCTTTACGGTGAGGTAATCGGGGCTCCGCCGTTCCAGCTGCCTGTAACCCTGAGACAACAGCTCACTAATACACTATATACTTATGGCCGAACACAATGGAAAGGCAATCATGAGACCTTTCAACACAATTCTCCCTAACTATAACAGATTGTTTATACTTTTCACCCAATCTTCAGACCTCCTATTACAACCCCCTTGGAAGAGTGTAGCCCGTGCCCGCAGCTACTAATCCGGTTAGAAGCTTGTTCACAGAGATACCTGAGCTACAGCCCCTATTCATGCACAAACGACAGGATCAACGAGTCCCCTTTACACGATAAACTTCTTAGCTTATTATATCATGAATGCTGTATTAACTACTGGCTATCTGAGATATTATTACGAGTGTATATAAACAACCTCCTGTACTCAGTTAGCCGGGCGCCCTCGATTGCTTGGTAGCCGAGTCTATCAAGTACATGTATACTTGATTGATAGACTGGAGATATGCTAATATTTTTTTACAGTTTACTATACAGAGCCAATATTTGTAACCATTCTGTGCTAAGCGGTAAGTCGAGAGGAAACAAGAGGTAGCATTCAGTGATCATTTCGTTGCAGCCAAGGACGGCAAGCCATGTAGAGATCATGATATGCTTTCTCATTGCCAACAATTCGTTCAAAAGCGCCACCTTGGAGACACCGACACCATTCCAAAAAAGCCACGATAATGAAATCTGCATAACTCGGCGTCTCTCCCCCCAGACAAAAAGGCCCATCCTGCCTCTTCAAAATCCCAGCAAGCTCATCGAGCAATGGTTGGGCTTTGACCCACGCTTCTCGCCCTCCAAAACTATCCTCTAGCTCTTCGAGGGTCATACCGTAGAATTTTTTTCGTGTTTGTCGATGAAATGCAATAGTAGGACCCGATAAGCATTCCCGTGGCATTCTAGGATCAAGCACAGGAACAAGGCATATAATTAGACGCTGACGGCTCTGCGCAACTTCCTTTGCCACTGGGTGATTAACCTGGGCGCTGGGCTCTGGCTTGAGAGCTTCTAGCTTCTGTGCTATGCTCAATGATTCCATGACATAAGAGCCATCTGGGAGGCGAACCGCGGGTATGGTATAATCGGCCAACTGAGTTCCTGGAATATGAGCCGCAATTCCACTATATATTCATGAGCTACCAAACCATGTATACCATCTACACGGCGTGACTCACAACGATCGGAGAGTTGGCGCGATGTCTGGCCCATGCAGCCATTCAGTCTTGTAGTCTATTTCCTTGAAATTAAGAAGGAGTCGTGCTAAAGTTGATAATTAGTGGTGAGACTTCTACTGTCACTTGGAGGCAACCGATACTCACTCTTCCATACATTGGGCGACCAACATGTCCCGGTCCCAAAACGACTAGGATTATCGTAAAGAATCACCTGAGCCATGCTCTCAACCAATTGGTATTTTATTTTGCTTGGTGTGTTTGAGAACAGCCTACGGTGGTTGAGTTGGCTTTTATAAGTGTTTTGAAGCTGTAAGTCTCGAGTCGGCAGGCCACTTCCTCGAGAGTGAATTTTACGTTTCCTACGAGTACTAAGAATCGGTAGGCTATGATGAATCGCAAAAATCTTATAATCTCTCCCCGGCTAACGAGCATCAAACTTGATACAATACGAAGGGCAGCTGAGGTCACGGCCGTAGCTCAAGCCCCATAAGCGTGGTTTAAAACGTAGTCTATGTCCGGGTTTGCTCCTACTCCGTTGTTCGCCTCGGTCATCCGGGGCGGAGTGCGGCCCTTCCGCAAGTTCGGTAATCTCTCAAGGCACTACTAATAGAGGACGCATTTTAAATACTTGAAAGTACATATAACTACAGTAATACTCTGACCTAGCGTAGGGCAGGCGAATAGCTTGATATACTACTCTAGTTGTTGGAGATTGAGGTTGTCTATCCGTACTTAGACTGGTTCGATTTCATTGGAAGAATCCTTTGGGATGTTATTGGATCAGATTCCTTAAATCACGGAAATCCTCTTCCTATTCGCTACACTATAAACTATATTTTAGCTTGGAAGATCGACAATAGTTTGACTGAGATTAAAATTTAAACCCAGGCTACCTTTTGCCTCATTGCATGTATTCGAGTGTAAGTATTTTACCAGGCGGAATGTCACACGTTACTTTACACAGTGTCTGATTAATAGCCTACTAGAGTAGATGCCGCACTATTAGAATACGAAAAAGAGGTCTAGCTTTGTTGAGGCGTAAGCAGGCTACGGAAATCGCTGTCATGAACAGCTAGATATGCAAAGAGCTTTATTTCAAGCTATGGAGCTCTCATTATGACTAAACACACCTATGTGCTTGCCCTACACCAAGTTGGTACGCATACATAATTTCTCTTGCTAAATCTGCAAACCATTGATATTGGAGCTTCTTCCCTATTAGTGCATCCTGTGACTATTTACCATTGCGTCTCGATGAAGAGACAGTGAATGTCTCGCGAAACACGATCCACAAGGCTGCTCACAGTGGGTCTCACACAGTATGAACTCTCCTAGTCTTCGCCATCCGTATAAGACTGTTAGGTATGCTTCGCGGATCACAGTCACAATTTAATCAATACGAGTCGGCAGTATATTGGAACCCAAATGAGCCCGGGCGATGATGATGATGCTTAGAACTCAATGGCAAGTCACGTACAAAAGCGTCTTTCGAGTCATCTTGGAGAGCTGGAGAACGATGGAGATAGTCTCGATTCTGGAGCCAGTGCTTACAGGAGGATCAAGTCTAGACAACTAGATAAGCACCATCAGCAATTATAGGTCATCTTGTGGAGACAGTACGTCCTTGTCAGATCATGCTCCGTTGACCTAGAATATGAACTCAGGTTGGCCTTGAGTGTTCTCTCGAGTGTCTCCTGCGGCCGAGCTTAGCGGGAGAGTCGGACTCCGATGCGGGAATGCCGCATAAGTACGGTGTAGGTCGCCCGCTTCCCCCAACCTATTGTGCACTTGACTTCTCACTATTCGGTCTATCGATCTACAGAGATACTTCTCAATGGACTCTCCCCAGCCGTATTCCATTTGTGCGCAATACGCGTGTTTATATTGCCGACAGCACAAAAGACGCTGCGATAAGACCCTACCAGCCTGCAAGTTATGCATCCGCCGGAGCACCCCTTGTACCTACCCACGTCGTCGTGGTCAGATACCTGCCTTGACTCAAGATACTCAGAAAGCAGAAGGGACAAAGACAATTTCCATAGCTCCTAGTGACGCGACTATAGCTCGGCACTATAGGACAACACATGTTACTACCGCTATCCGCTTCATTGAGCCCAGTGTCTATCACGATGCTTCACTAGGGCCGCCTCCTGAAGATGTGTCCATTCCCAGCAGTATCGCAGCCCACGTCGGCGACCCCGATCAGATATATGAAATAGGCGCAAAGTTTTTCCAGGCGACATCTCTCTGGATGCCAATCGTTTGCAGGAAACGGTTCTATGCTGATGCACCTAACCCGATTTCTCCCTATCGGCGAGGCCTCATCCTCTTAGCTCTGACGATGAAGCTTTACTGCGCACCAGCCTCTGAGAATGGTAATGATACCCGATGGCCACTTTATCAGTTGGTAAAGACGTTTTACGCGGACGTAGAGGCTACTGCTCCGATGTCCGTGCACATTCTCCAGGCCGCGGTATTCATTGCAATCTATGAGATCGACCAGGCTATATATCCTTCTGCATACCTGAGTGTGGGTACTTGTGCTAGGTATGGGACTGCCTTGGGCATGAACAAATTGATGACACGTCGGGTTGGGGACGGTAAACCTGGACTTTCAGGGGTCGAGATCGAAGAGTACAGACGTGTCTGGTGGGCTGTCTTGATGCTGGATCGGTGAGTCAAGTAATGCTACATTTGGTGGCGATACAACTAAAAGTGTTTAAAGACTCTTGAATATAGGAGACCCGGGCCGACCTTTGGCGACAGAGGATCCAACATTTGACAGTTTTCTGCCCATAAATGACAGAGACTTCAACGATGGTGTAAGCCGTTTACTTTGATTGTGACAGATAATGGTGTAATTGGCTGACATTTCATAGATATTTCGGCCGGAAGATGCCATCACAATATCTGCTGGATTCAATCAAAAAACGAGCCTCTTCGGTGGTCTTGCTCAAGCAACCTATTTGCTTGGTCAGACAATCAAATCTATTTCGTCGTTTCCTTCATCATATGGAGGGAGTCAGGCCGTCCGCTTCGAAGAACATACAGCACAACTACGCCGTACGCTACACGCATATGTACAGATGGTCGAAAAATGGACCGCAGTACGGAAATTACAGTACTGTCCCGCATCTGCAATTTGCTACATGTAAGCAGCAGAGAAAGAAAGAGAGCCCTGTCGATGTAAGCTTAGGCTAATCTTGCCAGTGCTCTCTTCTTGCTTCAGGATCATCACTGGAAACAAGTTGGCGCCGCAACAGCACAAGAAATACGCAGCACCATCTTTTACGAGACCAAATCTGCCTGCGAAGCCATCTGTATCATGGCCAAAGACCCAGATGTGGGCTGTGTAGATCCACCTATCTCGAGGGTCGCAGGAGAACTCTCGACATTGTTTCGGCAAATGATATACCAAACCACGGCCCAGTTCATAATGGTTGGGTTTGGGGATCCCGATGCAGACACCAAAGATAAGATCGAAACTCTCACGGGCATCTTACATATTATGCAACCGCGTTGGCACCTCTCAAGTAAGCCATTATCGGAATCAGTATAACCATCCATTTAGGTCTAACATGAGACATCTAGCTGTGTTGCTGAATATTCTGGAGGCTAAAAAAGCCAAGTTAGTATCAGCAGCATCTGATTTGAGATTTGGTCTAGACAAAGTTACCGATTATAAGTTGGTACTTTCTACATAAATACTGGACTTGTCCAAAGGCGGCCCCATGGTCTCAGACCGACTCAGGCATCCTGAGTCAAACCAAGAGAAGGCGGAAGCAGTCTTCAAGAGGATAGGCCAGAGCAAGAGATAAGGGACTAAATACTGGTCTTACTGCATTAAGTTGAGAATGTGTATGAACAAAAGTCTCCTGTCGCCCAGCAGCATGTACTTTCGGCTTCATTAGGATAAAGCTGACCGTATTCTCCAACCACTCAGCAACAGCTCGGGAGAATGTTAACTGCTCTTCGATTTTTATCAATGTACAATAGTGGTGTGAGCAACGCCATCTAAGTGACAAAACAGTGCATAAGGATGGTACGAAGGCTATCATACGATACTTTTGAAATGCTGCACTTTCTCTTTGGATTATTTTGCAGAATTTGGAACCAGTTGACAATTTGTTGGAATCATACTAGAGCTACATTGACAAAACATGGAACCATTCCAGTTCTTGAAGCCGTGCCAGCTGATGGAACGGTGCCGAGTTCAGGTACACACATGTACATGTACATGTATTGAGATTTTGGAACGTGCCAGTAGTTCCAGGGGTACCTTGCAAGCATCCACTAATAACTTCCGCCAATGAACTGGTGATGATTCATTTCTGCACTTTTGCCTAATAAGTTCCGCTGCTATGAGATGTAGAAGAGATATTCTCTTTTAAGGTAAATAATATATTAAGAGAAGAGAGGTATTATAATATTTCTGCATGGTGTTGTGGCTGTAGGTGACTGTAGGCGTCGGGACGCTGGAGATAACTATGTCTATGGAACAACAGAGCCTCATGTTTCACGGCTGTTCATATTTTCATCGAATCACACCCGTGCATAGTGGTAGGCGAACAGCAGGCATTAATTGGGTATCAATGCATGTAAGTAAAATGTATATAATGAGAAGTTTATGGTATACTTGATTTGTTTCTTCTTTATATTTGCAGGATTAATGATGCCATAATTTAAAGCCTTCACACGCAGCTACTCTATTTTAGTCAATTGTGTTAATATTTTCCTCTTCTTTATTTTGCTGCGGAAGATGGCAGCCTTTAGCCAGGCTCCCATAAGTCGCAGCGACTTTGAAATCGGAATACTTTGCTCAACAGATCTCGAATACACCGCTATATGTCTTCTTTTGGATGATTGCTGGGACGCTGAAGGATATACATTTGGCAGAGTCGAGGGAGACTTCAACTTCTATGTTACAGGTCGCATTGGATCTTTCAATGTTGTTATTTTATGTTAAGCGATAGGGGCAAGGCTTCGGCAACAGCTGCAGCGACCAGCCTTCGCTCAAGTTATCACGACCTCAAGCTCATCTTTATAACCGGAATCTGCGATGGTGTTCCAGGCACAAAGGGGGAAGACGGAGAGCTTGCGCTAGGAGATGTCGTCGTCAGTAAGAGCATCGTGCAATATGACCTCGGCCGCCTCTACTCCGACAAACTTGCCATCAAGACGGCCGCTGAAGACAGCCTTGGTAGGCCATCTAGAGATGTTCGAAATTTCATCGCCGCTATGAGCACTAGGCCACACCGCAAGGCTCTGGAGAAGAGAGCGGCGGCTCATCTAGCGCAGATTCAGAAGGAAGCTGTCAATAGAGTGATTTACGAGTATCCCGGCTCAGCCAACGACATTCTTTTCGAGCCTACATACTATCACGAGTGCCATCATTTACCGAAATGTGCATGCATGGATGATCCATCTCAGGAGTTATCATGTGAAGAGACTGGCTGCGACTACAATCGCCAGCTGCACCGGCAGCGCTTTGAAGATACGAAACTGCCGCAAGTCAACCAAGGATGGTTTGTGTTTTTCGGAAGAATCGGGTCCGGAGACACAATTTCCATGTCAGGAATATATCGTGACCAGATCGCTCGAGAGCTAGACATTATAGCTCTCGAAACTGGAAGTGCCGGAGCTTGGGATGAGCTGCCTTGTGTCATTGTCAAAGGCGTCAGCGGCTACGGAGACGGTCATAAGAATAATAGTTGGAATAATTGGCAAAACTTTGCCGCTGCAACGGCTGCATCAACCACGAGAGCATTGATTGAGCGTTACCCTTCCACGGACAAAACACACATTATGCGGAATCGCCAAGTATACGATGCTTGTCTCAAAGATTTATTCATAACAGATCCCGAGGCTGACAAATTACGTATTGAAAGCACGAAGGGTGGACTGTTTGAGAAGGCGTACAATTGGATCCTCACGAATGAGAATTATCTTCAGTGGCATGATAATGCTGAATCCCGTCTACTGTGGATTAAAGGCGACCCTGGAAAGGGAAAGACAATGCTGTTATGTGGCATCATTGATGAATTAAAGAAGGACAGGCCGACCAGAAATGTCTGTCAGTTTTTATGCCAGGCAACAGATTCTCGTCTTGATAATGCGACATCAATCCTGCGTGGCTTATTACACACAATCATCGGCCGACAACCTGTGCTCTTCTCACACATGAGGGAGGGATATGAAAAGGCAGGTAAAAAGCTATTCGAGGATGCAAACTCCTGGTATTCTCTATCGCAAATATTCCTAAGCCTTGTCAACGACCCTAATCTGCAAAGTCCAATCATCATTATCGATGCACTTGATGAATGCAGGACAAATCTATCACAGCTTCTTGATCTAATAGCGAAAGACTTGTCCTCGTCCTCTTCGAAAGTAAAATGGTTGTTATCAAGTCGCAACGAGCAGGATGTCATAGACAGATTGGAAACAGCTAAAAATAGACGTGCCATAAGCCTCGAACTCAACGCCAATTCGGTATCCAAGGCAATCGAGGATTACATCAACCATCAGGTGCAGGCACTCTCTGCGCTGAAAGAATATACGTAAGATCAGGAAGTCAAAGTTAAGAGGTATCTCCATGAAAACGCAAATGGTACATTTCTCTGGGTTGCCTTGGTATGCGCACAACTTAGGGGGGCTTCTCGTTCTGATCCCCTGCCAAAGCCATCTGAGTTTCCAGCAGAACTTGGCAGCTTATATGGGCGAATGATCACCAAAGTGTGTGACTTCAGAACATCTGGCCAAGGAAGAAAGATTCTTGCTATTGCTACCGTCTCACGCCGACCTCTTACTATAAAAGAATTCAATTCCCTTGTCGACACATCTGAGGATCATAGACAGTCTCTGGAATTGGTCTGGAGCGATATTTTGGGCTACTGTGGCTCATTCCTGACTCTGAGGGATGGTATTGTCTATTTTGTGCATTAGTCGGCCAAAGACTTTCTCGTCACAGAGGCATCAGCTCAGTTATTCCCCGACGGTTTTGGGCTGGTTCATACAAACATCTTCAAGCACTGTATATCTGCAATGCACAAGACTTTAAGGAGGAATATGTATGACCTGAAAAATCCCGGGTGTCTGGCAAATCAAGTTACTTTGGATCCAGTCAAATCTAGCACGCTCACCTCCGTCGCGTATTTCTATGTCTATTGGATTCATCACTTCGAGCAATCGGTGACTGGACCTGGATTGGACACTTCAGACAATACTGAAAGACATAAAGTGCTGTACACTTTCCTTAGTGAAAAATACATATACTGGCTAGAGGCTCTTAGTCTTCTTAAGTCCGTATTTACTGGCATGGAGGATCTACGGAGGCTCAAGAGTCTAGTTGTATGTATCATCACAGGATCATATATATATTAACTTTACTAATTTATCTTTGTAGATCGACGAACAATTATCAGGACTAAAAGACCTTGTCCAGGATAACTACCGATTCATCCAGATGTTTGGAAAGGTTATAGCGGATTTCCCTCTACAGGTATACATATCTGGCTTACTATTCAGCCCACCACAAAGTCTCACGCATAGACTATTCACAAAAGAGTCTCCAAAATGCATTCAACTTCTTCCCCCAAAAAAGGTGAACTGGGACCAATACCTACAAAGATTTGATGGCCATACGGACACAATTACCAGCCTTGACACCTCTTGTTGCGGCACATGGTTAGCATCTTCAAGCCTGGATGAGACAATAAAGATTTGGGAAGCTAAGACCGGAAGATTGATACGAAGCATGAAAACTTACTCATTTTCATGCATAAGCTTTTCTCCATGGAATAGCAACGAGATAGCATGTGGCGGTCTCCACAGGGACGAGATTATCATTTGGGATATCGTCACAGGCAAGATGTTGCAGCAAATCAATGCTGAAACAAATTACATTAAGTTGCTTTCACTGTTATCCTCGGTACAAAATGTACTAGGATGCGTTTCACACACAAAGGATGGCAAATCAATGGACATCTCGTTTTACAACACAAAGACTGGGGAGATGACCAATCAGGCCAAATTCCCTCTAACGCCAGAAAAGGTTCGTTATCTTGTCGCGTTCTCTACTAAGGACAGCAGAATATTTGCAGTAGCGCAAAAATGGTCTAAGATCTTCAACACACATGACGTCAAATTATACAGTTTGAACGCGAACAACGAACTTCAAAAGTTGCATTGCCTCACATGTCCAAAAACCTCAGCAATGAGATTTTCGCAGAGTGGACATCTCATAGTTGTACATACAATGTCTATTAAGTCGACCTGTATTTCAATGTTTGACGTGGCAACAGGTGCGGCTCTATGGAGATCTCAAATCGTCCTTTACGTTTCCCTTCCCTATCTCGCCTTATCAAGAGATGGCCGACTTGCATTATGCGACATCAGCAAGGTTGCCATTCTGGATGTCGCTACTGGAAAAATGCTATCGACGCAAAGGATTGAGCTTGGCGAATTAGTATTCCCATATGAGCAAGACGGAAAGCATATATATGTTGCTAGTGAGAACGTTATTAACGTTGTGGAACTCGGTTCACAAGAGCCATCTCGGAAGAATCCAAGCAGTGGTCATATCGAGCAACTAGCCACATCATACCAACGTGCCGTACTTTCACCAGATGAGAGACAGCTGGCTACATTCACATGGCAGCCAATGCCAATGATAGTTGTCTGCGATACCTCATTTCAGAAGAAGACTTGCATCCGAAAACACAGCCTTGGAGCTTCTTGTGTTCTCAAATTCTCTCCCGACTCAAGCAAGTTAGCCTGCTTGCTGCGCAGGAATCTTCGAGTATGGGACGTATCATCAGGATCGAAGACGAAGACTCTCCTCTACCACAAACATTATTGTGAAAGCTATGACTACACGATACGCTTCTCCGAAGACGGCATATATCTAGCTGTTGCCTATACCAGTCGCGAGAGTTTAGGAGGGCAAAAGGTAAAGATTCAGATTTGGAACGTTGATACATCACAGCGTTTTATCTACCTAGAAACTTTGAAGGAGAAAGATGAGTCGCCGCGGGAATCTTTTCTTGCCTTTTCTCCAAGCAGCAAGTTTCTAGCAATTTCATGGCATATTAATAAAAGAGATGTCAAAAGAGATGTCACAAGAGTCGAAGTTTGGGACGTTACTTCTCGCAAAGGAGTGTTTTCCAAGAGCATCTGCGGCGGCGACTTGAAATCTTCTACCAGAATCCCCTCTCCTCTCACCAGCCCCTCCGGTTCTTCTCAGTCCAATTCTTGGATCAACTTTAGAGGTGAAAAGCTCCTGTGGCTGCCTCCCGAGTACCGCCCTTTCCAAGACTCGTGGGATATTCAACAGAACTGCATTCTCATCAGAGAGCCTTATGAAGCGCGCCTTTTTCCCTTGAAGTTCTGTTGCAGTGGCTGCATTGGACGGGTTTTCACCCCGGGTTGGCAACCGGACGAAAGCACATTGTGCTCCGCAGACGCCGAGGCGCCTGTAGCTAGGCCTGAGCTTAGTGATAGCGAACTGGAGTTCCTTACAATGGATCCACCTGACGACAAGATGATGGTGTTTAGCAGTAAGAGCATTGCAGATATATGGAGAATAGTTAATTGAGAAATAGTAATGAAAATTTGGGAGGTACGCGGTAAAAGCTCAAGAGTTGTGAGAAGATCTTATTGGAAGTTTCATTACAGTAGCTATTAATTTGGCTGTGATTGCAGACAGTTTCTCATCGCTTTTGGCCAACCTCTTAACTTCAATTCATTTTTGGTTTAATTTAACTCTATTATAACTCAGTAAATGCATACACACTGCCCCGCATTCCTGCAACTATGCCACCTGATAAGCTGACATCGGCGCTTTTCTTCCATTCATAACATCAATCTCTATATCAACTCACCTCATCCTCGCCTGGCCAATTATTCACCGCAAAAAGCAAGTCTTCGCTTTAAAAATGTCTGCCGCCAATCCCCCCAAGTTCATCTACAAGATTCTGCCCGCCGCCCCTCAGGACCCGCTGCCTGAGCAGTTTCCCTTCTCACAGCTCGATGCAAACGACGGCTTCGTTCACCTAAGCACGGCAACGCAGGTAGATAATCCAACAAATCTCACTGCTATAAACTGGTTACGTGGCTAGAATGTTTTCCTTGTCTGATCTTTGCGGAAATCTAGGTCCCAAACACGGCCGACTTGTTCTTTACTGAGGCGACTGAGCTGTGGCTCATCAAGCTTGAGCTGGCAAAGCTGGCGGACCCGCTGAAATGGGAAGACGGGTTCCCGCATTTGTACGGCAACTTTGGCGCAGCAGATGTCCAGAGCTTGGAGAAATTTGAGAGGAAAGAGGGGCAAAAGTGGTCGGAAGGCATGAAGGCCTCATATTGGCTAGAGTAACTAGTAGTAATCGTCACGTATATTGCAAAATAGACATGGTATCACGGCAAGGTATACTACGCGTATGGGTGAAAAAAAGAGTTCCACGTCCTTCTTTTCTCTTCTTTTTTTACTTCTTTGCTATAAATAGGAGGCAATTAGACACCCAGATCCTTTTCCACCATACCCCTGCAGATGGGGTGGTAGAATTCCTTGTTCTTGGCAAAGGTCTCCAGGGCAAGGCTGCGATCAACCTTGTTCAGGGAGCGGAACAAGGGTCGAACAAACTTCATGCGGCCGACCTTTCCGAGCAAATCGGCGGTCTTCTGGTAGCTGGTGTTGTCGTTGGCCTTGAGGGCGATTTGGAGGTAGGCAAACTTGAGCTCAACGTTCTGGGTGTTTAGGAGATCGTAAGCGCTGCCGAGGAGCTGGGCTCGCTCGGTGCTCAGAGGCTCAAACTGCTGCAGCTTCTCGAGGAAAACAATCTTCTGGTTGGAGGAGAAGGATTCGACATCCTTGGCACTGGGCTCATAAGACTATTTATTTCGCAACGTTAGCATGAGACGGCTCAAAAAGGTGAAGGAGAAAGAATGGGGAGAGTGAAGACAAGACTCACAGCATCTTTCCACTTCTCAGCCAACTCATAACATTGGTTAGCAAGGGTGGTGTCAAACTCGGGCTTAGGAGGCAAGCCAGGGGTATAGAATTTGCTCTCCCAGTCGATGGTGGCCACCTTCTGCTTGACCTCTTCGTCACCCAGGTTGTTGAAGAAGTCTACAAAGGTATCCCGGAACTCAAACGAGTCCAGAGACTTGCCAGCCCACTTTGTGAAGTAGTGGGGGATAAACTTGTTGAAGTTGTCTCGGCCAACGAGGCGATCCAAGTAGTAAAGGAAGTGGAAGCCCTTCTCATAAGCAACAGTGCTGTAGACATCCTCAGGGTCCACGTTGTCGTGGCTAATAATGAGCTTGGTGTACTCGTGGTCCTTGCCAAAGTGTGCAACGGCGTCCTCTAAACTTCATGTCAGATTTGCTCACGTACGTCAGTTACAACGTGTATACTCACCGAGGGCCTTCCATCCAATGATGGATGAAAAGTCAAACTGGGGCTCGCCGTGGACAGCAGCCTCAATTCGTCGCTCCAGGTACACGGTCCAGCCTTCATTCAGCCAGCTGCCGTATTTGTTAGATCAATCTGATAAATCTCAAATGAGCAGTTCATGATACTTACAAGTGCTCCCAGCTGGCGTTGGATACAAGGTTACCGCTCCAGCTGTGGGCAAGCTCGTGAGCAATGACGTCGACGTTCTGCCTGTCGCCGCTGATGATGGTGGGGGTAGCAAAAGTGTAGATAGGGTTCTCCATGCCTAAGATGAGTGTCAGAACAGCCACAGAAGCTTGATTGATGCACAGGTGATGCTAACCTCCATAGGGGAAGCTGGGGGGCAGAACGAGCACATTGTACTCTCCCCACTTGTAAGGGAAGACGATGCTCTCGGCGATTTCCAGGAACTTCTCCATGTCTCGCTCGAGCTCCCATTGGCAGCCCTTGAGCTCATTGGGGCCGGTAACAACCTTGCTGCGGGAGCCAATGGGGGCAGCAACGATATCACCAGAGGCAACTGCGAACAGGTACGACGGAATTGGGACCTTTTGCTCAAACTCATAGACCTTCTCCACGCCGGGAGTGGCAGTGTGGTCACCAACAGGAACACCGCTGGCAACAACAGGGAGAGTGGACGTGAACTTGAAGCTGACGGTGGACTTGACATCAGGAGTGTCCTGGCAGGGGAAGATGGAGCGAGCATTGATGGCCTGGCACTGAGAGAACATGTACGGGTGCTTCTTGTTGGACGTCTGAGCGGGCGTCAGCCACTGAAGGGCAGTGCACTTGCTGGTCGTCTCCAGCTCAATGGCCAGGTTGACGATGTCGCCCTTGGCCGCGCCATCGGGAACCTGCACATGCAGCGGCGCTCCAAAGGGATCCGAGTGAGGCTTCAGCTCCCACTTGGACGCAGCATCGTTGACGTTGACGGACGAGACGTTGACGAAGCGCGAGTCGAGGATGATCTCCTTGCTCTCCTTGTCGGTCTGGCTCTCCAGCTGCAGCACAACGGATCCCTTGAGGCGCTTATTCTCAAAGTCAATGTTGAAGTTGGCGGTGGTGTGCCTTGTGCGCCAAGCGCCGTAGTTGGACAGGGTGGTGGGATCGCGAGTGCCAGCCATGGTGTTGTTGATTGTTGCAAAGCCCCGCCTTGAATAGTAGTAGCTTGTGATGGTGCGATTCGTGCTGCGAAAAAGACCAGCTCGGAGGGAGAACCACGACATGTAGCACAAAGCACAAACTCAAGCACAAAGTCGAGGGTTTTTTCGACAGCAAGATGGAGCGGGCAAAAGGACCGACTCAAGCCGAGTTCGAATTCGAGCTCGTTGACAACGACGAGCAAGCTTGCAAAAGGTCCTCCGGTGTACAGTTCCTATTCGAGGAGCATCACGTGCCGCACCACTTTGCGGAACATTTTTGAGTTTCCACTGTGGGCTCTTTCGGCTCAGCGAAATTCAATTCAATCCATACAACTGCATTTGGTGTGAAGTGCATTATGTGATGTGATGTGATGCTTGCCGCGGTTGGAACTCATCACGACTTTTCACACACTTGTGATGTTCTTCTCTTTCAATTTTTTTTTGCACAACACCTCTATCAGATCGGTCTTAGTCCAGTCAACTCACTAGACCAGCTGTGAAACAATCGGCTTCTCAGCCGCTCCCCGCCAACTGGGCACCTGAAACGACCGCTAAGCGTCTGTGAAGGAAACAAAGGATCCCATTCCGGGGGTGGTCTCTTGTTTCATGCGGCTGAACTGAGCACTCGAGGTGCCAAATCCACAGACAAGTACCCTAACATAGCCCATCGTTTCAATCTAGACGCGATGAAAAATTGACGAGAATGGGGACCGGAAGGACGTGATGCGGAGCCGCAGACGCCTTGTTGGAAACATTTTGCAAGTGTCAGATCGGACGGTTCGCGTATCGTGTCCATGTTAAGAGTGCATTGTCAGTGATGAAGTGAACAATGATTCAGCTTGTACATTACTCTGCGTCCAAACACCTTGCTCAGTCCACTCTGTTGTAAGTATACTCAAAGCCAGAGAAGATTTTACTGTTGCAGTTCACAAGTGCATTAACGGACAAAGGTGTACTAGAGGGGGTGTAGATGTGGATGTAGTCTCTGAGTGGTAAAAGGAGAAGAAAATTTTCCCAACGTTTAGTCGAGACGCTACTAATACTAGAAACATGGGAACATAAAATTTTATTTAGATTCCCACTCAGCTTCATCCGAAGACTTCTGTGGACTGATGAGGCTACAAAAGCCAACAACGAGAGAGTCAGATAAGATGTAGACGGGTTTGCGCGTTGTCCATGATCTTACTCAAGTTGCTTGGCCACCAACCGCAAAAAGAGAGTTTCGCCGAGGCATCAATTTCACACTCTAAGTTAGAGGTAGTTCTAGGTCTCGACCACCCAAGTATCTGTGCAGTCATATTATCATAAAATGAAGAGCACTTCATGCTGCTCAACCCCCCCAAGGTCCTCAAACCAGGTGGCTACTTGTGTTATAGACCTGAACAACTGACCTAAGGGTTTGTGAAAGTGTCTATCCTCTTGACAGACTTGGCGAGCAGCTTTGATTCGTATACCTTCAGAGTGAATAATGTTCTCCTACTTTACTTCCAACCAGTATGGGTACTAACCCTCAAAATTTACAGCAAGATATGAGTGTAGGGTATCTAGTCAGTACCCTGAGGAGTCAAAAGCTACGCCTTTAATTGAAGAGAAGAACGTATTGGTAAAGCGAGATGGGTATATCTCAGTAGATTGAGGCTGTTTGCTATCTAGTCATGCTATTGGGCTGGATATGTTATTGAACTTGAGATGAGCTGATTGGCTTTCCTGACTTCTCTCTAAAGAGGCGTTTGAGACTAGGTACATCCTTTGTCTTGTCAGCCACCTTGTTCTAACACCCGTTCTGCTTCATATAGCATTACGAATGTCCAATCCTCCCATTGCCTCAAAATAGGCAATTATCTGTCAGCCAAGAAATGATGCACAACGCCTCCAAACAGGACAATGAGCCAGATAATATGCTTAAGTGCCAGACTTCAGAGCGTCTAAGAGTAATAGATGGCAGAGTTAGAGATATCTGGATGAAGATTGTAAGTCTAGAACAAATACTCTTTAATGTGCAAACACGATCCATATAATGCATGCGTGATGTTCTACAGTGGTGAGGGGATAATATCCAGGCATATGCAATGCCGACGAGGTTGTGGCTGCTCCAATGGAACCCAGTGTCCAACAAAATTATCAGCAAGTTGAAAAGGTAAACAATTCCATTTTGTCTTGTTTTACAATTAGTTTTGAGCTCCTTTTCGGATATTGACGAAGTCCTATTCCACATAAGACGTCTTTGCACGATTGTACTATACTTAGAAGTACCGGCAATGTGCCACCCATCACGGAATCATGTTACAAAGCTGAAAATGGATTTTTGACAAGTCAATTTTCTAGATAATTCCATCTTACATCCACCAGCAGCCTTATACCACCCTACTTGTTTTATGGATGCGTTGCAGAATCCTCTGCTGTTCTGAAGGTCAAGGCGCTGTGGAGTCGATTCGATGTGGGTGGACGCAACGAACGCACTGCGTTTGACCCAAGATCTGAAACATGGCATCAGCCGGGCCAAGTCAGAGCCGCACTGTTGTTTGTAAACCTTCGTCCATTGATGGTAGAAACGCCATTGGGCTTAGTGCTGAGCACGGGGCGAGTTCAAACCGGCCGGCGCCGGTTCGGATCTGTCTTGAGGCTATTGGAGATTTCGTCAATATCACGTATTCTCTCTATTGCTGGAAATGCACTGGTAATAGAGTTATATTATTATGAATAGATTTCTTTTGTAAACAAGCTTAGATATTTAATCGCAGTGACTGTAGAAAAGTTGAATTTTGCGGCTGGAAAAAAGAGCCTCCACCAACATCGGCGGCGAGTGGGGCCGGGCATCGGACTCATGGTGGACCTTGGATAACGGCTACCAAGTTCTACTGTACAATATCCCAACCCTCTGAGAACGCACAATCTTCCTGTTTCTCCCCCGCTCGATCAAACAAGATCAAGGCAAAGAGAGAAACAAAAGCCCAATTGGTCCTACATGTGGGCTTGTTTCCCCGCAGCAAACGCTTGTAAGCAGGAGTTGGTTCAGGGGTTGAAACAGCATTGAAACTGGAACTCTCGATCAATATACTCCAAACCGGAACACAAACGGGAGCAGGATTTGCCTTCAAGAAGCTCTCAGTAGATGAAGATGCAAATTGCTTCCAATATGTTCTTTGGTTGGAAAAAAAAAATCATTGTAAGATGGGAAAATGCTTGGGTCTTGGCTCAATCTCCGAAAAGCATCGTGAAAGGAGATTTGCACCCAATATTGGCAATGCATAAGCATAGTAATTAGCTATCGGAGATATCCGAAATAGAATTCCGCTCGGAAAAAGACCTATCCGGTGGCAATTACGTAGAGCAGACGCCTGTGAACGTTGAAAGGAAGACGTTACGGGGCCGATGTGCAGATTCTCTGGAATTGGCCTAGAATCCCTGACCCCTGCAGCTTTCGATTCCGCGCACTGACAAAGACGCAGCGGAGAATACGCCAAGGCTTGACGCATGCCTACCTCTAGAAACAAGAGTCTGTGCAGGCGGAGAATTTGTGCCTGGAAAACAAAACGCTGTGTCGCAATTCGCAACTACGGAGCTGAGATTTGCAACATGTGCCTATGCAGTGACGTGCGTGCATGACAAGACGTGGTATCAGGTTTAGGACCGACGCAGCGTGGCTGCACACGACTATACTACGTTTAGCACCGAGAAACGGTGCCTTGCATCAGAATACGGTAGTGTACGAGAGGGTGTGCATCACCAAACGTTGATCACAAGATTTGCATCCATCCATCTACGATGTGACGGAGACGAGACGGCTTCTGGAATACACTTTCGGGATGTGTAGGTGCGGTTTGAAAATTGGCAGGTATCATGACTCTTGTGACCTATTCGGATTGGATCTTCATTTCCATCTGCAAGATCTGCTCCGTAGAGTCTGTGCATATACATGCATAGGCGTACAATGATGTACAATAGACGAAGAACTCGACATGGTAGGGCGAAATCGCCAAGTAATCGCCAAGATTTCCTCCACAACGACCATCAACTATTACGAGACTCTATTTTGGACGAAACTACATGAGCACAATATTGAGCCCATCGGGAATGCCGTGTATCAAAGAAAACATCGAACAGTGAATTGGTAATTGACAAACTATGTAGGGTAGTGGGCGAAGCATGTAAACGTGATACGCCAGAAGGGCGGTATCGTTGCTGAGCGAATCTATGTACACTAGTAAAGCCTCATTTGAAATCTGTCAAAATGCCTAGCACACCTAAAAAGAATAACTACGTATAGCCTTGTTAACAACGTACACAATTATAGGTAATCATTGGAGATGACCGTCTTGAGAGGTTTGTGTTTCATGGGGGCGATGAGGCTGAGAGGGCAGATTTGCACCACGAGAAAAGAGAGACACAAACATCATAGGGCAATCTTGAAACTGTTACATTACGGAAACATAAAAAACGATTGGACAATTGCGTCCAATCTGAGACAGGCTGCAGCCTCATACCATTGATTCCATGCCACCTTGGGGCCAAGAAGAGGCAGATGATCGACTTGCAGACTCCTTCAGCAGCCCCCAGTGGCGAGGCAGAGGAGAGACGAAGACGAAGGAGCACAACCCAACGTGCACTCAATGGCTTGGCCATTCCGTTGCGCTATTCCATAGTTATCGAGATGGCTCGCTTACGAAACAAAAGAGAGAGAGAGAAAGAGGGAAACTCGCCGCAAAGCAGCTCGAGCAAACGCACAGCAACTTCCGCCCCCCTCCCCCCCGGAAAGTTGCCATCGCATACATCCATATGAGAGAAGGCTGAGTCTGTGACGCGCTAACGGTGACTGGCCAAGGTCGGAGTGGAGATTGGAGAGAGTCGAGGCCCTGCTAGGTGCTGCTGGATATCGCTTAGTTGGCCACTCCAATATTGAAGCTTCTAGATTGGCTCTTGATGTGATTTCGCACCGGCTTTGGACCTCTATACAGAGTGGGAAGGTCAGGGCAGAGTCACCGTTTGGTTCGCCAGGGGCCGGTTCGCGCAACACGTGCAACCCCGGAGCCTTGTCGTCCAATGTCTCAAATTTGACGCCTTGGCTTTCAGGCTTATTTTTCTCCCGTTCACTGTACAAGGCTGCCAATTCTTTTTGCCGATGTCGCCATCTAATCTCGTCACATACACATACAGAGTCCCTGATTGCTCCCATCAGGCTCTCAAGGAACTGCTTCGCCGTCTCATGTGCCTCCATTCACGTGTCGCTAATTGCCCACCTCCAGAATCCTTTGACAGAAGACATGGACGGCAGAGCAGAGAGCAAAAAGGCATGCAGCAAACAACATTAAGCAAGGCAGAGGCAAAGCACTGACGCCTGAAACCAAACCCCCACTGGCGCTAGACCCATCAAACAGGGCCTTATCTTTTTTCTTCCCATCTTCGCCTGGCCTTCGTCGTGCTTCTTCCCTCGCGTTAGCACACCCCGAATACCGGTGCTAAAACGCAATCGCCCGACAGATCGGATTGGTGCGGGCGAACATCATGGCAGGCAAGGATATCCCAGCGCGGTGGGGAAGACGCCCCAACCTGAAGAACGGGTCGTCTTTTCCAGGGGCCTAGCGGTTTGACTCCTGGCCGCCATGCCATGCAGTGCAGCTGTGCAGGCACTCGTACTTGGAGCTCCTCGAGCCAGGGGTCCGGCCTGTCTATGCCTCTTTTGAAGCTTCCGCCGCAGCCTACTCTACTCTACTCTAACACGGGCCTAGCAAGCTTGACCCTGGTGCCTCTCCGCCTGGTCTGGCATGGTACTTGTACAGCCACCCAATGCACCCGTGTCACAGCCAGCACCTTTCATATCCTTGACACTTGATCATATCCTTGACACTTGATCATATCCTTGACACTCGAGCTATAGCTCTTTAGGGCCCGCTGCCTTCTCCTGGCCCTTCGGTTGTGGTGGTGCCTGTGGGTTCCCCCTTCACAGTCGGGTGCAAGCGAAGACGAACAGGGAGGCCATCCATGTTCTCCACGCTAGCCTAGCAGGCCCTCGTTTTGAGTGCAATGCGTCCTTCTTCCAGGCTCCGTCGTCCCGGTAGTAGCGTAGATATATACCCTCTTTCGCCTTGTTCCCAATGCCTTGCTCTCCTTCTTGCCGGATGGGAGAATCGTTGAGGATGTTGAATGTGTAGCACTGTCGTCTGAGGCGAATTGCTATTTCTCATCTCACCCGAGAGCTGGATGACTGTGTCTTCCCTCTACACACGGTGACTTCTGCCTTGATTCATAGGAGTAATGGATCATATTGTTGGCTGCATGAACGGGGCTGGACACAGTACAATGTCGAGGCCGTTTTCACCTGCTCTTCAAATGCTTTCCGTAAGCACACTCTCTCCTTTCTTATATACAACTAACTTACACCCGCCATCTCAGTCAACGCCGCTGGCGGCTCTATCAGACAACGAAAAGCCAAATTCTAGAAAGATGCAGCAAGAGGGACAGGGGAAGTATCAGCTCTTCCCCAAGGGGAGGCAGTCGCCTAGCTTTAACAGCAGTGCTTCGGTGGACCCCGAGACCGCTTTTGCAATGGCAATGAACAAGAACAGCGAATGGAACGAGAAGCCAGGTGCTACTCAAGCGCTGAAAATCAAGGTGAACCAACAGACGATTGGCCGGCGTCGAAAGGTCACCATCCCGGAACTGGGACCGATGACAACGGTCCAGGAGATTACCATGGATTCTCGTAAGATCCCGTCCCCTCTCCAGCATCCAACACTCCCGCTCTAACTAGCATCTATAGCAACAATCCCGGGCCGACCACCGCTGCGAGAACGTTCTTCTAGTGCTCCGCAAGACGGAGCAGCACAAGATGCAGTCCCGCCATTGATTCTCGGTAGAGCGATATACGCACCTCCCAAGCAGATCGAGATCAAGAGACGACTCATAGACGCTCAGCCTCCTCGCTTGCCTTCACCAAAGCGACTGGCACCCCTGGTTATTCCCGAACCCGAGCAACTGCAGCTGTCTTTTATGCAATACGCGCAAAAGCCTTCCCCTCCGACACATCTCGAGGCTGAGACGCCTCTGGGTACTGGTATCAACCAGTACCTGACTCCTATTAGCAGCTCTACCTCGGACTCCAGCGGCCCTCTCAGCTCGTCTAGCACAGAGGCTACCTCGGCTCACACACTGCCAACTCCTGTCTCGGCATCGATTATGGAGAAGAGTTCTGCCGTTAAGCAGTGGGAGCCTCGTATGCCATTGAGTGCCAACCGAGCTGAAGATAGCTCATATAGTCATAGGCGATTTGCCTCTGAATCTCAGGGAGACAGAGGTAGACCAAGGAAGCGAAAGGATCAACACAAGAAGAGCAACTCTCACCCAGGCAATGGCGAAAAGAAGCGATCCAAGAGCGCCGAGCAGCGTGCGTTCGAGGAGCTTCCTTCAGGCTACAAGCCAGAGAAGGCTGTCAGCCAAATGAGCGCCAACGATCTGGGCATCCTTCGCCAGCAGGCTCTTGGCCAGGCCGAGAGATTCGAGGTGCTGCGTGTTGAAGATGTCGAAAGCTTGTCCAAAGAACTTCGACGGCTCGATGAACGCGCAGAGTACCTTCGCCGCACCTACAACTCTTTGAGGAACGGTCGCCGCAACTTTCACTCTCGTATCTGCCAGTATCTTCGGTCACCAATGCGAGGATCCAGATTGACTGCTGAGTCCATGCTTAGACAGGAGGAGGCGCTGGCCGAGCTAGATGCCTCCATCGACGGTTGGGTGATTAAGCTCGAGCGGACAGAGAACAGGCGCACACGCGTTCGACAGAAGTTGCTTGAACATATTGCTGCGGCGGCCATCCTGTCTGTCCGCAAGGAGAGCCCTCCGCCACAGCAGCGGCGGCCATCTTCACCTGTACAGCAGCCCTCGCCTGTACAAATACGGGTGGTCCAGGATATTGCCACGCCGCCACGAAGCCCAACCCAGACGACTTTCAACAACCGCCCAGAGAGTGCCTCACCCCCGCCTCTGCGCGTAGTAGCTCAAGTACCCAGCATGATTCTTGAGCTGCCTGCCGAGGAGGTTGTACCTGAAAACAAGGTCGACCTATCACGAAAGTCTACCATGAAGAGCTCCGACGGAGAGAGCATCCGCATCTACGCCGGCGATGAACTCTTTGCTCTCCTGACCGACGTCGAGGACGAGATCATCAGGATGAACAATGCCATCCCTGAGCCCAGTCCCATCCCAGAGTCTGCCGCGCCAGAGCCAAATCCCACACCCGCACCCGCACCCGAGCCCGAAGCAAAGCAGTCTGAGTTCCTGCAAATAGGACATGAAGTGCCGAGAAGCAGCAACTTTAGGCTTAGTGCCCAGCCTGACTCTCCCACTCTCGCCCCCTCGCCGATGCTGCCCAAGAGTTTCTTCTTCAAGCCGCCCACTGCTACCAAGGCTATCCACTCTCCCGTACCGCCGTCCCCGCCTGCACCGGTTCCTCCTCTCAAGGACATCCCAAAGGAACCTGAAATATTCCTCACCAGTGCAGTCTTTAAGCCGAAATAAGCTTCTTCTCACTCTCACCAAGTCTTCTTACTCTTCTTCTTCTTTCTATTCTTTCACTCATTTATGCCTTTTACGGCGTTGATTCGGTCTTCTTCTCGTCACTCCTTTGCATAGACGCATCCTGGCCCTGTGCCTAGAGCCATTGATACCCGGTCATGAACCTGCCATTTTTGTTCTTGCATCAGTCACTCGCTTACTACGTGTCATGCCTAGCACTGCATGGATATTTTTTGTTTAATGTTTATTTCTTACACGGTTGAACACCGTGATGCGACAGCGGCTGGCCAACTTGGGCGTGCGCTAAAGCGTTTTCTTACACGATATGGAGTACACTACATACATCAATCGCTAGACTGCCGGGGCAAGCGAAAGTGCTCTCCCGGAAATTGACCCGTCACATTGTTGAATTGTCAAACTGCTCTATCTTGATATATTCCTTCATTCTTGCCTCTCATTTGTTCGTAAAAAAATTTTTTTTTTTTACAAATTTTTTTTTTATAACTCTCTTTTATTTCAATTCTTTTTCTATTTTTCATTGTAATATTTTTCTTTTTGTCTTTCGAGTCAGGAAAATGGCCAGTTTTGCTTATTGGATTTCGAGGCACCCTAGCAGGGATAGATTGTTTCTCGAAAGACAGGCACTTGTACGCACAAGTCCAAGGCCCTGAAACAGACGAGGCCTGGGCATGGGAAACGAAACAGCTAGCGGGCGGATGATGGCGGGTGCCGCAACAGAATAAAAGCATTGGATTTGTATTTTAGTGCATTAGACAGATAATGTGTACGAGTACAGCTACGATTTAGGTAGATAGCGGCGGTTTGAAGAGCCGAGGATTGACTACTGCATTTCTATCAAATCGAAACATTGTAACCCATTCGGGCAGTGATGGATCTGCTGCATGACTAATGTTTGGCGGTGGTAAATCCTTGGATCATCGTGTCGGCCGACGAAAGCGTGGGATTCGGCCGCAACGTCGGGCGCTGCATTAGCGGGCATGCAAATGGTTGTGCGTGATCGTGATGGCCTCAGTTTTTGGAGTCTTAGTTTTTGACAGCTTGTAGGGGGGGACCACTGACGCCATTCGCTGCCCACCCTGCCTGTCATGTCACTGCACCGATTTTTTTTCTCGCTTGTCGTATAATCTGTATCTGGTGTTTTATCTAAGACATGGAACTATATTTGGCTACGGGGGTTGGGTGGTTTTAGTCTCTAAGGCGGACGGACGCACGTCTCACGGCATCTCGGAAACTTGGTGCGGTCAACGTGATTGGACCGGATCATGCCCGAGAAATCACACTCGATGGCATGGAGTTTCTTTGGCATGCATTATCACAAACGTGTACTTGTATGAGGAGGATGATGATGAGGCGAGACGGGGAACAAAGGCGAGGAGTGACGATGTTGCTACGGCGAAGTGTGCCGTATGCAAGGCGTGTTGCACTGAGAGGTGCCGAGCGTTTTAGGACGTGGATATGCCGTGCGTTGAGGGAGAGATGGGACGAAAGGAAGGGAAAAGCTGGGATGCAGTGCGGAGAGCGGAGGGCCAGGGGGGTTTTTCGTTTGGTGGAGGAGGAGGAGGTTGGTAGTTGGTGTTTTTTTGGTGATGTCAAGTGACGGCTTTTTGCTGCACGCTGCAGGGCATGCAGGGACTTGTTGGACCACCTCCATAGCTGTGGATGCGTATTTACAGGCATTGCAGTAGACCTGTATGTACGTGCTACTGTAGCATATGCATGCACGAGAGGGGAAGCGAAGCGAGAAAGCCAGTCACGGCGGCATTTTTGCTGCATGCATGGATCGCGGATGATGGGAGTTCTAGATTTGGCTGGGCTCTGATGGGGGGAAAGATAACGAGGAGCCGGAAGGGAGTCCCCGCAGAGAGTCACATTTGGGATATGGATCCATTGGAAGCAGTTACAGTTACGGAGTATGGAGGAGAAAGTGGACAGAAATTTGTGGCTTGCCGGGGATAGAGGGCCTCCGGAGCCGGTGACGAGTCTGGAATAGTTGGATGGAGGATGGGATTCGATAGTGATGAATTGGGGTTACCAGCTAGGCAAGCAGAGTATTGATATGCATAAATTAGATGATGGAAAATGAAAAAGTCAATGGGGATGAGAAGAAGGACGGGAATTGGAGAGAAGACGGACGAATTGATCGAATTCAGGGGAAGAGATGTATTATCGTGAAGGGGAGATGAAATGCTGATGGGCAATGCAGCACAATATTGCGATGGGCTCTGTGTCTATCCTGGATTGGGTAGACGAGAAACTTTGATAAAATGGAAAGCTCTTTTCTCCGAATGTAATTACACTTGCTGCGGTGGGCATGCAGACGGAAGTGGAATAGAGCCTCATCATCACCATAATCATAATCACCCACGAGGCGCAGACTGTAAGTTACGAAGGGGTTGCTGCTACGACGAATTGGTAAGCTTGACAAGGTAACAAAACGAATTAACACAGAATAGGCACTAAAATCAATAAAACCGAATATGTCTAAAAAAAACCGTTGCGAGGGAGAAAAAGCTGGGGAAATTGAACAGTAGCCAGGCCAGGGGGGAGATGGGGGACCCGTTGACAAGCAGGGATGGGATTTTTAGTGCATGATATTGGAGACGACGCGAGAAATTGACATGACACGTCAAAATGCCTCTGTTTTTTTTCTTTCTGATTCATTCGCCTACAGGCAGGTACATACCACGATATGCACATAAAAGCACTCATATACCAGGCACAGATGCAAGGTACCAACTTGGAGAATCCTTGGAGCCGGATGGATACAGCAAGGGGACACCCCTAGCATAGAGTCATGATCCCGGCGCCCCGGTGAACAAGAAAAGTGATATGCAGTGCTGCATTTTTTGTTCCCCTCTTTGTTCTTTTTTCCCTCTCATTTAAATCTTGGCTGCACGACGGTCGATCGTCACTTCACGCCAGAAAGAAAAACTTGATATTGGCACTTTTTTTTCTGTCACTTTTTTGGAAACCTGGATTGTTCTTGTTCCCCGGACACCGAAGCTAAGAGGCCAATTGCCGATCCGCGCGGACATTGACAGAAAGAATGAGAAAGGTACGAGTAGAGAAGCGAATCCAGAGGCCCCGTTCTCGTGCATCGTAGGCCTACCTGAACGACCCGACCATTGGCATGTCAATATCCGGTTTCCCCATTCGCGCGGATGCCTCGAGTTAAATTCCGAGACTCGACGGCGGCTTAATGCTACCTCACTCTGTGGGAGTTTCCGGGACAGGAAAGGGAAAAAAAAGGAAAACTCTGCACAAAGTATCACGGGTTTGTGATACGAGACGGTTGCCCCCCTCACTCTTACTTTTTCTTTTTCTTTCGAACAAGGGGGTGTAAAAAGGAAAGATACGATTAGGCGAAGTAAAAAAAGATGAGCCGTAAACGCGGGAATGCCAGTTTGCCCCGTCTTTGGCTGATCTACTAGTATTACAAGACTGCATTCTAATAAGCAAAATGTAAAAAAGGAAAAAAAAAGAAGGCCGTACTGCTAGTACTACATAATGGCTGAAAGACATAATCTGTAGGTATGCTTGGTTCAGAAAAAAAGAAACACACGTCTCATCCCATCATTTGAGGCAACCACTCCCGTGAATGGAATAGGGGGGCGGGAGCCGAAAAGGGCGTCCATTCGTCCATTTACTCCATTGGAAAAAAAGCAAAGAAGCAACCAGGTATCATTTCTGTTTTCCGCCCTCGTTTATCATATAGAATGAAATAAAAATTAGAGAATATTGGCCGGGATTCCTTCCCGGGTCCCGTAGTTGAGCATTATAAGCCTTCCATGTACCTCGTTGTTCGGGCCCCGAGGCCAACAGTCGTTAACAATACGTTCGGTGGTCAAACTCCGTGCTTCGTACCAACATGCGCGCGTGTCGGCGTTAATCAGTGTGTAAGAACCCTCACTGCCTGCAGTATTAGGCCAAAAATTAGTCCCCGCGCAACCTCCTCGATCTGCAAACAGTCAAACACACGCCCCAGCGCCTCGCCTGTGGCCGACTGTCCCATCACGCCCATCAGGGCCGCCGGCACTCCACTTTGGATCAGAAGCCTGCGGGCCTTGATGGCCAACTGCTTCTTGTCCTCTTCAGTCAACGGCGCGGGCCAGGATGCTTGCTCCTGTTCCGTGGGCATGGTGTTCTCCCGCACTTTGCGTAGCCCGGATGCGATCCCTGCATCCGAAGTGTTGGCGTCTATCACAGATGCCTGAATGAGGGACTGCACCGTTAGGAGTGAGGGGTTGCCAGGGCGTAACAAAAACGACTTTGCTGCCGTGAGCAGCGTCCGACGGATGTTCCAGGCCGACGAGAGGGTGTACATCTCGTTGATAACGGCAAAGATGAGTTCGACTGCCACCCGAGTTTCCGCTTCGCTTAGCTGCGTGAACTGGCGGACGGGCTTTGCCGGGCTCTTCTTGCCAGATAACGCCGGCGCCGACGCTGACCCGTTCAAAGCTGCCGAACTATTGTTACGGCTATGATCTTCCATGATACCGACTTCCTTTCTACGCGGCTTTGCATCAAACTCGTTCGATTCGTAGTCATCACTAATCTCATCTGGCGGCGGCGGGAGCTTGGTAAAGTCCAGGCTAACCGACGATGGTGACCGGAGAGCAGCCAGGCTGGATGTTCTACTGTGTTCCCTGCTAGGTCGTGCGCTTACCGAAGTCGATATCGAGTCCACCCGGCCTCTCTGGCCCATCCGCAGGTCTGTCTCGCTGGTGTTGGGGGACTGGAAGCTTAGCATTCGCTCCATTGGGGCAATCCTGCCCGGCTGGGTAGCAATCACCGACGACCTCTGGCTATCGAGACTGGCACGCTCCGACCTCGCGGGTGACCGTGCAATGCTATCAACTCGGCTTGCCGTAGTTGACGATATGGATAATCGGTTCGGATTCGGGGTAAGGTCGATTGATTGATTAGTCGACTTTCGATTCAGGCCAGCCAGGTTGCCGAAGACGCCACTAACGCCTCCGACAAGACTCTTGCCGCCTTCCATAGCTCCTTTGGGACCAATCGACAGAACTTCGAGCATGTTCTTGCCCATTGTTTCCCAGCCAAAGGACTTGGAGTTGCCGTGCGTGTGTCCCTGCGACTTTTCGAGGAATCGCTTCATGCCCTCGCTTTCTGCCAGGGCCTGATACCAACAGGCATCTCGTAGATACCTCTCCAGTTCGCCGCGAAGAGACTCCCGGGTGTGAATCTTCCAGCTGGGCAGTTCCTTGTGAAGCTCCATAAAGGCGGTTGCGCCCGATACAGCGGCAATACGCCTTAAAATCTCGTGAAGGGTCTCAAAGTCAGAATATCGCCTCACAATCATCCAGCCGGGGTAGTGAGAGGACGATGGCTCGACTTGGATCAAGTAGTCCGTATTTGGCTTGTTCTTGATCTTTCCCATGTCCCCCGAACCATCGTCGTGTAGCGTGAAAGAAGCGTTGTGCAAAGTAAGCGGTGCCTTTTTCGGCGAATCTTCATCGCTATCTACTGGCTGGCCAGGAGGCACGATTTGATCAAAACTCGTAAAGGACTGATCTTTGCTTTCCTGTGGAGATGATGCTTGACTGACAGAGTCAGTGGTAGATCGCGGCGTATGCGGTGTGTAAACAGTGTCGCTCTTAGTCGAGATGCCATCTACAGAAGCTCCGCGAGTCGGGTATCTGCTGGATATCGGTGACAATGTCTCGGATGCAGAACCATTCTTCTGGACCTCCCCATCTCCAGTCGCCAAGTCCATGCTTTGCTTTGAGCGCTCAGATGCTTCTGTCAATGTGGATGCCCTTTTTCGTCGCATGTCATCCTCTGCAATCATGGCGTTCATTCGCTTCATCTCTTCCATAGCTTCTTCCAGTTCCTCATCTGCCTTGCTCAGTTTTTTCTTGTGAGAAGACTCTTTTCGTCGACTCTGGCCTTGATCATTACTACCGCGTCGAGGCTTCGCGATGCCGATGTTACCAACATTACCGTCCAAGTCGGCAAAGACATTGTTGGCCACGTCGCGGCCCGTCTGCATGCCGACATCGATTGCTTGATTCAAGTTGGGTTCTCCTGCCTCCAGAAGATATACGATCCACCCATTGATCCACTCGGCCCTGCTGCACTGCTGTAGCGTCTGTTCGAGCACGGAATTCGCCAAAATCTCCCGCAAGAAAACGCGTGCGGGATCACAGTTGTAGGCACTCTTGTCTAGGAAACTAAGCAAGTCCTCGGAAACCATCTTGAATTTGGTTGCCTGCTGCCTCTTATTAAGCAGATTCGCGAGGCGGGAGTCGGGGTTTTCCGCCAGATAATTGTATATAGCATCGGCAGCGTTGACATTTGTGTCGGCGGGCAGTTCGGCGAAAGCAGTGGCTAATTCTGAAAGAAAAACGATAATCATGGAAGTCGAATTAGTCAGGAGATCGAGAAAAGCATCGGCAGGTCGCTTGCGGCTCATCCGGTTTGAGATGGCCAGCAGGTAGGATGTGATGGTCTTGCGGACAGCAAGAGGAAAGGCATGGTCTGAAGGCACAAGCGGACTGTACCACCACTTGATGTAGTTTTGGACAATGGCGTCGACCAAGCCGCTCAGCGCCTCTTTAGTCTCTGGACGAAAGTCGTCGAAGCCCCTCATGCGATACTGTTCGTCATCGTCGTCATCGTCCTGCTTCTCGACGGCTCTTACGGTCTTCAAGTCTGCCCAAACTCTGTCTAGTACTGCCGGTCCATCTTCACCGCGAACTGCCCTTGCGAATTCAGGGTTCTTGGACTCCCATATAATAAAGGAGACGACGCCGCCGAATGCCCCTATCAGCACGAGACCGAGCCGCCCGAGAACAGCATAGGTCACTGCAGAGACTCCGACGCCGAATCCCGCAAGAGTTGTTGGCGTAGCAGTCGCAAAGAATTGGATCGCTCTGGAGGCGAGGGTGACTTCTGGTGGCTGCGCCGGCTGTGTTGGCTCGGCCCACGATGTCTTGGAATCGCATTGTACTCGTAAGCTTTTGTAAGCATGATTATTAGTGATGTTGAGGCTGTCGTGATCCGAGGGCGCAACGCCGTCGCCGTTTGCGCCAGCTCGACCGGCCGATTCGCCCGAGGCCAGCTCGGATGAGTCTTCGCGACGCTGCGCAATGTCGGTTGCGATTGAGCTCATTGGGGTTGAGCTGGTGCTAGCTTGACCCCAACGGCCGGATTCTCTAAACTATCAGTGTCTCGTGATGCGCGGGAGACGAGGGAAACATGTCCAGCAAGCGCCCAATGCCGCTGATTTTTGGTTACAATAGAAGACGCAGAGGTTGGATGCTGGAATGATGAAGTGCAGGGCGCAGCTGCTGGTCGTGTGTATATGCTGGGTCCAAGGAATTCTTGAAGATGCTCTGCCGAACGAAGCACTGCAGTCTCATAATCCTCCTTAAAGGCGGGTCCCCCTGGTCTAAATTTGGAGCTACAAGTCGCCCCCTGTTTGTTTCCACAAGCGCAACACGAGCGCTGAAAGTACAGTTGATGGTATCAGGAGAGAAGGACGAAGCAATGCACCGTATAGAGCATTGATTTCTACTAATTCTCTTTATTTTACGTCTTGATTAATTATTTTATTGATTGATGCATTTACTGCCGCTCTCTACCACCTAAATATAGCCATCTCACCTCTTTATCATTCATTGGTGCAGAGGGAGCATCTTTCACGTGAGCTGGCGTGACTGTTACGCACATGCCCCGCCTAACGCTCCCTCCACGCTGTAAAACACTTTGGGCCTGACGCGTTTCGAAGCTCCACGCGCCGCATTGAGCATTGCATTCCTCGGCTTCCCCTTGCGGATCTACGGATATCGCAAACGCAGATACGATCTCTCACCCTGCGATAAGCTTCTTCTAGGAATCCAATACTATCCTATAACCATCAACCATCACAATCACCCCGAAGCACGTCCGCAGACATTGAACATGCCTCCCAAGCGACGGGCCGTCGATGACAGCGAAGACGAGGTTCCCCCCACTTCTGTCGCAAAGAAGAACAAGAGCGCCGCCGCCGCCAGTGCGCCAGATGGCAAAGATGACGAGGGCAATCCATTCTGGGAGGTGCGATATGACTGACAGCCGAGAAACTGGTCTTGCATCTCATTTACTCACCGCTTTGCAACAGTTGTCAAACAAGCGACGCGTGGGAGTCTCCCAGTTCAAGAAGATGTGCTTTGTCAACATTCGCGAGTACTACGAGAAGGATGGAAAGATGCTGCCCGGCAAAAAGGTAAGCCCTGCGTGTTCTGGCAGAGGAAATATGGTGGGATACACGACGCTGATACTAGCCCAAGGGCATTTCTCTGTCTGTCGAACAATACCTTGCCCTGATCAAAGCAGCTCCCGGTATCAACGCGGCTCTGCGAGCAAAGGGCCAAGACGTCGACGACCCCGACGAAATGGATATTGAAGAACCCGAGGTGGCTACAAACAAGAAGAAGTCCAAGTCGGACAAGTCCAATATTGAAGCAACTAGCGATGAAGACGAAGGCGATGATTAGATGCGGGAGTCTCCCTGTAGACCTTGTGGTATTTGATTTGTGAAGTCAGCCCTATGGGGCTTTTAATCGCTGGAGTTGGGAGATTCTACTTATGGCACAGCAGGCTGGTGCCTAGCATGAGCAGGCAGCTCGTGGATTCGGGGTTACTGCTGTCATTGCGGTTGACAGGTATATGATACGCTCTGATTTGTATCGCGATGATATCCCATAATGACAAAAGGTTTATGAGTAAGTCGCGAGCGACAGCTGTCATGTTTCAGTAAGACGATGGATGCAAGGGTTCTCCAGGAAAGCCAGCTACAACGTAGAGATGACTGTATCTTGTCTCATCCCACAGCATCGCAAACAGATGTCATTGGATGTCTCTGGATCGTGCCGCATTGGGCGGATGTATATTGTCCAATCACGAGCCGACGATATTCGCAACGATATCACTCGCAAATACTTGAGCTTGACTACCCAACCTTACCTTAGCGCAGCACCGCAGAGTTACCTAGAGATCCCGTGTGACACATCTCCAATGAAGTGGTGTCGCCAAGGCTGTTTGATGGCAGAGATCCCGGGTCCGTGGCAATGACTAAAGTAGCGCTGAAGCCCCCTATGATTGGCGCACGGGGGCGTCACCCTTCACCATCATGCTCCCTAATGCCTGCAAAACTGTCATCTGGTGTCGATCCCATTAATCTCATCTCGACCACTTCCACGCTGGCTCTTTTCCCACAACTCAAAACCCCCTCCCACCCACACGATATTGCAACAATAGAAGCCCGGCTCTTCATAAACTTCTCATAAACGGAACACGTGCTTCCCGAGACTGACTTGAACGCGATCACGGTGCCTGTTTGCCGCCGTTTTCGGGCTCCGCCTTAGTCGATAAACCCCCCTTGCGTCAGATTACCTAACCCGACGTCGAACTGGCAACTTGATTCCACATCAGCGGCCGGTTCTGGGTGGCTTTTATTGTCTCTCAGCCCTCCCGACACTTGCCTTTCTTCTTTTTAATCTTTCAAACTCATGGATGGCCGGATCATATAGAGCCAGACAGCAATTGTGTTTAATGATTTAACCTTTTCTTAATCTTTTTTTGGACTTTCACACCTCGGTTGCGCCGGCGCGACTGTTGCTTTAATCATGTTCTCATGGCGGATTGGGCTGGGGCGCACGGAGTCCGTGAATAATTACGAGGGCGTTCTGGTTTCTCTAGAAGAGGCGCATCTTCACAGCCACTCGGCGCGGGTTGGACGAGTCGAGTTTGAAAACCAAGATGAAAGCGCGGGTGACGACGATGACGACGATGTGAATTCGGTAAAGGACGACCAGGGGGAGGGAATGCTGCTGATGAATGCCGCCGAATACACCATCGAAGGACTAAGAGCAGAGATGAGGCAAGGCAAACGAGGGCAGTGGACGGATTATGAGAGTGGGTGTTTACGACAAAGGTGACGAGAGAAAATCGACACTAATCCGACAATAGTCAAATCCAAGCTCATCAACAAGGCAATTCAAGACATTGGCATGGGGCGCTATAACTGGCAGCTGTTCATCCTCTGCGGCTTCGGATGGTTTGCCGATAAGTAAGACAATCCATTTTCCCTATTTCTGATTCGAATCGTTGACTAACATGTGACATAGTTTATGGCTACAGGTGTGCTGAATATGCTGTGCTGAGACCATTGCTTTGTAATGCTAACGGATAGAACAGGGCGTTTCACTAACCTTGCCATCATTATCAGCGGAGTTTGATATACCAGAAAAGACAGTGAGATACACGACAAGCGCCTGCTTTGTCGGGCTCTCTCTTGGAAGTTTCCTTTGGGGTATAGGGTCCGATCTCTTTGGCCGCCGAATCGCGTTCAACATGACGCTACTTATTACGAGCATCTTTGGTATTCTAGCTGCGTACGCCAGAAGCTGGGGAGCTGTATGCTTCCTTTACGCGGCATTCGGCTTTGGTGTTGGTGGCAACCTCCCCGTTGATGGTGCATTGTTCCTGGAGTTTCTGCCGGATGCTTCCAGTTCACTACTCACGCTGCTGTCCGTGTGGTGGCCCATCGGACAGCTGGTGTCCTCACTAGCTGCGTGGTTCTTCATCGCCCAGTGGCCCGTGGAAATTGGTTGGCGATACTTTATTATGACCATTGGCATCATTACCTTTGCAATGTTCGCCATGCGCTTCTTTCTCTTCCACATGTTCGAGTCGCCCAAATTTCTCCTCAACCAAGGCCGCCAGAATGAAGCAGTTGCTGTCGTCCACGGCATCGCCTATCGGAACGGCGCAAAGACATGGCTCACCTCACAGATTCTCGATCAAGTTGCGGCAGAAGATCCCGAACAATCCAGCAATAATGCTCAGCAGTATTCCATGTCCTCGATTCCTCGCTCCAACATTTTCAAGGAGAAGTTCAGGGGGTTCTCAGGAGATAGATTGCGGCCGCTATTCCAGACCAAGACTCTGGCTCTCGCAACATCTCTTGTGTGGTTCTGCTGGGCAACCATAGGCATGGGATATCCACTCTTCAATGCCTTTTTACCCCAATACCTTTCTCATCACGACGGCGATGCGAGCAGCGAAGCAATGCAAGACGAAACCTCCGCCATATCCGGTGTCACATACCGCAACTACGCCATCACATCGATCATGGGAGTTCCCGGCAGTCTCCTTGCTGCTTACTTGGTCGACCATCCATCTCCTTTCTTTGGCCGTCGTGGAACCCTGGCCAGCTCCACCGTCGTCTCGGCAGTGTTCCTCTTCATTTTTGCGGCGTACGGCACCACACCGACGCGCCAGCTCGTCTTTTCTTGCATTGAGGCGTTTGCCCAGAACATCATGTACGGCGTTCTGTACGCCTTCACACCGGAAATCTTCCCAGCTCCCGTTAGAGGTGCGGGTACGGGAGTGGCCAGCTTCCTCAACCGACTGACAGGTTTGATGGCTCCGATCATAGCGGCGAACATTCCTGGAGACGGATCTACTACGCCCATTTACATGTCTGCTGTTTTGATCTTGGCAGCTTTTGTGGGCATGTGTTTGATTCCCATTGAAACTAGGGGTGCGCAGCGGTTGTAGGCTTTTTTTGTGTCTTTATAGAATCTTGGGCAGTGCTACGGGAAAGGCAAATGTGGATAAGCAACTGCAGCAAGTATATTGGCATTCATACATATAATGGCTCTTATTTGGATATTGGGACGAAGAGCTTGTCATCATGGGCTAATTGGAATATGGCTCATTTGGTGGTCCCTTGAGAATAGATTTCATTTTGTATTAGAACAATGCATAACGGTTACCAATGTCTATCATCATCTATCGATTGCCCTTGGCGCCAGCAGGAACATCAACACGCCGCTTTCTCAGCGAAGTGCCCATAGCATCGCGAACCATGGGGTCAGCACGAATTGTGTTTTGAACCAACCACTCTCTCATCTTTCCTTGTAGATTGGATGTCGCCTCTGCATCCCCCTTGAATGGCGTCATCTCCATCTCCATTAGCCTCGTCGAGTCGGCATCAAATTGGCCAGTGATGGCTTCAAGGCGGTTCAAGCCCTGATGTAGAAGCTCGTCCTCGTCATCGATGGATCGCTTCGATGGCGATGTATCCATCATCATGAGCGGACCGATCTGTGACAGGGCAATGTAGATGGTGATGGTAAGTTTGCGCGCAAGCTGTATAAGTTGGAACGGCAGATACGGCGGGTGAGTAGCCGTCTTGGAGAAGAGAAAGTTGAGGCCCTCCAGCAATGACGGAAAACTCGGCCGCGTAACAGCTTGAATCTCGAAGACGCACAGGGTCACCAATATCAACCATCGGTAGAACTTTCCAAAATCCATGTATCCCAGCAAACCCAAGATGTAAATGGACCCTGCGGCAACAGCATAGTGCGGCAGGATTCCCGAAAACACACCGCGCGAGACGTAGTCCTTCACCGTGACGCACTTTTGCCACGCTACAGTCTCCGGTCCGAAGCGCTCGTAGGCGAAGCGCTTCGCGGCATCTTGCAAGGTGTCGCTAGCAGCCTTGAGGTGGATGAAGTAGGAGGCGGAGTCAGAGGCGTCGCTGCCCGTCTTGTCGGGGTGATGAAGCGCGGCGAGACGGCGGAAGCGAGATTTAATATCGCGATCGGTAGCGGAAAAGGGTACGCCTAGATCGGTGTAGAAGGAGCCTTGGCGGCGGAGGTCGAAGTCGGCCTCGTAGATGGTATAGGAGAGGTAGATGGCTATGACGAGGATGTGGATGTTGCGGCGATGGTGATTGAACCGCGAGCTGCCGGGCTGGGGCTTGGGATCGCCGGCGCGGATCGTGAGGCCATAGTAGATGGTCTGGATCCAAGAGGTTGCGATCTGGGGGGCGCGAGAAAGCACGAGTTAGCTAGCTGGCTGGTGTCGTGTGCAGGTTGAAGCAGTGAATGAAAGACGAGATGCTGCGTTATCGAGAGGAAGAGAGTGATACTTACGTTGGGGAGGAAGGACCACCCTATAATGGACAAGAATTGCGACATGATATATCGTGCAGCATTGTGGTTGAGATGCGAAGCTGCGGGTTCAAAGGCAAATATGTTGGTGTTTTCTTGAGGACAAGCTGGCCGGCGATTCTTATCGATAAAGTCTGATGTAATCTTTTTGCAGGGGTCTTTTCGATCCGGCGCTTTGTTAGCGAGTACATGCCGAGATGTTAGTGGCAAAGCAGTAGAGCAAACAAATGTTCGAATGTGGTGGCTAACAAAATGCTAAGGCATAAGCTATTTCTGCCGGTTGCTATACTAGTCAAATACCATTTCAGAGAACTTTTCTAGAATTAACAATGGAGTTTGGGGGAGGGGAACCAGCAGATTGTTCAACCACTACGACTTATTGCACAGTCGTCCATTAAAAAGAGAGCCCGGAGAGCTAATTGATAGTGTAGAGACGTCGACAGGCTTGCTGGTTACTTGTGCGGAACCCTTTGTTTGCTGGTGGACAAACATTGTTCTATGGCTTTGTTGGCATATGGTCTTTTTTTGCAGCCCTCGAAGGGCGTGATGTCAAGTGCAGCTTAAAATCGAGGCGATATGTTATCCCATGTCTGAATGTCACACGGAGCTGCTTCACAACAGCTCAACTGCAATGACAGTAAAACATGTCGTTCCGCTTCGACTTTATTTTAGAGTAGTTTTTCTCCATCATTACTTTCAGAGTCGTAGATCATATGTAAGCAAACCCACTGCATTGTTACATTCCGCTTGACCGATGACTCTTCAACCCTCTAATATATATCTCTCAACTGAACGGATTAGTAGAATCTGGGGCAGAACCACCATCGCACTAACCTGACTTGCACCGATTCGCGCCAGCTACTTGTGCCCATGGCTAAATGCCTGAATGCAGCAACCAAACATGAACCGATCTACGAGATGTTAAGCCTCCACAGATCAACCATCACGTCGGGCTGTGTTAGATACGGTGATTAGTTTAACAACCAGCCAATAGGGTGTTTTAAAGGCTAAAAAAGAAATCGTTTGCAATGTAACATTCCTACACTATTAATCATGCCATAATGCGGAGAATACCGATTCGTGGCCGGCACTCCTAGAGTAACTCGATCTCCGAAAGTACTGAGCGGATCGATGAAGCTGAATCTGAAGATCTGAATTTTCTTCAGCATCAAAGCCACTGCTGTCACATGGGCTTACGCCGGACTTTGCTGGTATTTCCAGCCCCTCCTAAAAGATTGCAACAGTGAGGAATATGCAAGGTTACATCAGAATTTGTGTGTGGGCATTCTGAACAGGTATATTTGAGCGTGAACAAGCTTGCAATAAGTGTGTGACTCTGAGAATTGACATCAGTCCTTACAATACAGTCAAGCGGGCGTATCAGCTTGAAAATCCAGTCTCTAAGGCCTCGTTTTACTCAATACCACTCACTACCATGAGTCGCACGCCGCTATCAGTTGTCGTTATTGGCGTAGGCCAAATGGGAACTAGCCATCTCCTCGCATATCATCACAACCCCATGTACAAGGTCATTGGTATTGTGTCGAGGAGCACCCCTCAACTCCCAACCGAATTGAAAGAATACGAGAGTCTCGCTCTTCCAAACCTCAACGCAGCCCTGTCGCTTAAGCCAGATGTGGTCTCAATAAACACCCACTCTGATAGTCATGCAGAGTATGCAGTGGCTTCAATGGAAGCAGGCGCCCATGTATTTGTTGAGAAACCTCTAGCAACCTCTGTTGCAGACGCAAAACGAGTTGTAGACACAGCTAAACGAACCGGGAAAAAGCTTGTCATTGGTTACATTCTCCGTCACCATCCGAGTTGGGTTGAATTCATTCGACAGGCAAGGCAACTTGGGCCTCCTTTCGTCATGCGCATGAATCTCAACCAACGCTCGGAAGGAAATGCATGGAACATTCACAAGCGCATCATGGAAACGACCAGTCCTGTAGTGGACTGCGGAGTCCATTACATTGATGTGATGCTTCAAATCACAGACAGCCGCCCTGTTCAAGTCAGAGGAATGGGAGTTAGGCTCAGTGATGAGATTGACAAGGATCAAGTTAATTATGGCCACTTACAGATTACATTTGAAGATGCATCAGTGGGTTGGTATGAGGCTGGCTGGGGCCCCATGATATCCACGACGGCCTTTTTCATCAAAGATGTCATGGGACCTAAGGGTGCTGTATCGATTGTGATGGATAGCAATGCTGATTCTTCGGACGTGAACGCACACACCAAGACAGCAAATATCAGGGTGGCCCCGGTTAATGAGAAGGCTACCGTAATCTCCATGAAGGGTGAGCCTGGCCATGAGGAGCTCTGCGCACGAGAGCAAGAGTATCTGCTAGAGTCTATTCTAGAAGATCGAGACTTATCCAAGCATATGGATGATGCTGTTCAGTCCCTTGCAGTTGTGCTAGCAGCAGATAAGTCAATGAAGGAAAATAGGGCGATTGATCTCTAGTAAGACAATGGATGCTATACCTTGGCTTTTGTAGTTCATAATCTGTACAATTGAACTCAGCCACACTAGGTGCAGGTAGGCAGAGCCAACTTTGCAACCTCATTAGAGACTACGTACAAAACAAAGCGTCTTAGCTGTAGGATGTATTAATCGGCTCCTGGGGCCTTGTGCATGAAAGACAAGCTACGGCTTGCAAAAGTAGATGAATGTAGCGGGAGCGCAATATTTTTCTCTTCGGCCGCAGTGTGTGTATGCAGATTTCATTGCAGCGGCATATATATTTGCACTAATGCACACTTCGATCCTGCAGTTGAATACTCATGGCGCTTATATGTTTCCAATCTAGGCAGAGCCCCTCTTCTACTCGCACGCAAAACAAATGCAATTAATACCACTCAAAGTCCTACAGTTGTCTTTCACGAAGCAATAATGAGCACTCATTGTCGACCTTGCTCAGGCTTATCCGCGGAGACTTTGATTGGGCTTGCAGAACAGGAATTCTCAGGTCATGAGTTTCCTGCTTCGGCGCACTATCAACACCACAACTCGTTTCATGATCTAGAACAGGCAGCAAACGGTGGTTGCAATTTGTGCTCGCTCATAGTTGACTGCTTCAAAGGAATCCCATGGATAAGAGGCGAGAGCTATCAGTTCTCTTCTTGTCTATGGGAAACCCCAGGAATAGAAATTGAGGGTTCAGCTTATGATGCGGCAAAGCAGCTTGCTTTGTTTGATGTGAAGTTGAGTATTGGTACGGATCATGTCTACCTAGGAGATGGTTTAGACAAAGTTCGGTCTTTCAATACTCTCTTGGTCCAAATCGGTCCGACAGAGCTACCGGAAGAGAGCGATGATTATGCATTTCCCTTTCTCACTCTCTCATTAAACGGTCGAGGTAATGGCAGTAGTCCAACGGATATTACTATGTCATTTTGCTAAATAACCTAGACTGTTTTGCGGAAATCGGAGGCATCAAAATTGGACGCCGCAAGATCCATCCGGACTTGGGCTCTCCCAATCAGTTCAAAATAGCCAGACGCTGGCTTCAGGAATGTCGAACACACGAAGCATGTCTGATGAACAAGGTCCCAGAGCTCCCTACTCGCGTGGTAGACATTGGGCTGCCAGATGATAAATCTGTACCGCGGGTATTCATTTCTCAGGGCGCCAAAGCAGATTATATTGCACTAAGTCATTGCTGGGGTGGCAGAATAGCGTCTGTTCTCACTTCAAAGGCATATCATGACTACCAAAAGGCTTTACCATTCTCCGAAATATCGGTAAATTTTAAAGATACTTTTCGTATTGCGAGAGAGCTCGGAATTCAATATGTATGGATCGACTCATTATGTATTATTCAGGACTCGAAAGAGGATTGGGAAATCGAATCTAGCAGGATGGGAGCTGTATATCGCAACGCCACACTGACCGTCTCAGCACTTGTTTCAGCGAAGAGCACGGTAGGGATCTTGAAAACTAACGAAAGTCGTTTTCTGGGAGCCCCGAAGAGCGCAAAACTCAGGGTTTATGAAAACAGCTCGAAAGATGAGGAGGTCGAAGTGGAATGGAAATCACGAGATGAAGAAAATTTGCGACGTCTCATGAACGAGTGTGCACTTACTTCACGAGGATGGACTTTACAAGAGTACATTTTGTCTCCTCGAAATCTTCTCTACGGCGACAGGCAAATATACTGGCGGTGTCCAAGTATGATGATATCAGCCGATGCTACGCCAGAAGGCAATCAGTTTCCGGATCATAAATTTCAGAAAGCTTCACAAGTTATTTACTCCGACATATTGGCCGTGGCCCCCGAGACTGAATCAGATATAAAAGCCGTTCTTGAGGATTATTACGAATTAGCAGAGACGTATTCTGCGCGCCAATTGACTTATGGGTCGGATAAACATGCTGCATTCTCTGGTATTGCTCAAATGATACATCCATCCATTGGTGGACAATACCTTGCGGGCCTTTGGACAGTTGACTTCAAGCATGGACTGCTGTGGTATGCAGAAATGGCCTCTTGCCGTCATGTTGAATCTCATGGAGCTCCGTCCTGGTCGTGGATGGTAACGGATGCCTCAGTTTTGTTTTCGAGAATTGGAATTCTCGAGTCTACTCCATTTGATGTGAAAATACTCCAATACAATGGCATCTCTCAAGATGCGGTAAAACAGTTTGGTCAGACTGAATCAGCGTCTGTGGTCGTGGCAGGACTCACAATGCCATTGATCCGGAGCAAACAGCACGTTCGAGCAAGAGATCGTGATGACTTGGTGCTCGGTAGCGTATACTACGACGAGCCATCATCAGCTGACGATGGTGACATGAGAAACTCTATTTTCACGGTAGACGATCAAGTTTTGGGACAGGCTTTGATTTCGCTGCATACTGATCCTGGGGCTCATGACATTGACATCATTTCAAATCTTTTCCTGGAAGATAACCTCTTGGTATTGTTGGTTCAGGCAGACGAAAATGTCGATAATGAGATGGAATCTAGCTTTGGTGAGGGAATCGTTTTGCGACCGGTCAAGCATGGCTTGGAAGATGTTTATGAAAGGATGGGGTATGTTACCTTCTGGATGCCGAGCATGGATTACTTTCGAGGGTGGGGGTCAAGATCCTTGAAAATGATATAAGCTCTTTCAGCCAAAGCTACTGCCTTTAATGGAAGGCAGAGAACACAAGGGCATGCCCCTGTCTCATCGGCATTCAAATACAGTCAGCTCAGCGGCCATTTTAAGCTTGTTATTCTCTACCGTCTTGGCGAACAAATTATTAGCATCGACACTCGTGTATGCAACAATGCCATTGATTAGTATCTATGTCCAAATTTGAGTTAAAAGTTATATACAGTAAGACATATGTACGTTGTCTCCATGCCAGTGGAACAATTATTCAGACAAAGTTACAAGAATGCAAAGTGTAAACGAGAATCCATCAACCGGTTGAGACGGCACAGATATCCATAGTTTAAATGATTACTGATGTTGCGATCTGCAAGTCCTTTAAAAGATGTCGGTCTGGGCACCAGCAGTGAAGCCCATTCGGGAGGTGTAAGTGGGAACCTGCTGGCCACCCTTCCACTGGACATTGTTTCCCTCAGCCTGGAAAGCAGCAATCATCTGCTTGGGTCCCCTGACGTTGGGACCTGGGACAAGAGAGGGAGTCTTGGGCTGCTGGCCACCGTTGGGGTTGATGATCTTGCACTTGTGGGGAGCCATGTACATGTTCTGCTGGCCATAGCCATCGGGGATCCAGCTATGTGAAGTTATTAGTGACAAAGGCCTCATAAAATCCTTTAGAAATAGAGAACTTACACAGTAGCGCAGAGGCACTCGTTGCAAGCCTTCAGGTTGGGGATGTTGTAGGTAACAAGACGCTCAAAGGGGGTCTGAGGAGCAGTGGTGAAGACGACAAAGTCCTCCATCTTCACGTCGTAGATGTTGGACTTGTAAGCGATGGCAACGGCAGTACCAGCGGCAGTCGACTTGTTACCGGCGTGCATGTTAGGGCTGTTGATTCCTCCGGAAGAAGAGACCAGGCCAGCAGCAATGACGGCAGGGTTCGTGACGGAGAAGGGCTGAGGGCGCTCATTCTGCTCCTTTCCGTCGGCGTAGTAGCCGTGAGAGTTGTTCTGGTTGGCCCAAGGGACTTGGATGACCGAGTTGGCCTGGATCTCCCAGACACCAACGGGGGGAGCGAGCCAGCAGTTACGGCCCTTGGAGAGGAACCAGGCATCCTTGCTCAGGTTGTATAGAGGGTCATAGACGACGTGGTTGGGATCGGTGAAGTTGGTGAGAGGGCCCTGGTAAGTGTTCTATAGAGTATAAGTTAGTCCTTGCTGGCTTTAAGAGGATCACACATGCAAATTGAATAAATCGTACCTTGGGGCAGTACATGCCGTTGGTGTAAGCGGCAAGATGGGCTGAGGCGCCCTGGATGGCAGCCAGGCCACACAGAGCGGCAGCGCGAAGAGAGAACTCAGACTTCATTGTAGTTGCGAAATAAAAGAATGTGGTTGTGTGTGTAAACTGTTGGATTGATTCAGAGATACTTTAGATACGAGAAGGGGCAGCATTTATATATCCTCAGGGTGTTGGTGATCAGCGTCTACTGCTGTCAAGGTCACATTAGTATTACCGGGGTATTCGGGCGAACTCATGACAACCTTGAACCCAGCTAGTTCGTCCATGATACACCGTGGATCTGCCGTGGCTGCAGAGGATCGATGCCGCCAACTTAAAATTCTATTCATTAAGGAGCTGGTGGCATCAGGGGGTTTTTGGCCAAGATTAATAACCAGTGTTCCCATTCGGCCATGGCATCGGACTTTACGAAACACTCGCTGTGGAGTAGGTTACAGGGCTAAAGACAAAATTGGCCATCACAAGGCTGAGAAAGACTAACCCTCAGAATGCGACTGACACTTTAATGGAAGCTCTTTGTTGTTCTTCAACATCTTTTACGGTAGGTGACTTATAAGCTTACCGGCCAAAGCCGAAGCTACGTGAAATATACGAGAACTGTTTTGTGAACAAGGTGATCGTAAGCGTATCGCTTAGCAACCATCTAGCAACTTCTTGATCAAGTATTGATCGTTTGCCAACACAATACTAATGTAGTTAGTGATGCGTTCTAGCGAATAGTTAACCTGCTGCTTCCCAAGTGTCAGATACCGGACCCCGGCTGTGGCGCCCGGCCCTCGGCAGATTCTAGTCTAGATGTAACTTGGCCTCAGCTCACGCTTAGCATTTCCCAGAAAACATGAAACGCGTAGTGCCTAAATTCGCAGTGTCTTTTGGCGCCAGGTTACGAAGCAATCTGCAAGATGTCGCTAATTGTTTCCGAATCTCAGTTTAGCCCCTTATTAACGGGCCGGTAGCTCTCCTTTTACGAGGCGCCCCCATATATCTCCAACAAGGAGGCATCGTTTATGCCTAATTAGGCAATCTACGGCTGCCAAAATAAGCTGCTGCTCGGTCGAGCTAACCAGACATCTGAAAGAATACTAGTAGTGTAAGACTCTCATACCTCCAAGAGACTATAAGTTGCCAGTTCTATTCTAATCATCTCTAGGATTACACTTCTACAGCTTGGCAGTTTGGGGGCAGATGAAATACAGGATTCAACATGCGGAGCATTTGCCCCGTATTCTACGGTTGGCCAACTCTTCAAACGTACGAATAACCCCTTACAGTCCTAAGCAGTGTAGATCTTTTACAGATACGGATCACTGTATTCGGCGGCTAGACTTCGCGCCCGATCAACCTCGATTACGTTGCGCTAATTAACCTCTCAGTCTTTGGACTACTGTGTCGTTTCGAAACACAAGATCCACATTCTGAACGCCCGTCGAGCCGTCTCATTTTGCAAACGGGTAAGCGGTTGGAGGAGGGTCTCTTTGCTTCTATTTGCTGATGGAAAGAGTTAAGAGATATCCTACTAGAGAGGAGCTGCTTAGCTGGTTCTAGTTACTATGATTTGGATAAACTTATATAAAGGAAGCCTTAATCTTTTTACCTTTGCTGTCTTCAAAGATGAATGCAGTCTTGATTCTATACATAACTACCAGTTGTGCCAAGGTGACTACTGATTCTTTATATGAAAAGAGTTGTGAATCTTATGATTCATTTCTTTTCCACCCTCGACGTTGTATTTCTCAATACATACAGAGTATAAATTGATATTTACACGACTATACTGCTCTTTGACTAGGAGGGAGAGAGATATTTAGATACGGGCTTCATCTAGAGTGTGGTTTGCAGTAAATGGAACCCTCGGAACCAAGCCAGTGTAGAACCGTACACAATCAGGCTAAAGGCTTTTGCGCCAGCAATGCCAATGGAGTGCAGTGAAGTGCTCCTCCTCGATTCTTGACGGCGTCCAAGGCAGCTTCCAATATTGCATCACCCTCGTGACGAGGTGGAAGACTCGGAATATCAGCTTTGTATCCTCCAGCAATGAGACTCGCGTGGAAAGCAAATAATGACTTAGTGATGATCGGAATGCAAGCTTGTGAAAACGGGTCTGCCCGAAATTCCACAACATTCAACCCGGCCTTCTTTACACGATTTGGAATATCCACAAGCCAACTAGGTATGCGTTATTAGTGTATATCTCGGAACAAGAACTTTAGTTTCAACTCACGAAGGATCAATGTTCAATTCTTTTCGAATCAGTGAAGCGAAGGAATACAATGCCTCAGCTTCTTCTCCTTTGATGTACGCTCCATTCCGGTCAGGGTCGTAATCGTCCCATTGTAGGTAACCGCCCGGCTCTAGCGTTTTGGTAAGTACTTATAATACGACGTCAGGAGAAATAAAGGGTGGCGAGAACGTACTCAGCAACTGCGTGACATGTCTAATCAAGGCAAAGGTATCACACCCTCTAATGATGGCACACCAAAGTCGCATGTGGACCACGTCGTATTTCTGAAAATGCTCTTCAGGTACTTCCTCAAAAGCATTCATAACCTGCAGAGTTACGTTACTTGGCAGAGTCGACTTTGGAGGAAATTGTTCATCTGAGATGTCAAAACCGTGAAGCTGAACAGTTGAAGGAACCTGGGAAGACACATCCAGAAGCCATATGCTATCACGCTAATGAGTAAGACGAAGAAGAGGAGCATCTCTCTTGAGGGTGAACTGACCCAGTTCCTGTGCCGATCTCTGCAATCTTCGTGTCCGGGTTGATGGGGATTCGGGGATCGATAGTATAGCCGTTTTGGAGGTTAAATATGAAGTGTTGGCCATCCAATCTAACATCAATTAGGCTATATCTCAATTGGACGTTGGGGGAAAAGAATTGTATGTTACCTTATGGTCTCTATAAAGCTCCTACCCAAAATATAGTTATCGCTATTATCGGTGACAGCTGGCATTTTGCTTGAAGTGATGGCGGGGAAGACTGAGAAGGAATAACTATTACACCCCAAAGAGATTTGCTATTCGTATCTAAAGTGCAAAGGATGATATTTCGTCTCTGACATTGTCGAGAGAAAGGGATAAAGCCCTTCTCATATAGTCGCAAGACTATCTTCCCCTTTTAGGAGGCGACCTTTTCATTGACGTCGAATGTCTGAGACATTGAGTACATACACGGCACGCTCTGAGACTAGCGGCACGGAGAGTTGTGAGCTGAGAATGGTCCGCTGACAGATATACTGCATCAAACTTGCACAAATACATCGATAATGCTCTACTGCGGCAGTGTAAAAAGAAAGGAAATGTACTCCGCACGCATCCCAATGTAACGTCAAGTTTGGGGTAGTGCTTAACCCGGAGCACTCCATACCATAATTAAACCCGTCTATTAAAAGACGAAGAGATTATTGGCGACATTCGCAGCTGAAAATTGGGATTTGTATCTGTCAAAATTCTTTAATAGATGGGTTACGAGAAAACTCATGGTTCAGTCGTGTTTGATTGGGCTACATACCGAATCATAACTTTGTATTGTCTCCAACCAAGACAGTGGCAAAGCGGCACAGGTTATATCCGAGCCTTGTTTTCTGACCACATCGGCATGCAGGAGAGCAGCTGATAAATATCCCTGCATTCAGCTGCCTTCAGATGGGCGCGATCATCTTAATGATTACGATGAAGCGATTAAATCCAGCATCAAGTTATCTAGCATTTTTGCGGTACATCTGCGTCCTAAAAACCGATGACGCTTGAGTGCACAGGTTTGATGACCAAACTGGCGATGGGAATCGAACAACTGGACCAAGCAGTCTCGAAATGCCAACTTACGTTCGAAGCATTCTGATGATAGGTTGTTGTTACCAGCTCGGTATTTTTCAAGATCTTGCATCACAGGTCATGAGCAAGGCGATTCGTGGGGTTGCCTACACGTACAAGTCAGACTAAGCACCCATGTGAGCCAAACTATCAACGCATACATGTATCATGCATGCAAGTTGATGGAGTGCTAATGTTAGCAATACGAGGGTAATTCGGCTGAGAAGATTGATGCATTGTGAAAGCAGAGGGCGCAAGGCTGCCCAATCTGATGTGATTACACAATCCATCCATCTCAACTTGACAGCAGATCTGTGTAACGACTCACATTCTTTGCAGCGAGATCGGATTGTGTAACCGCACATCTTGCATGTGGCTTGATATGCCATTGTTAGTATCAATCTCAGCACGGCTTTTATTGCTCCTCAGACAGAGTAAATGGATGGAAATGGTGTACCCAGCCTCGATATACTCCCAAAGGACACAGCAGTCGCATCAAATTACAAAGCGTATCTTGGAGAACAATTAAGAAAAGCAATAAAAAGAGCGTGGCTTTGCAAAGAATGGCCCAATGACCAAATAAGGAAGAAAAAGAAAGAAAAGAAAGAGAGAAAGGGAAAATACCGGTAATTTCCGCACGGAATGAGAATGTACGGGGACAAAGGAGGTACCAAGGTTCGAGACGAGAATAAAGAAATTCAGACAACAAATAGAAAATCTTGTTAGATCTTTGATACCATTCTTTGACTGGTTACCAAGTGTCCGGGCGGCGCAGCTGCAAGTCAAGGCAGCGTGAAACAATCCTGAAGATTCTTACATACCCATTCAGCTGTAAATGGGTGTCACTGCGCCCGCGCCCATTGTTACGCCAGTTGGCTCTCGATTACTGGATACCTACCTATGTATGTACTTTGTAGAATAACGTACGTATCTGCAATGCTAAAAGGTGAATAAAGCAGCACCAGAAGGGTCTAGAAACAGGCAGCGTCGTCGAGAGGACCCCAGCATCAATGAACAACTCTATGCTGGCAATGGCTGCAAATCGCTATGGTAACAGCCATCTATCTCAAGCTAGAGTCCGATAGTTCAGAATCTTTGGTGAAATTAGTATTAATCTGCCTTATAGCTTAGAGGTTAAAATGCAATTTCTTATCTCCAGCAAGTGAGCGGGTTGTGAAGACTCATCGTGGCGGTGGCACCACCAATTTCAGTTCAAACTGACTCCGTTTGTTCTCTGTTTATCAGATTTTTCCTTTTGTTTTGGCGCCTCAAACTTTGGGCTCTGTTATAAATACGACCCTCCCCCCCCCTTTGTTTTCCTTTTGTTTTGTTTCCCTGCATCCACCGCAATCTTCCAGCCCACACATCTTCCAAGAACTTTGTCCATCTACTCATCAAAACTCGTCTCTCTACTCGTCTCTCTACAATCATATATCTCGATAGCCATTAGACAATTTCACCAGCTCCAACTTCTATTTAACAATTCTTTTTATTTTTTTTCACGTCTATATTCGACACAATGGCTCCCCGCGCTACCCTCCAGAAGACCATTGAGAAGAAAGGAGGAAAGAAAGCCGCCTCCCACAATGCGAAAGTGGCTTTGCTGCAGATGCCCGTCGAACTCATCTGCAAGTTCGCCAATTCCATGCTCTCCGTGGACAAGATGGCCTTCGCCGAGACCTGCCGGCCAATTCACAACTCCATCGGCGTCACCTCCTTCTCTAAGGACGAAGAAGAATTCCGTGAGGAGAAGTTCGAATATCTCGCTCGCAGGTCGCGGGATACTCACAACCAATGGGTCTGCGAGGAGTGCATGTGCCAGCACGATATCGACCCGACCGACACTCCAGCCACCCCGGTCCTCAATTGCCCCGTCGGCGACTTGTACCGCTCGCGGTACAACTTGTCCCTGAAGCTTATCGCCAGAGAAAACTACTGGCTGGGACGACGCCACGTCCAGTTGGCTTTGAAGTACACTCGATTGTACAATGAGATATCGACTGGACACCAACAATATCTGACGCGACTCATGGCAACTCGCATCTATTCCGAGTCACACGTGTTTGATGGCATGCCGCTTTACCTCGCGGCCAGAATCACTCCTCGCATCGTCGAGGGGAGATTCTTCCTCAAGAGCATCTCCGAAATCCGACAAAAGGGGCAGCCAATCGACAAGAGGCTCTTGATTGGCGATCACATCTGCCCTCACCAGACCTTCTGGACAGCTGAAGCCACAGGAGACAGCTCCATTTCGAAATTCTCCATGGCGATAGAAGACGCCTTCAACAAACGGGGGCATGAGGTGTGCAGCTATTGCCCTCACTGCTGCACCGACTTCTCCGTTGAGGCATCGCGTCAGAGCCTCAGAATCACCATCTGGAACGACCTTGGGACAGAGAGCTCTGCCTTGGATATCACGTGGTTGGCATCTGTACCCAACCCCACGATGGCTTCAAGTGATCTCGTCAACGAGGCGCCGGGTCGTGTCAGGGCATGGTACGACAGTGTGAAGAAGGATGTTTTGGCATGATGGCATTGCAGTCAACGGGCGAAAATTGTGTACAGGAAGAGTCTGAGGAGGGAGGATATTCCCATCGATGAAAACTTGATTGAACGAATTGTATGATGCAACGAATTTTTCGTGGATTGCTAGTGTTTTTTATTCTGATTCGAAGGAATTCTGATTTGCCGAGAACCTCATGTATAGGTATAGATAGCTAATATGAAGATCGCAATCTTGCTCAATCTTTCTTTTCATGAAACCAGGTGATCGGGCTCTGTAGTCTAACAGTCAAAACACTTCCAGTATCGTTTCCGAGGGCTAATGACACGTATCTTTGATGTATATATTTACACTTAAAATTGCCAAAGAGTAGAATCTACTCGCTCAGGTCAATAGAGCGTATGATGGGGAGATGCTTTTTTGGAGTTGGGTGGAATGAAGATGTTTGCTGGCTCAGAGGTCTGTACCATTGACGTTGAAAGGAATTAGACAGAATAACGACCTTGAACCTATAAAATAAAAAGAGTGCACAAAGAGAAAACCATTATTTCCTTTTCTTCTGCATCAAATGAATCGCCCGATATAATTTATCGTATCACGAACCTGATGAGCTCGAGGTGTAGGGTGAGCGATACACGTATAAAGCACGGAGTTCTAAACACGCCGCTGTGCTTATGTACATGTACCAGCACGGCTGCTAATCTGCTCCATGGCTGAACTCAATCTCCAACAATTTGAAGATTGACTTTACAACCACAAATTTATTCACTGTCGACGCGCCGCTCTTGAATCTCATGTAATATCTTTGTTCTCAATCTTTGTAACTCGTCCCTTGCGCTTGTGTCCTCCTAGATAACGCGCCAATCCCTTGCATTTATCGCGATTCCCATCATGAGAGCCTCTGCTTGCCTCGCCGCCATCATTCCCGCGCTGGCGGCTCAGTGTGCTCGTATAGTCCAGTCCAACGACGACGGCTGGGCTGAATCGTATATCCGATCTTTCAACGACGCGTTAATAGCCTCAGGCCACGACGTCGTGCTATCCGCACCTGCAGATGACCAGTCAGGGACCGGTAGGTGAATCTCATTGTTCTGCCCAGAACTCTCAGTTCCATATACATGTACTTGAATGCCTTGATACGGTCTTTAACTAACATATGAGGCTTGTAGGAGCCAGCGACTCACCACCAACTCCACGCAATGATGCATGCCAGTATAATTCTTGCATCCCCAACGGCAGCCTTACTGGCCACAACGCCACACGCCCCGATCTCAACTGGGTCAACTCCTTTCCCGTCACCTCCATGAAGTACGGCATCGACACCTTCGGTCCTCAACTGTGGAATGGCTCTGCTCCTGACCTCGCCGTTTCAGGCATCAACGTGGGCACCAACGTCTTTGTTCAGTTGCCATTCTCAGGAACTGTGAACGCTGCGACTTTTGCTGCGCTCGCCGGCATCCCCTCCATAGCCTTCTCTGCAGCATCTGTTGGCAGACTGCCCTTCGATGCGGAACCGGTACCTCTTCGCAGCATCCTGTATGGCCAACTCGCCGCTCAGTTGACCAACAAGATCCTCTCCTCTGGATCCCCATATCTCCCCCCAGACGTCTTCCTCAACGTCAACTTCCCCAAAGTCGAGGGTAACTGCACCGAGCTATCCAACTTCAAGTGGGTGCTTAGCCGTATCAACCCTGGTATCATCTCACCACCAGATGTCGCATTCTGCGGCGGTAAACGCCTACCAACCGAGCTGTCCGTGGTCACGCACGGGGGATGTTTCATCTCCGTTAGTGTTGGCAATGCTAAGGACAAGACAACTGCATCTAATAGCAATCAGGCTTTGGTGCTGGATAAAATACGCGATATGTTAGCTTGTGTATATGTACCTAGCGGAATCCAGCCTCAATCAAATTTCTAAACCAGTGCGCGCTATTGTATATATGTAAAGCAACTTTTATAGAAGATTTACAAGTAATGTAATACGATTCAATACTATTCTATTCATTTCAAGGTGAAATAATTACTGAGAACTTTGTTCACAGTTACCTGATCCAGGTATATACCTGCGTTGAAAAATTACTGCTAGGTAGGACAGTGAATCAAGCAGATGCCCCCCCTTGCCTCTCATATCAGGATATGGATACACTTTCTGGTCTGGGCACGACCATATTGTATTCCCGTGCTAGTAAAAGCGTGACGATATTCCCATGCTGATTCTCAGCAACCTATATTGCATACAGTCTCATTGGTCTCTCAACCCTCTTTTAGAATCTGCGCCGTTATGTTACAGCAGCTCGACAATGGCCGCGTTTCCATTCCTGGCAAAAGCGGCGTCCGGCTGGAATCATCTTTAGAATTAATAGCTGCGGTTTTTTTCAATGGCCTTTTTCAAGCAGTAGCCTTGCGATAGACTCGTGCTCATTCCTGGAGGCCAATGAAAGCGGCGTTTGACTATAGGTATCTTGAGAATCAATGAGTGCGCCTTTGTCAAGCAGTAACCTTACGGTAGACTCATGCCCGCTCCCAGCGGCTAATGAAAGCGGTGTCCGGCCGGAATAATCTCGAGGATCAATATTTGCGTTTTTTCCAAGCAGTAGTCTTACGACAGACTCGTGCCCGTTCCCGGCAGCCAATGAAAGCGGCGTTCGACTATAGATGTCTTGGGACTCAATACCTGCGCCTTTTTTAAGCAGTAGCCTTACGGTAGACTCATGCCCGCTCCCGGCGGCTAATGAAAGTGGCGTTCGACTATAAATATCTTGAGAATCAATAACTGCGCCTTTTTTTAGCAGTAACCGTACGGTATAATATTGCCCATTCTCAGCGGCCACGGAAAGCGGTGTTCGACCATAGGTATCTTGAGAATCAATGAATGCGCCTTTGTCAAGCAGTAACCTTACGGTAGACTCACGCCCGCTCCCAGCGGCTAATGAAAGCGGTGTCCGGCCAGACTTCCCCTTGATATTAACGTCTACCCCAACTGACACCAATATTTCAGGCACGACATCAAATCCACCTTTGGCGGCAGCAAATAATAGGCCCTTCTTTATTGTTCTTGAAATACTTGGCGTCAAATGTGAACCATACCAGCTCTTTAACAAATGCTTGAAGGGGTTGTTGATCCAGTCACATGTAACTTGAACGGCGAGTTTTTGAGTATTAGAAGTTTGGTTGACGTATTTCATATAGCAATTGACATGGTATTCTAAATGGTTGGAAGCATAGAATGCCAGCGGTCTTTTATTAAGGTACTTTGCGTAATAATCATAATGGTTGGAACTCCAATGTTCGAGATCTGGTAGCCCCTCTCGTTGGGAGGTGCTGGCAGCGCAAAGCATTATATATCGGGAGCAAGTTGTGGCTATGAACATATGTGCATGTTCTTCATCTATGCGAAACTCTGATTTCGAAACCACTCCATGAGGATCGCGGAGAAACTCGAGGGCAGTTTGATGTATAACTTGGACTACCCGATGTCCTATAAGTCATTAGCTATAAATACAGAAGCATTGTGCGGCGTTATGCTTATACCATCGTTCCGTTCTTTAATTTCTAAGAAGTTACCACCACAAGAGACGATGATTCTCTCCGATAATGGTACACGTTGCTCGAAAATCTCATCAGTGAGATTGGAAATCGAGTCGGGTTCAATATTGTCTGGAATACCGAGACTGTGGAGAAGTTCCTCCACCCTGAGAGGCCGCCGTGCAAACATAATGAATCGAAACATTTTCAATCCATAAGACAGGCATGACTTGTTTGTTCTCATTTTATCTAGCATGAGTCCGTAAAATTCTTCAAGTTCTGTTGGAAGTTGTTTAAGCATAAGAAATATGTCATGTTCAGAATATCCATCTTCATGGAACCTTAGCAATTCCTTGCCCACCAATTTGACCCAAAGGAAAACTCCTTGGGCATTTTCAATCATATATGCAGTCGCTCGAGTAAGATCAAGGCCGTGAAGTAAAGAATTGGCGAAATTGGAAATATCAAGTGTCGTTTCATCTTGTAACCTAATAAAATTGAGGAACTGGTCTCGGCGGGCTTCTAGCTGTGTTACTGGTCGACTTGCGATAAAGATTTTGACGACGCAGTATTTTGTATTAGAACACAAGTCGTAAAGTAGATTGAGAATATCATGTCTGTCTGCTTCCTCGGATTCATCGACCGCATCGATGATAATGTATAATCGCTTTGATGTCGAATAGTAGTCTTGTAATGACCCAAATATTCGTTTCAGAGATTGGTAGTCCCATTTCGATCCAGAGCAATGATGAGCCCGATATTCGGCTTGACAATAATGGTAAAAGAAGTTTTTTTCCTGAGATAAGATGTCATGTAGAAGCGAAAGAAGCATGTTATAGTGGCTCCTTTGGGGTTCGCCCTCTCTGAAACTATAAAAGAACTTTGCCACGATAGCTTTCTTTGCAGCTGGCTCTCTAGTTGGGAGATTAGAGTCAAAATATTTTGTGAGAGTGCTTTTGCCACTACCAGGTTTCCCTTGTATATAGAGTAGGCGAGAAGTTTCTGAAATGGACCAACGTTTGTACTCATCATGCGTCCAAATCCACTTGAAGGAGCCGCTTTGTTCTGGTGTAATCTTTTCATAGCGCGTGTTTTCAAACTCGAGGCTAGATAGGCACTCTGTGTCCATTACTGTTAGTAGAATTCAAATTTGGAAGGAGACTGTTAGCAAACCTTTTCGCTCCTTGTCATACTCGATAAACACACTCTCTTGGGAAAGAGCAGTAATATCACAAATTGTCGGGCCTGCAAGTAATGCCTTGATATTTGAGCTTTGTCGTCGAAGGTCGTTTATGAGCACACCAACAAGGTGAAGAAACCGGCCACCTTGGTAAGCTTTTTCTATTCCATCGAGAACAACTAAGGTGGGTTGTGGTTTGGCATAATCTAGAATGACCTGGAAAACAGCTAAAAGATCCTCTATTGTCGTATTGCAAAGAAATTCATGTAAACCTTTGAAAGGATCATTGCTATCGAAACCATTTTCCGTCCAGTTTTGACTGGGGGGGTTTTCGAAAATCTTCTGCAGCAGGGAATTGATAAGATTATGCATGATTAGTAGTCTTTTCTCTATCGGTGAAAGAAGAACAATCTGCTTCAGAAGTGTGTAAATGAGGGCACTAGCAAGTGCAATATTTTGGCCTTCAGCATTCTGGCCACCTTTGTAAAACTCGCCATTTTTTAGTTTCGAGCAGAAACAATACAGAACAGGGCGGTTGGCCTTCTCCTCTTGGTCCACGGCGTAGGATGTGACTTGAGATAAGTGGTGGCCTAGAGGGCTAGAGAGACAAAGGACGAAACGGCTATCATTGGATCTCCAGGACTTATAGTCAACATTTTCAAACACCCAAGAAAATTTATGATCTCGGGGATCTAAATCTGGTATTGCGGATTTGCGTTGGCTTTGCTCCGGTGCTGGTAGGAGTTGAAGCAATTGCTCCAGACTCGACTCAGAAATAAAAGACTGAAGCATGTTCTATATGGAGAGCAAATTAGCCTATCCGTCGATAGTCTCAGTTTCAGTCGTTCATGATTTTCGTACATGTATAGTATCAATGTTCATAGGGAATATCGGCGGCGCTTCTGCTGGAGGAACAACAGACAGGATTTCTTTGGCGTATGCAGCAGCAGCCGCTGCCGCATAGGGCTGCCACCTCTTATTTTTGTGCGAGTCCGCATAATCGCATATGCCTCGAATCACTAGGCAAGGGAGAATGTCCATAAGTCCTGCAGCTTCCATCTCAAAACAGAGTATGCCCTTTTCTTTTCGAAGCTTCTCTCGGGTCATTCCATGCTTCATAACTTGATTAGCTGAACCAATAAGACCATAATGGATGGCAGGGTCTTTATCTGCGCGCGGCTTCCGAATCAGCAAGGCTCCTCTGTCGCAAGTCTCGCAACTCGATTCGCCGTCTATGTGGTCGTAATCTGCTCGGAACAACTGATCGTGCTCCAAACCTGGGTGATCGAAATAGCCGCGCATCTTTTCGTTGGTCTGGAGCATAGTATCAATATGGAATGGAACTTGGCTGATTTCCATCCGATGGCGTGCTCGTAGTACTGAAATGCCGGTCCTCAATTCTGTGTGCGTCTTATTTAGTGTGCCGGTTTGAACAAATTTCCCTTCTTTCATCGTTTTTCCAAAGTCGTATTGTAATACGCCACCTACGATGCTGTTAGTTCATATCGAGATATGCAAGGGATCTCATACTTGAATCGACTGTAGGACAGCTAACCACTACATCCCCAAGCCGGATATCGTTGCGCGAATCATTGCTTGGCTCATCAGGAGCTCCGCCTCCAATGCCTACCATCAAACCAAAGCGAATTTTGGGAAAACTCCGCATCATGTTGGTAGCTGTCATCGAGGCAGCATTTGTACCCGTTGTTCCTGCTGGAAGGCAAACCATCACAATGTTGTGGTCTCCCATTCGTCCTAGAGTATAAGTATTTGAATCACCCGGAATTTCTGGGAGATTCCGAAATTCTTCATCGAGCATAGCCACAGATGCAGCTAATTCCGCCTCCAAGGCACATATCCATCCTACTGTGAACGCATCCTTATTCAGGCTGCGGGGCCGAAAGCCAGCAACTGGTGTTGTATGTGTGAGAGGAAATGCGAACGGCGCATCAACGCGCCTGAGCTTCGCAGTCGACCACTCCGCCGTCGCGGGGCGTTTCTTTTCCATTGACAAGGCGCGCAAATTTAATATTGAAGATTGCCGTAGGGATTAGAGTATAATTCGAAGACATCAAGTTGCTCAGTTTGAGCAAGATTTGCCAGAACTGGGAGAGCTGCCAGACACAAGCGCTGTGCTAGGATGAATGGGTACAGATCCAGAGCTGGGCATCCACGGCTGGATATTTTTGGTACAGGGGTATCTTGGGGATTAATGCAGCCGCCTTCAACAATGATTGGTCATCCTTGAACAGTATGTTGGCAACCTGCAAATGTAGCCTATGATCAACGAGCAGCGCTCTTACTATTCACTTGTGTTTAAGCCTCTAATATTCGTCCGTGTCGTGTTAAAAGCAGACTTGCTTCGCCTCATTTTATTTTACTACATGCTTTGTTTCTTATTTAGGACCAGTCTTTCCGGTGGGGATGCTGAACAGAACCACTCTGGGTCCCTTCAATCCAGCCTCGCCCTCAGCCCAGTCATTCAGACCCTTGTCTACTCTGTAGAATCCTCTTCGCTCAAGCTGGATAATGTCATCCTTCTTCAGCTCGCCAACGCCGGCATCGCAGACGGCATCCTCCATGCTGGCCGTGTTGGGGTTCAAGAAGTCCTCAAAGTTGTCGTCCTCCTCAAGCTTGTCCTTGGTGATAAGGTAGTCAAACTCCCACAGCTCAGCGGGGACCAGCTTGAAGCCCTCAGCAGAAAGCCAAGTAACCTTCTTCTCAGTGGTCTTGAAGTCACCCTTCAGGTTGAGCTCGAGCTTGAAAGATGTAATGGGGTCATCTGAGGTGGAGATATCTCGAACAAAGGCATTGCCCCAGCCCATCAGAGTGATCTCCTCGTCGGGCTTGAAGCTCTTGGCATCGGCCTGGTCGATGTGAAGAGTAGGTGAGAAGATGACCTTCTTCAGGCCAACGCTTGCGTTCTTGGGGTGCTTGGGCCGCTCCTCCACGGTAACGCTGGCGGGGGCCTCCGATCCAGTCACGGCAGCCTTGGCCAGGTCCTTGAGCAGAAGAGCCGTGAATCGGGGAACGACAGGGTCGATAACCTTCTTGTTGTTAGCCCAGAAGGTGGTCCAGTCCATGTTGACAACGTTTCGGCTAGGACCCTGCTTGATGATGAAATCACGGAGCGCTTCGATGGTCATTCCTCGTCGTCGAATACCGCGAATGGTGGGCATTCTGGGGTCATCCCAGCCCCAGACCTTTCCGGCGTCAACCAGCTTCGCCAGCTTACGCTTGGACAAGAAGGTCTTGACGAAGTTGATTCTGGAGAAGTCCCACATGTGAACCTGGCGCAGTTGAAGGGTATCGATGAACCACTGGTACTGAGGGTTTCGGTCGGTGTACTCGGTGGATCTCAGAGCGTGGGTAACACCCTCGTGGCTATCGACAACAGGGCAGGCAAAGTCATACATGGGGTACACCTTCCACTTGTTGCCAGTGCGGTGGTGAATGTTTTCGATGTTGCATCGGTAGATGACGGGGTCGCGCATGGCCTTGTTGGGGTTGTCAAAGGAGATCTTGGCACGAATGCAGTGTGCAAGACCCTCCTCGGATGCAATCTTCATCTCCTCAAAAATTCTCAGAGTCTCTTCGACGGTTCGCTCACGGCGCTTTGAAGGAATACCGTCCATTCTTTGGGCACGCATAGTCTCCTGGTCGGTATCATCGGCATAGGCTTGGCCCATAGAGATCAGCTTCTTGCACATCTCATACAGGTAGTCGAAGTAGTCAGAGGTGTAGGTCAAGCTGTCAGGCTTGATGCCCATAAGAGCGAGATCCTCCACGATGGCATCCTGGAACTCTTCCTTCTCCTTGGCAGGGTTGGTGTCGTCGAGTCGCAGGCGCATCTGGCCCTTGTAAGCGACATGGCCGAAGTAGTCGCTGAGAAGAGCGGCCTTGGCGTGTCCAATGTGAAGGTAGCCACTATGATAGGTTAGATATACTGCAAAACATATAAGCATGGAGTAAAAAGCATATGTCATACGAAGGCTCGGGCAGGAATCGAGTAACGACGCCCTTGTCGGTATCCTGGAGGGCAAGGTTGTAGTTGGCACCGCCCTTGGCAGCTTTGACAGCAGCATCTGCCTTGGTAGCCTCCTGGATCTCAGGGTGAGACTGCTCAATGAAGGTGAACCATCGGGTCAGGTTAGGGAGGCCATTCTTGCGGATGAAGCCAATGGCGACCTTGTTGGCTCGGAGAGTCTGCCAGATCTTAGTCTCGAGGTCTCCCAGAGTGTAGCCCTCGAGGTAGGATCGCAGCGTCAGGTGCTTGTCCAAGTCCCTCAGGAAAGGCTCAATGGTGCGGAAGTCGCCAGCCAACTTGGCGGAGATGGCGTCAAGCTCCTCGTGCTTCATTTTCTCGGCTTATTTCGACACAGCAATGCGATGAAATTAACGGAAGCAAGACAAGCTCCTCGTGACTCGAACAACGATTTTCGGCCTGGTGGGGGGAATGGAGGGGCTGAGCTTAGCAGGACGAGGGGCCGGACAATCGTGCCACGCATTTTCTTATCGATAACCTGGGTGTCAAATTTTTAGCCTAATTTCCGAGGCACGACACAGCAGAATATGGCGAGGTCGAGAGTCTGGCGCAAGTTCGAAATCCCATCTTGAGCTGTGCTCCGATCACGATCCAACCGCAAAAATGGCACCAATTGACCGGTGTCTGGCCTCTGTGGCTAGACTGACGCTCTCACAGCAATCAATACGACCGGCCGTGCCTCTGATACCCCGATTCCTAGCCCCGGCGCTGGTTCAGTCCCGACAAGCCTCTGTGGTGCGGACAAAGAAGACAACGAAGAAGAAGGCTGTTCCGAAGGACTTTAAGCGACACAACTTGGAGAAGAGAGAATTCCCCCAGTACACATTATGTGATGCTATGCGGTATTTCCCACCAATCTGCCAGAAGGAAGTATTGTTCAAACTTGCTCATCCAATTGCAGAGTTCTACGAGCTGTGGAAGTCGGCCAACCTCCCGCTACGATCAAGTACGAGATTCACATCAACCTAAAGACTGCCAGAAACGGTCCCGTCATAAAGAACAGCATCAGGCTGCCGAATCCCGTACAGAGCGACTGGCAAATCGCCGTTATTTGCCCCGAAGGAAGCGATATCGCAACTGCTGCTACCGCCGCCGGCGCTGTCGCTGTTGGAGAAGAGACCCTCTTTGAGGCCATTCGCCAGGAAAAGATTGATTTCGATCGTCTGATCTGTCATGAAAACAGCGAGAAGGCTCTAAACAAGGCTGGTCTGGGAAAGATTCTGGGTCCCAAGGGCCTCATGCCTAGCAAGAGGATGAAGACGATTGTGAACGACGTGGTTAAGTCCATTCGCGATTCGGCCGGTGCTGCGGATTATCGAGAGAGGCAAGGTGTCATTCGAATGGCTATCGGACAACTTGGTCACACGCCTGATCAGCTCAAGGCCAACATCCAGGCGCTCCTGAAGAAAGTCAAATCGGAATGCGCCGAGATTTCTGAAGAGGTTTCTAAGGAAGTGCACGAGGTCATTTTGAGCACAACAAATGGCCCAGCGCTGAGCTTGAATGCCAAGCTGAATGATCCAGAGAGCGGAATCACTGTTGAGTCACTGTCAGGCGTCATGTAAATCAATAACGACATGTATAATGTACAATATCCAATTCAATGTATAAAATAGAATGCTTGAAGCTCAAGATTTTGTCATGGGGTATCATATTATTTTTCGATCTTATTTGTGAGATTATCTCAATAATCATCTTCCACGAAGGGCTTTGACTGCATCGCCCTGCGCATCAAGAACCCTGTACACACCAAGATAGCCCAGAACCCGGCCCTGACCTTTTGTCCCAGCAGCTCGAGCTTCTTTGAGGGCATTGTTCAGGTCTAGCAAAAGTGTATTCCGGCATTTCATCAACCGCGCTCTCAGCTTGGCGACAAAGGCATTCTTCTCGTCGAGCTTTCCAATCAAGATCCCGACTTGGCTGCACTCTCGTGCCGACGCCAGTAGTTGTGAGGGAGGGCTTCCTATCAATCCTTCTACAGCTTCTGCTTCAAGCTCTTCATCATCCTCACTATCGTCGTCCCACTCTGCAGCTTCTTTCTTCGGCAAGCTGTCTAATGCCAATGTTTCCTCTAAAGTAGATAGTCGTTCAGATATTTCCAACATTGCCCGTCCTTGCTCGATATCTGATCGTACATCTCGCAATTCGTTCGTAAGCGACTCTGCATCTCTTCTGCGTTCCGAAATCTTTTCCTTGACCTCTTCAACGGCCCTTCGAAAGCCCAAGAGGGAAACTTTTACGTCCTCTACTTTCTCGTCGCCTCCTCGTAATTCTGATCCCAATGATAAAAATGCCGTGTAGTTCGAATTGACCAGCTCCAGGAGCTCGGTGCTGATTGTTGCCGTTCTCTCGCGCAGATCTGAGCGTAGATCCTCCAGGGTCTGGTGGCGATGTGGAAGAGCTGATAGGTATTCGGCAGGCTGAAACTCTGTTGCTAGAAAATCGGTTCGTGGAAGGGCGGCAGGGAATGGCAAGGGAACATCATCTTCGGCATCTGATGAGTCGGAAGAGGGGAGGTTGAAAGTCGATATAGCCGGTCGGCTGACTCGCTGTGGCAGAGAGAGAGGAGGGGGAATGTTGGCCATGGGATAGGATTATTGAGGCAATTGGTAACTTGGTCGCTTTCAAATCAAGAGAGGACAGGAATTGCACAGTACAGTTGTGATGACACTTGAGATACTGTCCTTAGCAATGAAGTGGACATATTTCGATGGAGCTCGTTGGCGACACGGTCTAAGAATCCCGCATTATTCAATAACCCCACTATAAGCATATAAATCAGCTCAAGGCCACGCCAACGGCTCACACAGATCGTCACGATGAGCCTTTGATGGAGAATATAGCATCATGATCTTCACCCGATATGTTTCAAAGTTATGCACCGTTTTACAGTAGCATGTTCATCCAGCAGTTTGCAGCTAGCGATGTCGGCCAGGCCCAATATTGTATGATGATCCCGTGTACGGAGCTCGAGTTGCTCCGCCAAAGTCTGGGCAGCAGACACTAGTCATTGATCCTCACTAATCGGGCTATCAAGGTGAGTGAGTGGATGCAGCCGCTTTGTTGAGTGAAGGGCGGAACAGCTATTGTTCGTGCTGGGTGTAACACGAATACGAAGATGGGTCGATTAGCCCTTGAGATGGCCAGGAACACCTTGATTGCCTTGGTATCAGATGCTGGATACTGGGCTAGATTAATGCTGCAGTCTCTATCGATAAGATGATGCTAAATGGGTATCGATATCCAAACCAGATAGAAAAGGCGACAGAATTAACGCAAAGTGCGCAGTCTTTGGTCAAACAAGTGCCAATATGGAGCACGTAAAGACTCATTGTGGAGATCTGAGTAGCTGAAATGAATTGATTGGCCGCTATCATTGGAGTGGAGCGGATGGCGCGTCAAATTTTTATCAATCAAATCTTATCAATCGATCAAGCCCACTCCAAGTCTCCTGGCATCGGACCAGTGAGACCGTTATAAGAACCAGCCGGGTACGCTCGGGTAACCAAAATCTACAGCTCGCAAATCTTCTCGAGCCCCGCATCCATCTCTCTTTCTGCATCTTGCAATCTCTTCATCTCGCATTGATTGATGACTTTGCCGTTTACGCAAGGCAGTTTTTTGCACAAGAACTCCTGAGTTGATTCCCGCAATCATCGGGCAATTCTCGGTGTAAGACCACGTTCGGCTCACGGATACATAACCACTTGCACGCCCTGTGCTGCTTCCCCGACTTCCGAGGGCTCACTCCGGACATTTCACATACGAGCACACAGAACCTGCATATCGGGGAATTCTTATTCCCAACATTCTATTTCTAGACAAAGGGGAGTCTAGAGAAAGAGAGAAAGAACAGCGACAAACGCAGCCAACTGCGTGCATAAACGGACCCAGTTTTCCCTTCTCGGGCTTCCGAGTTGCAGCCGACAGCGAATCACGGATCATCCTCGTCCGAACCCACTCGACTCGCACCACCATGGCGAGCATTTCACCAACGTCATCTCCTCATCTCCAATCCAGATCCCTGGATACTCGAACAACCAACGAAGACTTGCATTCTATTAAAGTCGAACCTTCACCGCCTGAGGCATCGTCGGCTCCTCGCAAACGAGCGCCTCTGCCCTCTCAGCCCAAATCCGCCGCCCCGCCACAGGCTCCATTTGTGCGCATCTCACTTCCGCCAGTCAACAAAATGTCCATGACGGCGGTCATCAGCCCCAATCCGCCAATGGAACAGCCTCAGCCAAAGATGTCGATGACTTCCAAGGAATGGGTCATCCCGCCGCGGCCAAAGCCTGGGAGGAAGCCGGCCACTGACACTCCGCCCACCAAGCGCAAGGCGCAGAACCGAGCAGCCCAGAGGGCGTTCCGCGAGAGACGGGCTGCGCGGGTTGGCGAGCTTGAGGAGATGCTGGATGAGCACAAGAAATCCCAGGATAATAGGGAGAAGGAACTGACCGATAAGATCCACAGCCTGGAGCTGGATGTGCAGTCGTTTAGATCCAGATGCCTGCTGCTGGAGAGTATGCTGGAGCGAGAGCGACAGGAGCGTATGCGCGCCGAGATGCAGGCCGAGACGCTCAGTCGCAGATACGAACAGGCCACTTTCCGATCAGACAGCTTACCTTCCATGCCGCACCAGTCATATAATCGGCAGCAGCATCACCAGCCTTCCCAGCAAAGGCACAGTCTATCGGACAATCTGTCGGACAGTCGATTGACTGAACAGCAATCAACGGCACGACACTTTTCCATCTCTCAAATAGTTACACCGCCTGAAACTATGGATGCCCACTCCCCTCATGATCTATCTGAAACACATCTCACCTGTGGTAGCTGCTCACCAAATGGACACTGCGCCTGTGCTGAGGAAGTCCTCGCATCAGTGGTCAGTGGGTGCGGCAAGTGCGGCTTCGGAACAACCTGTCAGTGTCTAGACGACACTACAAAGATTGCTAGCCATGTGCCAGACTTGAAGCGGCCCATATCTCCATCAGGAGGATCATCTCAAGAGAAGCGCCAGCGGTCAATGGCGGCCGCCAGCAGAGAAACAGACTTCAGTTCCTTTTTCACGAGGACGACACAGCTGCCGCCACCTCAACCCAGCTCCATCATGTCACAGCCCCTTTCAACAGACTTTAGGGATAGTTGCGGGTTCTGCAAAGATGGGACCTATTGCGTCTGTGCTGACACCGCCATGGCAACTCCCGCCATGACACCGGCAGACGCCTCACCTCCAGTGACAAGACAAACCAGGACACCACCTCCCATGGAGTCTGACGTTGTCACTCCGTTGCCACCTATGGCAATGGAAATGACGGCCGACGGAGCTGTCAAGCTGCCGCGCCGCAAGCAAGCGCGCTCCCAACCGCAGACAGCCACGGCTTCTCGCGGTAGCTGCGGCCCCAACGGCCCGGGCACATGCGCTCAGTGCCAGGCTGACCCGAAATCGGGCTTGTTCTGCAGACTGATGGCCGCCAGCTTCAACCGCGAGCAAGGTGCCAGCGCAGACGGCTGCTGCGGTGGGAAGGGAGCCGGCGGCGGCTGTTGCAAGTCCAAGCCCAGCCAAGAGAAGGTTACACTTCCTAGCGTGGCCAGTCTTGGGCTAAGCTGCGCGGAGGCCTACCAAACACTATCCAGTCATCGCAACTTTGAGCAGGCGGCCGACGAGATAGGATCCTGGCTGCCGAAGCTCAAGGCTCATCCAGCGGGCGACCCTAGGGTGACACAGACGGGCAGGATACCAATCGAGGTCGAGGCGGCAAGCATCATGAGCGTGCTCAAGGAATTCGACATTCGATTTGGAAGGGAATGCTAGACGATGAGCTGTAAGTTAGGCTCGGTGCAATAGCCGCCATCGCTTGTTGCGATTTGAGTCGTTAGACGAGCCGGGCAGCTCTGTGTATTATATCACATATCTTTTTTTTTATTTGAGCGAGATACAGCAACTTTGTTGGTTCGCTGTCGCATGCAGTACTACGTTTATGGTAGGAGTTACGATTGAAAAAGAAAAATTCGATTTCTCAGCATATCAAATCATATCACATCATATCATATCAGATTCCATGGTTCCATACTTGCAGAGTGATTCGTACAATATCCAGGGTATTCCTCACAACACCGATGCGATTCAGCAAGCGCATCACAATACCGCGTCTTCACAACAAATAGGAAATCAAAACAAACAAACAAATAAATAAACAAAGCTCAACTGCATAATTAAACGCACACAAAAAGATTCTTTAACCCTCTCTCCCAACTCCATTCCCCACCCCTACCACAAAAAATTACTCCATCGCCACCGTCATCCCACCCCCATCTCCATATCTGCACTCGTACGTATTGGCTCAGTCTCTCTCTTCTCTCCTCCACCCTTTCACCGATTGCAACAAGGCGACCACACACATTCCACTTGAATGCACGCATCCTGCTTAATTCACGCAACCTGCCCGTACGGGCGACGTGGAGTAAGATGCATGGCTGGCTTAATATGGGTCCGTTCGGTTTTCTTCTCAGTCTCTTTCGTTCTTCTTTTCACAGCCCAGCCTCGTCTGACACGAGGGCTGTCGTGACGCAGCGGTTACGCGGGAGGCCGTCGTTATTGAAGTCAGGAGTGTCTATGTTTCTAGAAGATGCATACGAGTTACGAGTTACGAGTGGTGGATATCTCATTCACCACCGAAGCAGTGAATGAAGATGGCCACGCACCAAGTGATGAGGTGGAAAGATGTGCTGTTACTGGCACACGAATGCATCTGTTTTCATCGCTGCTGTCCGGAGAGTCACAGCCGAGATCACGACAGCCCCGTTGGGCTGATTTTCGGATATTGATCCAACGATGCAACGGGCCGAGTGAATAAGCCTATTGATACCTTGGGTCGTAGGCCGCCCAATAGGCAATACTTGTACGAGGATGAAGGAAGATTTTTCCTTGTTTTTAAAAAAGCATACCCCGGCCCTTTGTTGTGGCCCAGCCCATGCTTCTGATGGATCTCACGTATGGATACTGCCACATGTTCGATGAAGCTGACCCACGACGACGACATGTCATCACCACCCTCCAGAAACACACCGAGCGTGTCTAGCTCGCTGGAGACGGACACGAGATTGAGCCCAGATGCGAACGGACGAGAGAGACCCGTTTTGAAGACCTGGCTGCTGGAGAATGCCCCAGAGTATCGGCACCTGGACGCCCTACAACAAAAGGTATGTGATGTTATGCTATGTAACTTGCACTAGAGTGTTGCTGCTCTCAACAACAATCGACTCTTAATTTCTAGTCAAGAATTCCTAGATAGTGTGTGCTCATTAATATGTTAGGGATGGGAGAACAAGGCCGGTGATGTGTTTTTCCAAAAGCAAAGACACCAAGCAGACCACGCAGATGAAAAGACGATCAAGTTTTTCTATAAAATGATGAAGAACATTGCCAGCGAGATGAACCAAGCCACCGGCGCACTCCGAGTCCACGTAACGTGGCCCGGCAAGCCCCGGATGCTAGACTTTTGCGCAGCTCCGGGTGGGTTCCTAGAATCAGCCATCAGGATGAATGCCCGAGCCGAAGCCACGGGGTTCTCGCTGCCACCCACTCAGGGAGGACATGAGGTCATCATGCCGCTAGGCGCAAACGTAGCATTCAAATACGCGGACATTACCATGTTTGCTGGGGATATGGGTTGTTACACGGAGGACAACATTCCTCAGGACCACCCAGACGCCGAGAGCTTCGTGCTGGAGCCGGCCATTGAGCGTGAGCGGCGCTTCGATCTCATCTTCTGCGATGGGCAGGTTTTGAGAACCCACGCCCGGGCCGCCTATCGGGAGCCGTGGGAGTCGCGGCGTCTGACAGCTACGCAGCTCGCCATTGGGCTCGAACACGTCTCGCTAGGCGGCACCATGGTGGTCCTACTACACAAGCTAGAGGCCGTGGACACTGTGAACCTGCTCTACACGTTTAGCAGGTTCTCCTCCATCCAGCTGTTCAAGCCCAGGAGCGCCCACGCCAAGCGGTCCTCGTTCTACATGGTGGCGACGAATATCAACAGCAACTCGCCGCACGCGAGGGAGGCCATAGAGTACTGGAAGACGCTGTGGAGGGTCTTGACGTTTGGCTCCGACGAAGAGCGAAGCAACAAGATATCGGAGGGTCACATGGATCAACAGGTGTTGGTGGAGCAGTTTGGGCCAGACCTTGTAAGGCTCGGGAAGAGGATATGGGAGATTCAGGCCAGAGCCCTCGAGAAGGCGCCGTTCATGCAGGCCGGGCAGAATGAGAGGATCCAAAGACCGGCTGAAGGGGGACCCTCATCCTTCTCATCTTGGCAATAGGCAGGAAAGGAAAAAGCTGTATAAGCAGAATCCGGCCCATGACCGGCTTGTACAGTATCGTATCGTATATCGTCTCCCGTTAGCACTAGCAGCAACTTCTGTAGCGTTCCACAAGGGAGCAGAAAGCTTCTTTTTCGCCGCACCCTGTGCACTAGCAGACATTGATTTAGGCCAAGCCACGTTCCCAATCCAGTGTGTCGAATATGTGAAGCCTCCTGGAACGGGGATGGACTCGCCAAAGGCAGGCTAGGTTCGTCTGCGGTGAGTTGTCAAAAGAGGCGCCCCCCAGTCGCGACAATTGTCAGCGCACCGACCAGAGCCTCGGAAAGCCCTCAGCAGCCGCTAGTTACACCGCTTGGGCGGCTTGGAAATCGAGCGATTGTTTGGCTGTAATTGGAGGATGGCAGGTCGAGAGGCCTCGGAAAGGAGGTCAAGATGTTATGTATGAGCAGATGGGTACATGTACCTATCAAGTGCGCATACCGGCTGCGGTTGACCAAGTACCTGCGAGGTTAGTCCGGCCTGTTGCAGTTGCAGGCACTAGAAGATGCTGCAGCCAAAGGATCCCGGGAAGATGCAGAGAGCTTTGAAGGTGCAGGTGATGAATCATGTGACGCGGCAGGCAGCTCAACTTGGGAGAGTCTGGAATACGGGAGCAAAAATTGGTGCAAGATGGAATGACATCCAATCCATTCGATTACGGTATGCATTACACTGCAGCGAGCTTGAAGAAGGAAGCTGTGGAGTCTGTCTTGTAAGAGGCACTAGGCGAGGCCCGCCGAGGGAAAAAAAAAAGATGTACCCACCACTCAAACTCGAAATGGTTATGTTGATTTGTTGCTTCGCCTTGCTGACTGGCTGGGCTGGGCTGGTACATGTTTGGATAGTCACGGCACAGGGCAACGGTAAGGTAAGGTATTAGGTATGGATGGATTATTCACGACACACTTGCTCGCGGTTGTTGCATGTCAGGCGACGCGGCGCATAACGGAAGACGAACTGCCTGGGCCATTGGCCGAAGGGGCGGGTTTGTTCGTGATCGGTCGGGGCGCTCGGGGGCAGAAACGGAGACAGACGACGAGAAGAGAAGAGAAGAGAAGAGAGCAAGAGAGCAAGGAAGAGCAAGGGAGCGCGCGGATGGCGATGCGAGACCAGAGGCGGTTGGTTGGACGGACATGCTTGGTGCTACTGCCGGTGCTTGCTGGGAGATGCTGGATGCTGGACCGCCGGGAGGCAAAGGGGAGCCGTTGGGACGCATGGAGGTGTCGGGCGCGGCGCCTGATTGGGCCCTTGTGCGTGAGCTGGCATCCATCTCGTTGCTGCCGCATGGCGTGGACGACGCAGATTGGGCGAGGCCTGCGAGGGCCTGGGGCCGTTTCGTGGTGGACATGGATTGGCCGGTGGATGCGATTGCGTCCGGATGGGGTTGAGGCACGATGCCAATGCAATGCACTGCCAACTCATCTGCTGCTCCCGACCACTTGCAACCAGACAACCGCGCGCACCCTCGTCGCTTTTTGAGTCACTTGCGCGCACAGTCTGGCTCCCACGCTTCCCGTACGGCTGCATGCTATGTATGTATGCGTGTGTCTGTGCAGCAAGCAAGCAGCAGCAGCGCGCGGGAAGCGTGAGCATGAATGAGCGTGAGCGTGAGCGCGAGCCAGACCAGAGGAAGCGTGTGTCGGTTGTGTGGCCCAGCCAGCCCAACGCCGCCGTCTCTCGTCTCTGTGTGTGCATGGATGGATGCATCGCATCGCCCTCTTTCGTCCATTCGATCGTACAGTAAGGTAAGAGAAGGTAAGGTAGCCACGGATGGAAGCCGTAACTCGTCGTAAGTATTGCATCAAATGCTAGGCACGCACATATGTACGAGTACCTGCTCAGGCATAACTGGACTGGACTGGACTGGACTGGACTGTATGCAATGTGCCATGGAACATGGAACATGTAAGCCCGCTTGCTGCGTGACGGGTGCGGGTAGTATATCATGCCTCCACGCTGTTTTGTTTGTGTAATTCGTATCTCGTCTCGTCTCGAAAAGCCACCGCCACTCTTCCCTTCCTCTGCCAGAAAAACGTATCAAATCGTATCCTACTTGTACACTGCCGTGTCTGCTGTGAAATTCTGCTGGCTGCTCGTGCCCTTGTGTAGCGCCGGCCGTCGACTAAAAAGCGATCGTATCATATCATCGCCACTAGGCCAACGAGAGAGTACACCCATACGTTCCTCGCACCGAGATTTGCCGTCTGGTCTTGATTCGAGACCTACATACCGATATTGCCCTGCCTGCCTGCCTGCCTGCCTGTCCCAAAGGTGCCAGTGCCAGTGCCAGCAAACTTGACCGTTGACGACTCGTGCTCTCTCTCCCGTCGTCTCTTCGTCAGCACCCCCCGATACACTCACGTCACTCCCGTCTTCGTTCTTCTATTCGCTCTGCCTACACCGCACCTGCACAGAGAAAAGATGGCCTGGTCCAGTCCGGCCCAGCCCGACGTCTAAAATAGCCAGCACAGTACCTTTGGATATACGAGTGCCAGCAAGCACTTGAAAATACTCCCAGGGGCAGACAGCTGTCAAACACCAGCAAAGCAAAGCCGAAGGAAGAAGAAAAAAACACTCCACCTCCAGCCGCCGAACCCTCGCGATCCAGCGGCGACAGGCCCTATAAACTCGACCCTAGCAGCCCCATTGCCGTGCTATCGGTGGGGCCCAGCCTGGGAGCAGCGCTAAGCACCAGGCCTGTTTTTGCTACCCCACGCCGGCTCCAGCGCATTGTGCCTTACAGCTTCAATCACTTCCAGTCCCTCTCCCTTGGCACTTCGACCTTGTCCAGCCTTCTCTCTCGCATCCATATCTTAATAATAATAATAGCAGTATTATTATTAGCTCGTCAGCTGCTGCCTTTGGCCTTGGTCTCAGCCGTCTCTCCTATTCTTACTGTTTTTAAGGTTTTTTTTGTATCGGATAGCAGAGGAGCTGGCTCTGCGCCAGAGTCCTGTTTGATACCTTTTTACTTGGATTACCTCCCATACTTTTTTTACCTTTGGCTGCGAAACCTCCGCACCCGAGCCCCTCCAAAAAACTGCCGCCGAGCTCTTTTACCTATTAACCAGCCCACCACCCTCGACCTCTTTTTTTCTCCCAACCTCCTACATCTCGCCGCCTGTCTCTCTCTCGCCAGCTCAGAGCTGATCTCTACATCCATCTATACCTGTCTTATACCCTCGGCTTCTTTCTTCATCGCCCTCGACCGCTGAAGCTGCAAGTCAAAACAACTAGCCCGTCTCGGTAGTCGCCGGTCGAGCCATAGTTCAACGGCCTTTGAGCCCTACTATACCCACTCACCTTGTCCAGGGAACAAGAATGATCCCCATGCAACGCTCTCTCTCATCGCCAGACTGCATTCAATCCTCCCCACGTACGTTGCCGCCGTCCTCTGGCCCAGCTTTCTCCCGGAAATTTGACATTGCACTCGTGTACTGATGGTTCATGCCACTGGTTCAGCCGTGTCACCCACGGTTACGCACGAATCGAGATCTTCCACTCCGTCACCGGACAAGAACAACGGCGCCAATAACAACACAAGTAACAACAACGGCGTGGATGCTCAGCGGCCAAAGCGGTACGAGTCGCGAAGTCCCAGCCCGACGCCCACTCGCTCCTCCGACATCCCCCAGACCTTGGCTTTGCGCCTGAGCGATGATGTCCAACCTCGCCGTGGACGTCACCCCCGCCATCAGTCTCCCATGGCCTCTCGAAAGGCCATTGTGGCACAGCCAAACCTGCCAAACTCTAGCAACGCAAGGCATGGCTCCAACTACCGCCCGCTGACTCCGACGAGCTCGTCCAACGAGACTCTACCGGGGTCAAAGTATACCAAGAAGCCCTTGCTACAGGATACGTCCATGTACACGAATACCCACCTGGTGCGGGACAGTGACAACACCACGCTTGAGGAGCTTGCCCATGTTGTGCGCCTCTCCAAATACCAGGAGCGCAAGCGCGCCAACACTCGAATCCGCCTGCAGAGGAGCCTCATTTCTACTGCATTGAGCGCCCGCCTGACTCGCTGCGGCGAAATGGCCCATCGCTACCTTGTTGAGAGCTTCCGGAAAGACGACAAGGACAACTTTGCGGCCCTGTACAATGCTATTCACGACGTCCGCAAGAGCTGCGATGAGCTCCGCCGATATGCTCTTTTGGAGCCGGAGCTGGAATCTCTGTCCTCCTCTGCCGCCCTGGGCTCGTCCGAGAGCCTGGACACACCCACTAACTCCACAGTTGGCGTCGTCGATCCGCTCAAGTCCATCACCCCGTTTTTGCATGACATCTCTGCTTCCGCCAGAGAGACCTTTATCGAGTTTCTGACCCAGATCCGAACCAACCCAGACTACCTTGCCACTCGCATATGTGCCCTCTCGAGCTCAGAATTGAATGTCTTTTTGAATTTCCACAAAGGTTTGGAGCCGGTTGAGTCAGTTCTCCCATTCCCCACGAGGAACCCCAACCGGCCCCATGCAAGTGCCTCGGGACGTAGCACCTCTAACACAGATATCGAGAGGCTCCTTTCTTTCCAGAGACATGATCCCCTCTCGATCCTGATCCATGCTTGTTTTGCCAATTCGGCCGGCCCAGATAGCTCCGAGGACCAGCGACGCACCGACATCTGGGCCACGGTCCTGGCCAGGCTGATAGCCGAACCCAAGTCTGCCGGTGAACACTTCCTGATTTGTGTGCTAAACATCTGGACAGCTATGCGCGATTGGTCTGGTAAATCCAAGATGGAGTGGTACCTGATGAAGATCCTTGAAGACGGTGCCTTTCTGCTGGATCGCGCAGAGGATCAGCATGGCACCCGATTCAACCTGTCAGACTGGAACCAGTCGGATGAACTCGCAGCCAAGGACTTTTACGACCGCGCCGTCAACGGCTTGTTTGAGCTGGTCGACGACGAGGATGCTACCGGTATCCCTGAGGGCCTCCTGGAACTTGGAAATGCCATCCTGAGCAAGCTCGAAAACAAGTTTGTGGAGAACACCTCCAAATGGCTCGTCTGGAGATGCCTCTTCTTTGTCTTCCTGCTCGGGGTCATCATCCACCCCGAATACTATGGCATGCTAGCTGAGTATCACATCACTCCCTATGCCCGGGAGAAGATCCTGAAAAAGGTTGCCATGAAAGCCCATGAATACGTTTCAAGCATGTGGAGCGGAAAGCCTTCGGCCACCTGCGTCCCCGTGAACATCCCACCCAAGATCAAAGGCCATGTGGAGAACATCCTCGCCAGATTCCAAGGTACCCGATCCAAGGTTCCTGCTGCTAAGCTTCTGCCGGCCAGATCAATCACCTCCCTCAGGGAGACTGTTGAGGTCCGCCCCTACTTGGTCATCAGCCCTGCTGATCTGGCAACGCTGGTGAATGCTCTCTTCCCGGAGAAGCGGCCCCACTCCGCACGTTCGGGTCCAGCCTCCATTTCTGGGCTGTCGGCCATCTCCCAGCCTATCTCCATGGCCAATCACCACAAGAACAGCTTTGATACGGCCTCGATTATCAGCACCAGTGCCTCATCCATCATGAGTGACGCCACCACGTCTCGCGACTTCATCTACGACCTCAACACTGCAACCCCACGCTACTCTCCTCCTGCCGAGGACCCTGAGGAGCAAAGACGCCTGAGCAAGTATGAGGATGATGGCTATCGCCTCAGACTCGCCATCCATGAAATGCAGCAAAATCTTGGCTCAGATGTCGTTCGCGGATCAAGCCACCCATGTGCCGAGAGGTGGGTAGTTCTCTTCATCTCCCCTGACGGAAAGAGCCTATCTACACAGATGACCTACGATCCGGATGATGAGCTCGAGGACGAGGAAAACTCGTCCAGCACCGACACCGATGAGGATGAGGCATCGCAACGCCCAGAGCTGGACAAGGACTATCATCAGCTGCGAAACTCTGTTCTGAAGCTGGTGGAAGATTATGAGATTCCTCGCAGCCTGGAGCCTGAGCGTGGACGAGCGCAGCTCAGCAATCGGGCTTCGGGTCTCAGGAAATACACATCACGAAACAGAATCATTCAGCCAGAGAAGACTGTTGCCAGCCGGAACCCTTACCGAAAGCAAATGGGCGTCGATGGTACAATTTCCACTACCGACTTGACGCCAAAGGAACCCGAAGAGTCCGAACCTGTCTTAATCACTATGCTCAAGGCGGCCTCATCTCAGTCAAAAGCTCAGGCAGACTTTGTTTCGGCACACATGTACTGGAAGACGCTGAACCAGCTTACGGCGCTGGCATCGAGCTCTCTCAGACAGGACGGATTCGCTGCTCTGATCAACATTCTAGCTAGGGGACCACGCGACGCCATTCGCCGCTCTGCATCTGCTATCGAAGAGTACGATGCTTGGCTGGTTTGGCTGAAACAAAGCCAAGA